TTCATCCCTTGACAGTCCAAAGGTGTCTGAAGAAAACTGACAGACTTCAGTCCCATCTATTCCTGTATCCACACACTGGAGAATGTGTCGGACATGATCTTGGTTGCTGACCTTTTGAAAACACCTACTCTGCATGTCTTTCCTGAGACTCCTCAAAATACACATGGAATAAAACCAGTGACATATGCTTTTAGTGTCACCCAAGTCTGCTGTGTTTCTGCTCAGTGTCTTGTCTTTTTCTCTTTACCATCAGGTTTATATTCTTCCTATCTTAGAACTGGCATTTCCTTCCTGTTGTTCACCTGGAGCATTAATAATGTGCTCAGTGGTGTGGCCGTGCAGTAGGATTCCATCAGTCCCTTGAGTTTTTCCATGAATTCAGAGTTAATGAATGATTTTTCATTCTTTTCAACCCACAACAAATGGCCACTGTTATCTTTTCTGAGAATAGAATCAAATGCATAGAACAATCAGATTGTGTCAGCCTGGGTATTGTAAGTATCCCATAGTTTTTCTGTCCTGGGCCTTGGATACCATTCTGTAGGTAGCAGCTCTTTGTTCCCATGAGTGTCCTTGAGCCAAAACACAATGCTTTGTACTTCTCTATGAATTGCTGCAGCAGCAAATGAAAAGCCATTGAAGTGCAAGGGGTATCCTTTTCACAGGAATTCCTGTTATCCTGACACACCATAGCTTAGGACTTAAGATCTGATGGCACCAACGTAGCCATATGATCTTTAATGACTGCCAGGGAATTCTCATAAGAAAATGCCCTCAAAGCCATCTGTCCTGCCCTGTCCAGAGTCATGATCACTTGGAGCAAGGAAACAGGGCTGAATAATGGGCTGTTGCAGGAATTGTCTCAACTGTTTAATCATAGGATGCAGCAGATGGTCACTGAAAGGGTTACTCCTGGTCTCCTGCCACAGCTCCAGACTTGTGCTCTGGGCTGTTTGCAGGGACTGCAGAGGCCCATGCTGAAGCCCTTTGGCTCACTCATAGGGTGAGAAAGTAGGGTTAGTTTTCTCTGAGATTGGTTTGCTGACCCAGCACATGCTGCAGCTTCCTCATTGCTGGACCTGGCACAAGCAGCAGAAGCGCATGGAGTGGTAGGGAGAGGTCACATACTACTTTTGGCAGCAGCTGGCCATTAATATAGATGAGATGTAATGTAACACTGCATCTAGCTAGGAATAGAAGGCAGAGGATGATGGACGTTGCATCACTTGGACTAGAAACATGAAAGGCAGAGATGGTAATCCACAGACTAGGTAGTTAGGGTAGGTAAAGCTTAGGAGAAAAGAATAGAGACCCAGAGGCTGTTCTGAAAGCTGGCTGTGGAGTCTGTGGTGAAGAATGAGCTAGAACGTCCCAAAAGATAGATGAATTCTGGGAGGTAGCTTGAAATGGACTTAATGTTTCTGGAGGTGATTGGGTTTTGAACATTATCTGCTTGGGGGTTGTATTTGTCCCTTCTATAGGCTGAGATTGTACTGGTTATGTACTTGGACTTGTTCAGGAGTCCTGGGGGTCGTGCTGAGCTCCATTGGCACTGCAGTGTTTTAGCAACGCTGTTGAAGCTGATAAAGAGGAGACTGCTTTTGCACTACTTTAGCCTATAGGCCAGGCTGTGTGCTTGCCTGAGCTCCTGTGCCTTCTCCATACTATTGCAGAGTACTGAAAGCTGAACTTTGTTTCTTAAAGTGACTTGTATGAGATTGGGTTTTGCCCCACTGTGGTTTAGTGTGTACTCTGAACAGGAAAGTGCTTCAGTGCAGTAGGCTCCATTGTGGTGTGTACTGGAGTGTTTAGATACAGAGTTGTTGAAGCTGGAGATACCTTGAGATAGTCAAGACCAATCCATTGCTCAGAGCTGGGACAGCTCAAGTAGGTTGCTCAGGACCATTGCCAGTCTGGTTTTGAATGCCTTCAGTGCAGAGACCACAGTGTCTTGGGGCAGCGTGTTCCCATGTTTCATCTCTCTCAGAGAGAGAAAAGCTTTTCCTTATGTTTAAATGTATTCCAGTTTGTGCCCGTTGAGTCATCGCTGGATGCCATTGGGAAGAGATGGGCTCAGTCTCCTGTACAGCCCTCCATCAGATACTGGACAGGGGGTCAGATGCTCCTGAGCCATCTCTTTTCCAGGAAGAGCCCTGGCTCTCTGAGCCTCTCCTTTGTCAGAGGACCCAGTCCCTCAGCCCTTGGAGCTGGGCCTTTCAGACAGTTTTCCACCCACATCCCTGCTTGTCCAGGCTTACTTTATCAGTTTGTGAGGGTGGGATGGGAGATGGCATGGAAAGCCTTGCTGTAGTGAAGACAAGCAGCATCCCCTGTGCTCCCTTCACCCACCATGCCAGTCTTCTCATGAAGGAAGACATTTGGGCTGGTCAGGCATGAATTCCCTTTTGTAAATCCATGCTGACTGCTCCCATCACCTCCTTGTCCTCATTCATGTTTGCTCCATCACTTGGCTGAGGCTGTCTCTGTATCCTTGTCTTTGGAGATGGGAATGGTACCTTTGCCATCCTGAAAACTTGTAAAGGGTGATAGGAGCCTCAAGTGGGACTGAAACAACAGGCTCCAACATTTATATATTTCTACACAGATCATGTAAAAATCCATGCTCCTAAACCCATACAAGGTATATCTGAATCCAAAGGATGCTGCCCTGCTGCAGGGCAGAGTTGAGAGCAGACCCTGTTCTGCTTGTTGAAGACTCCAACCTGCTTTTCTTAATCGAGGTGGGGAGTTACTTGTTCCCCTTTACACAAGGCTCATGGTCCAGGAGGGCTCCTCCAAGTCTTTCTGGCTGTTGGCAGATCCTTAACAGTGTCTGGAAGCCAAGATGTGCCTTGGGGGTTGGGTTTGGCTTTTCCCCCATGAGGGCAGAACTGCTGCTGTTGCACCATGCTAGATGCTGTCTACTTGAACTCCTGCTGTCCTTAATTCACAGTGGAGTGAGCGCTCCCTTTTCCGCAGAAGTGCTACCCTATCTGGTATTCCTGGAATCCCAGGGTCCCCTTTTAACATGGAACTGACCTAGTACAGTAGCCTCAGCATAGTTTGCATCCAAATACTGTCTCATCATAGAATCCCAGCCTGGTTTGGGTTGGAAAGGAGCTTAAAGCTCATCCAGCTCCATCCCCTGCCACGGGCAGGGACCCCTTCCACTGGAGCAGCTTGCTCCAAGCCCCTGTGTCCAACCTGGCCTTGAGCACTGCCAGGGATGGGGCAGCCACAGCTTCTCTGGGCGCCCTGTGCCAGCACCTCAGGGGAAGAGCTTCTGCTTAAGATCTAACTTGAACTTCCCCTGTTCCCCCTTGTCCTATCACTACAGTTATTGATGAGGGACTTGTGCGCTGTAAACTCTTACTCAGTATAGGCAGACATGTAAGTGACTTTTGGTCAGTGATTCCTAAGGAGGTGTATTTTTTCTCACCTTGTAGAGATGCTAATAGAAAAGAACTTTATAATTACAGAGAGTTTTTTAACTTCTAGTTTTTGCTTCATTACACATCTAGGCCGGCTGTTGTGGGTGGAAGCAGCTTGTGCCTCGTGAGATGAAGTCAAGGAGAAGGAAAATCTTGGAGTAATAGCACAAGGTTTTACTTGAGTATGAATTTCCCATTTTCTAACATAGTATCTTGTTTTAATTTTGCATGTGCTTCAGGGTGTACAGCTCCTGCAGTTCTAGTAGGAGTACAATCAAGCCAGAGTATTACACATGCACAAAAGTACATGAATCTGCAAATTGAAGCTTTCCCAATTATTCCCTGGCCAAACCCAGGCATTTTTCCATGAAGACAGCATCACATATTGTGTATTATTATTGCTTAAGATTTAACTGCGATACCAAACAGTATCTCAGTTTGCAGGAGGTGGCAGGGAAAAGGGCTACTGCAGCTCTCCGAAGCCAAAATCCATCTTCCAGCTTTGACAAACCCACTTCACTGGGGCTGTTCCTGAAAATAGCTGCGCCATTTGCTTGCATTTTCAAAACAAATGAGGGTTGCATGTCTGACATGCAAATCTCAGCCCAGGAGGCTGCAGGCTGTCAAAGTCAGAAGCCAAGGAAAGCAGGATTCCATGGAAGGCGACGTTTGTTCTCATTATAAACGTGAAGTTACCCAGTGTGGTAGGCCAAAGGGTGTCTCTGTTACATAGAAATTGTTGTAAAAGTCTCTTTTTTCCCCTGTATTTAAAAGATACACGTTTGTTTTGTAGTCTGTGATCATATTAATTTGTGTTAAAAGGTACTTGGGAAGAAAGTCTTGCTTACAAAGTCACGTTATTCTGTTTTTCTCACAGCTGGGTTTTTAAGCACAAGATTAAATGGCTTTTTCCTTTTGTTCTATGAGGAATTCTCATTGTAATTTGTAATTACCTGTTAAGTGTGCACCTTCATTTAAATAGAACAGGGAATTTGTGTATCGTATAACGTGCAGTTTCAAATAGGAAGAATGATTTCTCTTAAACCGTGCTTCCAGTCAGTGTAATCTGGCATATACCTTGGCTGTGGAAAAGGGGATTTAATACATGGCATTAAATCAAAGCTGGATCTGTTAAAAACTAAACTATCACTACTGTTAGTCTCCAGTTTTGTGCTGGCATAAAGGGAGAACTGAAAATGAGCAGAGATGGAGAGAAAGTAGCATTGCCCCCTCTGGCCCCAGCACTGATTTATGCCACACTAAAGCTGACTGTGGAACTGTAACACTGCTTTCAGTATGAATTGGTTTGCTTTATTTTATACCTTCAACTCAACTATTGCATCACAAAAAGGGCATTTCTTCCAGTTATTGTTGCTGAAATCATGCAGCAGTATTGATACATACAGGATGAAATGGCTACTCTTTACCTCAGATTGCTTCCGCCTGTTTGTGGTGCTTTATTTGTGAATACATCACTTGCTGTGACTTGCATTGTATCAGATGAATTATTGGATTGCAATTGTACAGGTTCAACCTGGAACTAATCATTTCCTATGTTTTCTTTTTTAGCCTTCTGTTGAGTCTTCAAGCCCAGGTAGGTACTTTTAATGGTTCCTAAACTTCTAAGCACCCTTTAAAAATGAGGTTTGCTGGTCTCTTGCTATTAGTAATCTAAGGATACCACTTGATGGATAGGTTGGTGGCAGTACTGGTTTCAGTAGTCACTATCCAGTAGTCAGCCTAAGTGTAAATTATGACTAACTGGAAGCTTTTTTCTGTCCACTTTGGTCCCACTGTACTTAGTGTTATTTATTTCCAAGCTTTTTGGCATCCTACTGTGGAAAAGCTTTCCCGTAGTTACTTCAGCTGGACTGCCCTTGTCCCTTGAGCTCTTCTTCTTGCAGAGAAGCAATCAGTTGCTTTTAACACTTCAGAGTATTATTAACCCTTATAGGCAAGCCCTCCCTCTTGTACCCTTCACATGCAAGCTGTACAAGCTTTGGAAAATGGAATTGAAGTTGTCTATGGAGACAAGTGGAAAAATGTTAGCAGGGTTGGAATTAGAAATCAGGTATTGCTAAATTACATCTGCCAAACCATTCATCCATCCATTTAGTTCTCATTGTCACAAAATCTAACCAGACTTCTCTACAAAGAGCCATGAAAAAACAAGGCATGGGGGAAATAACTAAGGATTCTGCATCATAAATAAAATCTGCATAACTCTGAAGCTTACTTGAAGCTTAAAGTCTGGAAAAGTCATTAGACTGTCTTTGTAACTGCAAAACAAGAAAGCTTCCAAAGTGTAAAGGAAACAACTGCCCTGAGTTTATATTTTATGAGTGTTTTTGCTCCCACTAGAACTCTTGATTCAGGCAGGTTTATGATGATTTAGAATTAAGCCTTCAGAACTTGAATGTTTTACAAGCATTTAACTAGGGACCTGATGTCCAGATATACAGGACTTTGAGATCTGGCTGTTAAACAGCATCTCCTGCTTCTTTGTCCCATGATCTACCACTCAAAGGGCAGCTTTTACTGTCCTCTGAATAACAAGATTGGCTTTCCCTGAGTTAAACGATGGAGGGATTTTGAGGATATTTTAATTTCTGAGTATAATTTAAGTATTAAAATGTCACCAAAATAAAAACCTTAAACTCTGTGAGGCCATGATCTAACTAAAAACATTCTTTAAAATGTTTTCTATCAGGAGGTTCAGCAACATCTGATGACCATGAATTTGATCCATCAGCTGATATGCTGGTGCATGACTTTGATGATGAACGGACATTAGAAGAGGAGGAAATGATGGAAGGAGAAACAAACTTCAGTTCTGAAATAGAGGATCTTAACAGGGTAGGTAGCCTTAAATAGTCGTAAAACATAACCACAGCCCAGAGCCTCACACAAAACATACGCAGGTTTTTTCTCCTTATATTTGGGATTTTTTTTAAAAAAGAACAAAACACCCCAAAATCACTAATAGGTAAATAACACTGATGGGGGAAAGCAGCTGAACTAAATGTGAGGGTCTCAAAAGGTGGGAAAAGGAAACTGGTACCTAAATACTTAATAATATATAATGCTGTGCTTGTTTGGTTTCTTTTTGCATATATGTGCTGCTATAGGATTTGCATTTTAGAGCTAATAATATAGGTTAAAGCATGCTCTCACTAAACTATATTCCAGTATTATTTTCTAATGCACTTGATTAGTGCAGATAGATGTTGATTTATAAAAAATCTCCTAATCTTACATTTCTTTTGCATATTTATACAAACATTTGTATAGTACTTTAGTGGAGCATAAAGGGGTGTCTTCCTTTTTAAGGTAGAGGAAATGGAGATAGAGATGCAATGATTGGCTCAAAGCAAAAAGTTGTCATCAGACCTAAGATCAGAACTCCTGATCTGTTTCTCACTATGAACTATGATCAGTAGTGAGAAATAAATCTTAAAACACGTGTCTCCTGAAATAATTGCATATAAGATTTATTTGGCATTTTAGGGTGACTTATGTATTGTCTTAAATCACTTCTCAGGCAGAAATAATATATTTAAATTACAAACTAGGCTCATTATAAGTACAAAGTAATTTAGATACTGTCTGTGGCCTCATTGGCTGAAAAGGCTTCCTGAACCTAGGATCATCAATGATTCTTAGATGCATATTTGATGTATAAATCTGTTCAGTGTAAATGATTATGTCAGTATGACTTTAATTTAGTACATTTCACATGTAAGCAATAATTTCTTTTTGGTAACTTGGTTTGATATTAAATGGTAAACATAAAGATAAATAAATAGTTTGTGGACCTAAATATGCTTCATTTAGATTAATTGAGGAATGGAGCTCCATACCTATGGCATGTTTTCCCTCTCATATTTTGTGAAGGGTCAACATCTGTTATGTAATTCTATCACCACATTACAGTGCGTCTTTTATAACTGTATTTCAGCTATCAGTTTATTCCCTCGTATCCTTGTTCAAGTGTATTATTCCTTCACATGTCATTTCTCATGAGATCAAGACAGTGAGCAGTGGTACAGCAGATTCACATTGCTCCTGTGCTGCTCTTCCCTGCAGGATGCTCTTACGGACTAGCAGAGTATCTTGTGGTCACTTTGTGTGTGTGTTGCAGGTAGGGCTTTCACTGAGGTTCAGATGCTTCCATGCCCATAGGATCTTACAGAATCCTAGAATCCCAGACCGGTTTGTGTTGGAAAGGCCCTTAAGGTTCATCCCCTGCCACGGGCAGGGACCCCTTCCACTGGAGCAGCTTGCTCCAAGCCCCTGTGTCCAACCTGGCCTTGAGCACTGCCAGGGATGGGGCAGCCACAGCTTCTCTGGGCACCCTGTGCCAGCGCCTCAGCACCCTCACAGGGAAGAGTTTCTAGTGAAGAATCTTGCTAGAGACCTGTGGTTTCCTCTGCTTGTGGGATAGCTGGCAGGCTGCACATCAGTGCTCACTTTTGTATGGGATATTTTTGTCATGGATGGTAGGCAGTCTCAATCTCAGACTGTTGTCAAGACAAGTGCTATCCTGTCTTTTTCTTTCCCCCCCAATAACATTTACATGTATTATTTCAGATTCCCCCCGGGCTGTGAATGTTCCTGATTTACTAGTTCAGCTCCTTCAGAGGCGAGGTGGCAGTCAGGTTTTGCAAAAGCATTTTTGAACCTTGGTGATTTCACTCCTGACTCTCATAAGAATTACACGTTCCTCTGAGGGTAAAGATCTTTTCTCTTACTGGGTGAGCTCTGGTGAGTCAGAAGTATTGGAACTTGTGGTTTGCAGTGATAGTTCTTGAATGGAATTTCTCATGGGCAGGAAAGCTGTCTGTGAGGTGGTGCTGCAGCTAACCTCGATCGTATGGCTTGAACCTGCCCAAGGGGAGACTGAGCTGAGCTCTTAGGCAGAAGCTCTTCCCTGTGAGGGTGCTGAGGCGCTGGCACAGGGTGCCCAGAGAAGCTGTGGCTGCCCCATCCCTGGCAGTGCTCAAGGCCAGGTTGGACACAGGGGCTTGGAGCAAGCTGCTCCAGTGGAAGGGGTCCCTGCCCGTGGCAGGGGTTGGAACTGGGTGAGCTTTAAGGTCCCTTCCAACACAAACCATTCTAGGATTCTGTATCCAGACATGTACTCAAGTAATACTGTTTCTGTATGTAGTAGCAGCTACAGCAGGTGTGACCAGCATCCTGGCTAACCAGTGTTCCTTCAGCAGCTCCAGAGAATGCGTGCTGGGATGAGGCACATCTCTCAGTGTCCTGGGCATATGCTGATGCTGCAATTTCCCAAAGCACATGGAAACTTGGCAGCATGATTTTGGTAGTAGGAAACTGCATTCACAGTCCATCTCAGACATAATAAATGACCAGGCCCCAGCAAGCTGCAGACTTGATTTCCTCCTGCTCTCAGCTAAGCTGGAGGTAGCATGACGTGAAGGATTTGATGAGTGTGAGGCCAGGTTCTTCACCTTTGTGCTGCCCTGTCTATGGGCAGAGCACTACAGGGTGCTGTGTGGCTCCCTGGGTGCCCCTAGGATGGGGTGAGCATTGCCAGGGCGCTGTGCATGGTGCCTCCCTCTGTTACTTACAGATTTGTAAGCCTTTTTTTTCCTCCCTTTTCCCATCTGTTCCATATAATCCTTTGGTTTCTCTTTTTGGGGTCCCCCTTTTGAGGGAGGGCTTTTAGCTTTCGTAGGATTATGCACCAGCATCTCTTGTCTTTAAATGAAAGAACCATACATGGGAGCCCACTGTTTCATTCTTCCAGCCTCTAGCAGGAAATAGTTCAGGCACATATGAAAAAGATGTTGTCTCTATGTCTGTAATGCCCATTAGTCTTATTTTTCCTCTTCCTGTGGATTTATCTATTCGATTTTTAGTCTCTGTAACCATAGTGTCCAAGAGGGATGTGCAGTGTTGCACAGTTCATTTAGTGAGAAACATGTTTGGGTTTTCAGCCTGTTCTATGTCCATTTCAGTGGCTGCTCTTCCATTAGAAAAGTCATTTGTATTTGCTTATGACACACTTCTCCATTATACCAGTCCTCTCACCTCTACTCCAGACACATCCGTTAGAATTCATTTCTTGTTATTAAGCACCTTCCACGTAAGAAATTCCTATGTCTTTGATAATCCTTGTTCCTTATTCAGCCTTTTCTCTTTTTGCAGTCTCCTGAAGCAATACAGAAATCACAATTTGTATTTATCTTGGAGAGTTTCTGGCCCTTGGAGCATTTTGTGTTGTAATGGTCTATTTGAAGTTAGGAGGCTCTATCTAAGAAAAATGTTGTTAGTGCAAGACCACTTTCCTACGTGACATGTAGTGAGTAATAAGCCTGTTGCATAGTTCCCCATTTCTAACAGTTAGATATGATAGGGACCAATAATTCAAGAAGGAACGTGAGGACATTCAGGTGCACATGGTCTGCATCTACTGTGTCTATAGCTTAACCAAAGAGTAGACCAATGAGTAGCAGAATGGCTTAGTTCTTTGAAGTAAAATAAAATACAGAGTGAGTACTCCTGACCCGTGTTACTTGTACTCTTACACAGCAGAACTAACTACACATGCCTTTTGTCATTGGTATTGTTATTACATTTCCAGAAACTAGAGCTGTGTTGTTGAGTGAAGGCCTTAGGACAGGAATTCCCTAAGGCCAGACAGTAACTAACAAAATCTGATTATCAGCCAAGATGCACATTGCATACTAAGAGGAAATACTTAGAGCAGGCAGACAGCTCTAAATAGCAAACAGAAGATTTGATCTTGTGAGAGAGATCATGTTGAAATGTCCTCTGAAAGTTTCTGCGCTGAAAGGTCTCCTTAGGGCTGCCACATACTGCCCCTGAGGGCTGGGGATGAAGGTATTAAAAGGGATTAAGTAATTTGCAAACATGGCAATGAATGATTTATATTAATAAAGTGAATGCAATTGATAACAGTTTGGGAGCCACTGAGTTTGAGAACCAGCTGTATTATTTGCAGTGGCAGAGAGGACCAGCATTCGAAGGATAAAGGCTTTTAATAGTGTACCTATTTTAGCAGATTTGCTTCATCTGTGGGTAGTTTTGTAGACAACTGACTTACAATGTGTAGGAATCTGTAAACATTGCTACTGTCTTTGCCTGGATCTCAGGTGATCCTAAGTATAAAGTGAACCCTCGCCCCCATCTAACCCCTCAGTTCCTAGTTTTGCCCAGAATGAGGAGAGGTACAGGGTAAAGAGGTGCATTTTTGGTGCAGTTTTGTTTTCAAAGCCAGGGTTGAAGAACTCTGTGGAATTGTCCCTGTAGCAAAACTCACCAAAGAAAGATGTAATTCCATGTTCAAGGCAGATACTGCAAGTTCTGGTCCTTGTTTTGCTGAATTCTTGGAGACACTGCAAAAATCACTGCCATGCACTAGAACAAGGTCCTGCCTGCCGAAACTGTCAGTATCTTGTCTCTGTGAAACAGTTGCTGCTGACACACATTTTACCTGTTTCTCCTATAAATATGTACTAAATACTACTTTTTTTTCAGGCAGTTTAGGGGAAAACAATATATATCCCAAGAAAGAGTATGTTTGTTCCATGTACTGAAGGGGATACGGTGTAACCAGATGTAACCTGCCACATTGCAGTGCTTGTGCTTTGGTAGAATAGTAGTAGACAAGTACCAAGGGAAGGATGGGGCATACAGCCCTTTGGTGCCCTTTTAATGAGCTTTATGGCCCCTCAGAGAGATTGTTGGTATGTGATGTCTGAGTGAATTTGTAAAGGATTTGAAAGAAAAACCGTGCATAAGAAAACACATTTTTCTTAGGAGCCAAAACTTCATGTTTTCACTGTCCATTCACTTTGGAGTGGCCATTCTTGATGCAGGTGATCATCAACTAGCTGCTTTGCTGTGTTAACATCAAAGTGCGTACCTTGAAGCTGTAGAGCTGATGTGGGATGTGAACTATTCCTATTAAAACCTTGAACTTTGTTTGGCTCTTTACCAGGAAAGCGACATGCCAATCCAGGAGTTACTGAGCCGTTACGGCTACGACGGTACCGTTCCACTCCAAGAAGATGATGATGATGAAGATGAGGAAGAGGAAGAGGAGGAAGGAGAAGATGATGATGATGTTGATAATGATGACAACAGTGGCTGTAGTGGTGAAAACAAAGTAAGGGTTTACGTTCATTTGAACCTGATTTTCTACAACCATTCTGTACTGGACAACACCTCAGGATGCCAGATCATGGCAGAAGTAATCTGTAATGTAGTTGATTTCAGATGCTTTGTGTGCTGAATTCTAATGTTCATTCTTGATTAACTGTCTGTATCTCTCTTCATTGCTCTTAACTTCATGGAATCACAGAATTCCCAACAAGAAGGTTTTATCTCCCACCAGTGCACTTGGCAGGGCCACAGCCTCACTCAACCCACCCCAGGGTCAAAACACTTTGGATGTGGGAAAGCTGTTGGCTGTGCTGGGGCAGGGACCCTCACAGGGTGCTTTGGATCAGTGGGGAGCAGATCCAGAAAATCCACTGCTCCTGCCATCCTCTTCCCACCCAGAATAATCTAGAAGAGGCCCAGAGACTTGAATCCTAGAATCCCAGCCTGGTTTGTGTTGGAAGGGACCTTAAAGCTCATCCAGTTCCAACCCCTGCCACAGGCAGGGACCCCTTCCACTGGAGCAGCTTGCTCCAAGCCCCTGTGTCCAACCTGGCCTTGAGCACTGCCAGGGATGGGGCAGCCACAGCTTCTCTGGGCACCCTGTGCCAGTGCCTCAGCACCCTCACAGGGAAGAGCTTCTGCCTAAGAGCTCAGCTCAGTCTCCCCTCAGGCAGGTTCAAGCCATTCCTCTTGTCCTGTCCCTACAGGCCCTTGTCCCAAGCCCCTCTCCAGGTTTCATACAGGTCCCTTAAGATATTGAAAGGCTGCAGTAATTTCATCTGTATCATTCCAAACTGTTGCAAAGGCAAATTAAAGTACATGTATACCTGCAGCATCGTGTAAGAGGGGATTGTAATTGTCCCTCAGGAACAGTAAGACTTCAAACCTGAAGGTTTAAGTGCCTGAAGACACCTTAGTAGATGGCTGAATACTTGTTTCAAGATGAAAAGCTGTTCTACTGAACCTGACCTTGTGGAACTGAATTAAAAGTGTCTCAGAGCACTGGAGGTTGCTGCAAGTTTCCTCTCGTTAGCATTTGAAATTGTATTTTTCAGCCTGGCAGCCTTGGTTGTACTTAAATTGTTAACTGAGGATACTGCTTCAAGTATCTTTGCCAAATGTATAGGTTTGAACTTAGCTTCTTTAAAAGCCTTTTCTGTGTGCTCTGAAAAGAAATGCTCTGATTTTAGACCTTCCTCCTGTTGTATGTATTTGCAACAATCCTGTCATGGGCACAGCTCTAACTTCTCCATTACTGGTGGCATTCAGAGCTGCATCCTGAGATCCATTAAAATACAAACCCCTTTGTATTGTCAGCAACAAAAAAGCTCAGGCACTAATGGTAGTTGCATTATCTAAGCTGGCTTTTAAAAGGCTGTGTTGGTTTGTTTCTTTTTTATGTTACCCATTACAGAATCTCTGGAATGTGACACAGAGATGAGGGATGATACATCTGATTCAGAAAATGAGGTTCTTAGGATTTGCAAACTCCCTTGACAGATGCTGTAAAAGATTGCCGTTTGTGTGGGTTGAGGAGTTCAAAAAGAAGGAAGATTCTTAGTTCTGTTACATCAGGAAAGTTTCAAGAAGACGGAGAAGGCGAGAAACGTGCATAACATGAAGTATGCAAAATGAAAATTGTGGAATCATGGAACGGTTTGGGTGTTGGAAGGGAGCTTAAAGCTCCTCCAGCTCCAACCCCTGCCACAGGCAGGGACCCCTTCCACTGGAGCAGCTTGCTCCAAGCCCCTGTGTCCAACCTGGCCTTGAGCACTGCCAGGGATGGGGCAGCCACAGCTCCTCTGGGCATGCTGTTGTGCATGGTGGTTTTCCTGGAGACTCACTTTCTTCTTATGTCCTTGTTTCTTCATCACTTCCTGACACAACTTCCAGCTTCTTTGTTCCCATGACCTCCTTCCTCTGTAGTTCTCCAGTTCTGTTACCAGTTAATTTAAGGTACTGCCTATCTGCTCTTCAGTAGGTAAAATCTCAAGTGTCTCGCCTTCTCCGAGCAGCAAAAAGAGTCATCTTCCTCCCTCTATCAGGCACTAACCCTTTGTGTTGTGCTGCAGAAGCAAGCACATTCCTCTCATCAGCAGCAACAGTTTGAAATCTAGCCCAGCAAACACAGCCCCTGGTTTAGCCCAGTTGCAGACCTGACACAGGGGTTGTCCGTGTGTGTTCCCCAGTTCTGCCCCAGTTTGGATAGGGTTGGAATGAAGGTGGTGGGGAGGACTGGGCAGAGAGAGAGCCCCTAAGCTGTGGTGGTTGTTTGCCTCAGGGTAGAAGAATGAGAGCTCTGAAATCCTTCTGTGCTCTTAGCAGAGAAGCAGTAAAATACATCTGCGGGGGTGGAATGGTTTTATAAATCATTCAGGCTTTCTCTGCAAGTGCTCATCTTTCTACAGCTTATTTGGCTATACTGCACTTAGCTGTTTTCTATTTTTAAGCTGCTTTAAGCTGTACATGTGATAATACTCTGGCTGCTGGTAAAGGTAGACATAAACACATGCCGTGCCCAGTGCTTCTGTGCTAGAACTAGCGAGTGTGAGTGCTTACAGCATAGACATAAACCACAGAAAAGATACTGACAACATGCATTGAAATAGAAAACATTAATATATTTTAACCTTTATCATTTTAATTTTCCTTAGTTGTAATAATTCCCATAGCTGTTGTGATTTATCTTCTAATAAAGAACCTGATTCTGATTTTCCTCTTTTAATGACTCCATGTACATAGTTGGGTCTACTGAAACGTTGTTTCTGTGGGGCTGAACCACAAAATTGCCATTAATATTTATAGAAAGTAACATTTCCATTTGATTGCAAAAACTAGAACCAGTTAACAATTCCTCCTCTTTTTACTGAAAATTCATAAGGAAAGGTTTAAAGACCAAAGTAGAATTTCAAGTTAAATGAAACCCACAAGGATTTGCTTGCCTGATTTAAAAAGCTAGGGGTGATATTTAATGGTGGTTCACATTTCTGATACAGAGGTTGGAGTCTGAGTGGTTTAAATTGATCTGCTTAAAATCCTGGTCAATAAAGAATACAATGTGTTTACACTTCTGTTGTGGCTCAGTCTGGACAGGCCACAATCTACGCAGTCCCTTCAAGTCACCTAACAGATATTTGGGGTTGATACATAGGCCATTTTGGTGAAAATACTTTCAAAACAGTGTCTGTCACAAGGAATAACTGATCTCCTGTTCATTTTGCTGTACTTAAGGAGGAGACCATAAAAGATTCATCAGGGCAGGAGGATGAGACACAGTCATCTAATGACGACCCAGCACCATCTGTTGCTTCTCAAGATCCACAGGAGATAATTCGCCCTCGTCGATGTAAATATTTTGATACAAGTATGTAAAGTTCAGCTCTAAGCAGAGTCATCTCACTGGGATTGACCTTGGCTTAAGAACAGCTCTAGTTGATGTGGGATTCTGGTTCGGAAATACACCTGTTGGTACCCATAAACCCGTGTGTAATCTCCTTCATAACACTGCTCTTTATTGTTTTATACTCAAAATAACAGGGAAAAAAAAGCCCTATTTGTTGCTGAATGCTAAATCTCTGCAGATATGGGACTCTGTGAAAGGAGGGTCTCTTCTTGAAAGACTAAATCTATGGAAAAATTTAGATTTCTACAGTTTTGAAAAAAGCAGGTTCTCAGACAATGTGAATCCTTCCACTGTACTGCTCTGATTGTTGTAACAGTGCAGTTTATCATCCTGCAAACATAGGGTTCAAGCACAGTAAATGATGGTTCATAGAACCACAGAATGGTTTTGAGTTGAAGTGACATCCAGTTCCAACCCCTGCCACGGGCAGGGACCCCTTCCACTGGAGCAGCTTGCTCCAAGCCCCTGTGTCCAACCTGGCCTTGAACACTGCCAGGGATGGGGCAGCCACAGCTTCTCTGGGCACCCTGTGCCAGCGCCTCAGCACCCTCACAGGGAAGAGCTTCTGCCTAAGAGCTCAGCTCAGTCTCCCCTCGGGCAGGTTCAAGCCATTCCCCTTGGCCTGTCCCTACAGGCCCTTGTCCCAAGCCCCTCTCCAGCTTTCCTGCAGCCCCTTTAGGCACTGGAGCTGCTCTCAGGTCTCCCCTTCAGGAGCCTTCTCTTCTCCAGGCTGCCCCAGCCCAGCTCTCTCAGCCTGGCTCCAGAGCAGAGCTGCTCCAGCCCTCGCAGCATCTCCATGGCCTCCTCTGCACTCATTCCAACAGCTCCTTCTTTGTGTTTTACTACTACTTATTTAGTAGTAAAATTTATTGATAGGTTCATTTGTGCCTTAACTTTTCAGCACCCATTTTGTATCTGAATCCATTCTAATTGTGAGCTTACTGTGGGTCATTCTCCAAAGTTATCAATAGTGAAGCATCATCATTGTCACTAAAGCTGCCAATTGCACTTGCATGGTGTTAGATGAGGTGGCACTGAATCTGAGCAGGGCTGCGTGTGGCTGTAGGCTGTGGGATGAGGGGCTGGGGTGTGTTCTCCTGTCACCCTTGCTGGGGTACTCTCAAGAGCTGACTCTGACCTTCCAGGCCCCTCTCTCAGCCCACATGGGGGGAGGCTGCTGTTGGTGTGCCCGAGCTCTATCACAGCTCGTTTTTGTGTTAATGGTTGAACTATTTCTTGTAGACAGTGAAATAGAAGAGGAATCTGAAGAAGATGAAGATTATATTCCCTCAGAAGACTGGAAAAAGGTAAATACTATGGGCTGTGAAAAAATGTCTGTATTTCATGAATAATAATTTGATCGGTTACCTAGTAACTCTGAGCTCTATAGATCACCCAAATCCTCTCCAGTTTTTTCCCCATAAATATCAGAGTTTTGACAGTAAGAAGTGTTAGAGACCTCCCAAAAAGTCAAAAATTCCATTTCCACATAGTGCCTGTTAACTGTGGTTTTAGATTTTGAACAATGGAAGTTTGAAGGGATAAAAAAAGATGTGATGATTCTCTTGTTTGCTAACAAAATATCACAGCTATTGTGCTTAACTGCTTGTTTCTGTTGTTTCCAAACAGGAAATCATGGTGGGCTCGATGTTTCAAGCTGAAATTCCAGCTGGCACATGCAAATACAAAGAGAATGAGAAAGGTGAGAGTTAGCATTATTACCATTAAGATAATTTCCTAATGGGAGGAAATAAAAGACTTGATTGATGTTATGTGTCTTGCAAAATGAGAGGGTTTGCTCAGGTGGAAAATAGAGCCATCATCTCAAGCTATAGTTCATCCTGTACTTCACCATCAAAGCTTGAGTCATGGATGGGGAAAGGAAAGATTATATTGTTGGCCTGTTGCTTATTGAACCCTTACATTCTAATCTGGTAATGTACACAAGCTTTCTTATATAGCTTACAGTTAACCACTTCACCTAGTTTATGGAAAACAAAATAGATAGTTAAGAAACTGCATTGCTGGAATTGGATTAACGCATTAAAAGAGGCAAAATGGTACCAGCAGCTTTGATCTTCACATTTTATAACTCTTCAATCAGTATTAAAGAACCTTTTGTTCTACTTCTGGGTTTTTTGCCAACATTTCCCCCCTCACAACCAGAGTGTTTGGCAGTATGCTGTCAATATAATCAAGTCAGGAAGGGGAGACCCAGTTTAAACCCAGCTGTGAGCATAAAAGAAGCAAATTTCCCTCCTTATTCAGCCCATTAGTAAGAATTTCTTTACACTCGGGTCAGTTTGAGACTTCTTCTTTTGTAGGTTTATATAAGTTAGTTCTTTAACCAGCAGAAAACTCAGTGCCTTCCTGGTATGTGAGTATATACTCGGGTAGTAGTAGTTGTCTTGCTCCAGGTGCCAGGCTGCAGTAGCTACACTATAGACTGATTCAGCTAAAAACTGAGTAGGAAGAGCATCACTCCTGCTGTTGATTTAGAGCAGGATTCTGTCAGCTCTGGAGAGCCAGAGAGGTTGAAGGGAATGGAATTTAAAGCCATGCAAGAAGTCAGGAGCTTCCATTGAATATACAGATTAGCAAACACCTGCCTTTTAGCTGTGAAGAAGTTGCTATTTACAAGCTTTCCTGCTTTTGTCTGAAAATAGAGCTCAAACTATGTTGTTTGCCTAAATGCAGTAAATTATGCTTTACTGGTCACCTGCTTTTCCTGGTACTTACTCAGCTCTAAATGGCTTCTGGCCTTCAACAATAAAAAAGATATAGCTGCTTTGAGCATTGCAGGAACCCATATAAACCAGTTTTCATAGGCTTGCACACTGCTCTTTGCAGAACAAAGAACCTACGTCATGGGCAAAACCACTGAGGGGAAAAGTTATATATTTACTAATCATACTAGGGCTCTTCCACTTTTATATACCACATATATATATATTTATATCTTCAGACACTTCTTTCCTTTCTGCTGTGCTTTGGATGTAATCTTTGACAGGACTCCAACTGGAATATTAATAATGGAGCTTAAAAAGTTGGAAAATAAATGTCTGAGAGTATGTCTTTCATGTACATCTTAGTTGTTCGCTAATGAAGGGGAAATTCAGACAGTAAAATTCCCAAGGTGGTTAGTCCTTACATATCCAGTCCTGTAAGCAACAGCACAAAAATGCTGGAACTCTGAGGAATAACCACACTGCTTTTCAGAATGTGTTCTGGCATGCTGGTGCGAGGAAAGCACGACCATGGGATCTTCACTGGGCTAATTACAGTGAACTGGCTCTCTGAGAAGTATGTCTGGAGACCAAATTAGCTGCTACTAAACAAATGCAGGTTATGGTAAATCTATGGAGTTCAAATACAAGTTTTCAGAAGGCTTGGGCTTGAAAAATCAGAGGATAGCTCTGAAAACTGCCAGTCTCAAAGTTGCTTTGAGACTTACCGACTGGTGTCATTCATAAGCATCACCGTGCCATGTAGCTTCATCATTAAGGGAGCCTTAGAACTGATTATCAGTTACCTCCTGAAAAGAATTGTTGTTTCCCCTGGAGTTTGAACCCTGAGATACCTGGAATCTTTTTCTTGAATGAGCAACCAAACATCAGAGGAGGACTGATGCCTTTGAAGCAAAAAGCTCCCAGAAAATTGTTGGGAGCTGGTGCCAAAGAGTGGGTTGTTCATGAAATGAAACTGTCTTCTTTGCAAGACGCTTCATAATTCTCCTTACCAGCTTTGGGTTTTTATCTGTAGTCTGTTTTCCTGTTAAAAATACTTCTTGTCAAGTAGTGTCTAGCCACCACTCTGACCTTTCCACCTTCACAGAATGCTGCTGTGTCTTCCCTTTCCATGGTGACCATGATTTTCCCACCTTCCTTTTGTCAGAGGTGCTTACCAAGCTGATAGTATCTATGTGAAAGTTACTTTTTGTAAGGTTATCTTTCACTGAAGACTGGGCCACAAGCAAGGTTCCTGATTCTAGTTGTTTTATAACCTGAATTTGCTTTGATTTAGCTGTACTTGTATTTTAATCCTGCAAAGCTTGCAGGCTCTTTAGAACTAAAAATGGAAGAGAATTGCAAGGATACATCATTTGGCCGTGTTTCTCCAGTTAATTTCTGTTTATTGTGGCTTCCCTGGTCTGACAGAACAGCAGAGATTTGGTAATATTAAAACTCAGTGATCTGATTCTGGTTTAGAAAGTATCTTTTGGAAGTAGTAGGAAGGTCTTAGCAAAGTTTCTTTTCAGGAGCTGCTTGACTTCAGAATGTCTGGAATCTGGATGGAGCCATTTTCCCTGGAGAAGCAGTGGACCTTGTTGCTGGCTTTGCCAGCCATGTTAGCCGAGCCTTTGATACTTAGTGGTCCAGACACCTGTCACTCTCTTTAGCGTCATTTTTGGTGTCGTGCTTTTTGGTTTTATATGACTGATCCCACTAGTCTTGCAAGAAAACAGGTATGATTAGTTTCTGAAACAGTTTTCCATGCCTCTTGGCTGCCAGCAGTAAAACTGTGCTGCCTAAGGAAAAGGCATGATGGATGGATGGATGGATGGATGGATGGATGGATGGATGGATTATTCAGAACTGTGTCAGATAGTGCTGCTACTTCCGGGTTGCAGGAGAAGGACAGGGAAGTGGAGTATCATAAATGGTTCCTAGGAACTAGAGCATGGATTATGCCAGAGATTTGAAGACAGTTTAGGGTATAGTATCCTAGTCACTTGGATCACAGCATTCCTGACACTCCCTTTTACCTGTCCTTATGTGTGTTCTGGATCAGTGTTGGTGCTCTAATGGTCTTCCAAGGTTTCATAATCACTAGCATTATAAGAGAATACACTTCCATACTGTTCTAACTTGCTTGTGTTTCCCCTGTGATTAATTCAGTGTATGAAAATGATGACCAGCTGCTCTGGAATCCTGACTTCTTGCCAGAAGATAAAGTGATCGAGTTCCTAAATGAGGCATCGAGGCGTACGGGTGATGAGAAAGGCCTGGATGCAATTCCTGAAGGATCACATATTAAAGACAATGAGCAGGTATATGAGAATAATGAGGATTTGTAGTTTAATATCACAGAATGAATTATCCCTTTTTTTTTATTTCACTCCCAAGAACTAAAACTGTGTTTGAAACAGCTTTATTATTCCTTGTGGAAATGGAAATGTGATGGGTTTTTTACCTCTCCATAAATATTAAACTGTTAACTTTGGCTTAATGTTGCCTTATGCATCAGTGCATTATTTTAGCTATAAATAATTGTGTATGTATGGCTTCTTTCAGTTATAAATCTTTTTAAAGCTCTATGAATGCATACTTACTGTTTTCTTCATACAAAGAAACCATAAATTTTCCAAGTGTATGCAGTGGGTAAAAATGTTAAAATCCTTTGCCTGAATATATTCTTGGTTAAGTAATGAGAGATTCGGGAATTGAAACAGGCAAAATACGTCTTTGTGCTGTTTTAAATTATATTTCATTCATTCAAAGAGTTTATTCTTAATAAGTATTAGTGATTTACTAAGTATGCTTCTGTGGCACAATGTAAATGGAGTGGTATCTGGAATGTTAAATGTGTGTCTTTTCATCTTTCCAGGCATTGTATGAGCTGGTTAAGTGCAATTTTGATACCGAAGAATCATTACGAAGGCTGAGATTTAACGTCAAAGCAGCCAGAGGTGGGTGTACACTGAGAATTAAGCTTATATTGCTAGACTCTGGTTTTATTTGTTGATAGGTGTTGCTGTCAGCAGGCTGAGAAGTTTTATTAGAGCTTGACTGCTTGTAAGCCATATATACCAGTGCCCATTTAAATGCCATCTTCAGTGAATCTTTTATTACTCTCTGGGAGATTGAAATCAGCAGATGTAGTATGAGCAGGTACCTGCTCAAAGCGGGTTTGTAAATTCGCTTCCTGCCAATAGAGCTTGGGTTTATATCTGTGACTTTAATAACAGGCTAAAATTTAAAACAACTTCTTAGGAACTGAATTGTGCGTTCCTTGGGCACATTTCTTCTTTGTTCTTCTAGACCTTTTCATTCTTCAAAGTTAATGGAACAACCATGTAATAGAAAATGAAATAATGCACAATTCTAAATAAAGAAGAACGAGCATCTAAACCTTTTGTTTAACAAAGTGTAACAATAGAAAGACCCTGGTCTTAAAGATGCTTTGGGAGCCTTCAGCATTTCCTGGTTTGGTATTGATCCTTACACTCAAAGGAACAAGAAACTAAGAGAAGACACAAGTTATTTTCCTTGCACATTGATCTGTTGATTCTGCTTTCAAACCTGTGCAAATCACAAGACAAGAATGATCAAATAGAGAAGATTAGTTTGTTCTCCCACTATTTTAAACCTTATTTATTCTTGACCTTAGCAATCAATAAGGCCAAATTATATTAAGTTCTTAGAAGTGTAGCTGAAAGTTATTAGGGGTTCATTCTGGCTTCAGTGGGACCAAGTTTTCCCATCCAATAGTGTGAGCAACACAGTTTCCTATACTACCTGCCTGGATTTAGCAGCCTGTCATTGCTGGCTCTTCCCAGCACTAAAGAAGATCTCACTCTTCATTCCTTTCCTCCTGCTTCTTCCAACTACCAGCAATCAGTCTGAGTCCACAGCATGAACTCCTTTGTGCTGTGTCCTGGCTTGAGGGATACCTGCTTCCTATGGCTGTAGAGGCGGAATGGTGAGAGCAGGTTTCAACCCCCTTCTTCTTCTTTTCTGCTGCCTCATTATTTTCCCCATGTGGCAGGGCTGAGGTTTATAACAGTCCCTGCTGACAAGCTGTTGAAGGCAGACAAATTGCCCACCTACTCACTAGAAGGGAGAGTTTCATTTTGGTACCAGTAAGTGAAGTTTCTGGAGGTGGCTCTCCTTGAGTCAGCAGATGGTATAAGAAACTGTCACTGAAATTTTCTTCTATTGACCATATGCTTTTTGGTTAAGTGTTTTATTTATTGCATTTTCTTCCTCTAGAAGAATTATCTGTTTGGACAGAAGAAGAATGCAGGAACTTTGAACAAGGGCTGAAAGTCTATGGCAAGGATTTTCATGTGATTCAGGCAAATAAGGTAAAACTGATTTTAAGCATAGTTCTCGCATTTTATTTAAAGCAGTGCAATAATGAATGAAATCTTACCCTCAATTTCCTTCACAAATTATTTACTTCTTCTGTTTTTCCTACATATATGTCCAAATCGGTTTCTCAAAGTCCAGAATCCTTTATAACTGTGCCTGTGATCCCAAAGTTCAGGGAAGTACAAAAATCCTGCTGTGCATACATCATCCCTAGGGTCTTTAACTTGGATCTTGAGTGGACTGCTGAAAGAGGCTTGAATATTGCTCCTGAAGCTGTTGCTTGCAGCACCTCAGGATATCTTCATTATCCTCCAAAATGCTATTAAACTTTACATCTCCATTTCTGGGCCTCTGGAATTTTGAGTCAATAGTTTCCACTCTTTCCTCGTTGTGTAAAGAAGCATTGACTTTGAATTTCACACCTTTTGATTTAAATGGTAGCTTTTTGGCAAAAAAAAAAAAAAAAAGATCTTGAAATTCACCCAAACTTGCATGGCACCTATTTCCTAGGTACGAACACGATCAGTTGGTGAGTGTGTAGCATTTTATTACATGTGGAAGAAATCAGAGCGTTATGATTTCTTTGCGCAGCAGACGCGATTTGGAAAGAAGAAATACAATCTTCACCCTGGTGTAACGTAAGATGTGCATTATTTCTATGTGCTTTTACATGTTGCATCTAAATCTTTCATCTTATACTGCTCTAATCTGAAATGGCATCACAACAGGGGGATTCCATAGTTCCAGTTTGCAGCAGGAAACCAGACAAGGTGTAAGAAAAGTATAATCTGGCTTCTAAAGTAGATTTATTTGGAGTAAGGCCAACAGTTTGCATTGAGCAGCTATTTAATTTAGCTTCTTTGCTGCTGAAATGTTTCACAAATGTAGCATTTCTGCAAATATGTGGGTTTATTTTTAAAGGCTTGGTTTACTTTAAAGACATGTTTTATACAGAGGCATTAGTCACAGGTTTCAGGGGGGATTTGTGCTATACTATAGTCTCGGAATGTGTTGTTTGGCAAGAATTGGCCAACACAGTGCTCTGTATTGGAGCTTTTTTGGGTGTACAGAGCTCCTTTCCCCATTCACATCTCAGGCAGAGAGGGGACGTTTGTAACTGAGTATTCTCCTCTCTCAAATCTGAGCAAGTGAGCCAACATATCCTTCTGCCCTTCATTCCAGTGCAGTGATTCTATGATTTTACTATCCCACTCCTTCCGCTGACTTTTTCCAAGTCTTCCTACTATTTTTTTTTATTCCTTGTTTACTCCTGGCTTCTGTTGATCCTTCTGTGTAATATCAGTGTTTCTGAACTCTGTTGGACCACTGAAGTGAACTTGCAGTATGACATTGAGAGTTGCCATCTGTAGCTTTGTAAAGCAAACTGTTACAAAGAAGCTGCTAGTTTCTTAACCGGTTGTCAGGGACTGTCTGTCTCCCCCTTTTCTTCCATCTTCTTTTTTTCCAGATGGACATTCTGGGTTGTTAATCACTTCAAACATTGTCTGATCCCTTTGCAGTTACCTGCATGTGGTGATCTAAAGTGCCATTAAGGATTGTACTTGTCTATTCTTGACTGATTTTGCAGATAGATGTGGGAAGTTAGGTGCAGTATCAGTTCCAGAATAGTTATGTGTGAGGCTGTGCTGTTCCTGGAGCTAATCCAGGCTACTGTAAGGGCTTTACCAGCCAGCTTTGTTTGTTTAAATCTTTCATAAGAGATTTACCATTAGTGACCTAAATTGTAGGACTGTAATAGATTTCAGATATGGAAATTGTCTTTCACTCTGAAGCTTTTAATTTCCTTTTAACTTTGGCCTTCCTGAGGCTGTACGTGCACAAAACTTACTTACTTTAATGGTATGGTGTTGCTTTATACCTTAATGGTATGTTACTGCTGCTGCAGCAGATTGCAAGAACTTAGTACAAAGCTGCCTGAGAGCATCTCCTTGAGAGCAGTCCACAGCGTCACAGCAGATTGAAGTTCCTGCTTGTGCATGATCTTATGGGGCTTAGCATAAGCACAGGCTGAATTTATAGGAGCTGGCTGTGAGGTTGGTCAGTAACCACATGGTTGCTGTGGACAGACCATACCTGGGGAAGTTAACCCAGGAGATACTGAAGCTGTCAACTTTGCAAGATAAGCCTGTGCATTATCAACAGATCTGAAATGGGACTTGGTCACACTTGCAGTACGTACAGGGAGTATTTATGTGCAAATAACTCCAATACTTTACACTGCAAAGGTGAAGCTGAATGTGCTGTTTCTGTTGTGTAGGGATTATATGGACCGTCTCCTGGATGAAAGTGAAAGTGCTGCATCCAGTAGAGCTCCCTCCCCTCCTCCTACAACTTCCAACAGCAGCACCAGCCAGTCTGAGCGGGAAGACAGCACAACCAGCAGCAGCAATCAGAATGGTGAGTGCCTGCCCTGTCCCTCTGAAACAGTTGCCAGATGATCACAGCCAAGTGGGAGAAACAAACCTCCTTTAGTTTGAATGTTTTCCAAGGTGCTAGAACCTTCAAGTTCAAAATGTTTCTGAAACAGCTACACATTTGCATTTAGCCAGTGCAGAGACCAGGATGGGAACTCGGCTGTTGTGTAGCACTAGTGCCACTGTGTTGCCTGTCTCAGGACCACCACTGGCTGTTCTTACCAGGCATGGGGCATTGAAGGCCAGTTAGGAATGGGAAAAGAGCCAGGACAGGATAACTCATGTGCGAAGAAAACCTCAAAAGCAAGGGACAGCCGTTCCAAAGGAGCTGGTGAAAGCAGTAGCAGGAGGAGGGAGGAGCTTGGGGGTGGCTCAGGTTGTGAAAGTCAAGAGGAAGCTACGGAAAGTGCCCAGGTGAGGACAGTCCACCTGCAGCTTGTACAGTTAGGAGACTCCAGGACATTTTCTTGGCTTGTAAAGGCTTCCAGAAACTCTGATGTGATAAGTCTGTCGTTTGTATGCAAATAAATCACTTGTCCATCACACAGCAAGGGTATGGAGAGCTATACTGGCTTTTTAGTTGAATGGGGCTAGTTACACTTCTGCTTTGTTGACCTGTCTCAGATTGTACTGTTACTGGTGATGCTTCTACTGTGTGCCTTACACTGTGTCTCTGGAACACAGGGGTGTCTGCTAATGGCCCAGGTGAGATACCAAACAAAGATGAAGCAAAAACTGAAGGATTGCATGTAAATGGACCTACTAGTGGGAAGAAAACACCTCACACGGATCTGGATACAAATGGGTATGAGACTGAGAACCTTTCCATCGACCCAAAACTTGCTCATTCAGCTTCAAGAAACGAGAATGATTTTGAAGAAAAAAATGAAAGACCTCTAAAAAGAAGAAGAATTAACAGCAATGGCAAAGAGAGCCCAGGTTCTTCAGAGTTCTTCCAAGAATCAAATTCACACGGGAAGCTTGAAGAACTAGAAACTTTGGATGACTGAGTGCTAGGAGCTGATTTTTATTCCTTGGAGTAAATGTGGGGTGTCTAAAATTTTCAGGGTTGATGGGTTACCTTGCAAAATCCAGCTCCCTAAAGCAATCTGCTGAGATTTTTTTTCCTATTACCTTCTAGGTGGCTCTTAAGATCTGATGAGTTTTGGGGATTTATTCAGTGCTGAAGAGCACTAGGAGACTATTTTGTTTCTCAGAGCTGGCAACTGCAGTTCTGGGAGCAACAGTAAGGCTCTTAAAAACATTAGTGAAACAAATCAGTGAGTTTGTACAAAAATACTCCCAGCCTAATCCATTTAAAGAAACTTCTGTGTGTAACACACCATGTAAGCATTGTACAAGTGAACAAAGCATCCTATTTGAAGCAAGGGGCTGGTTCAAACCTTGCAGGAGGTTAAAATGAAATAGAAGACGTGCATCAGAGCAGGCACCGAGAGCAAGAGGAAAGCACCATCCCGTTGTTAAGGAACCCGTGTGAATCCTGAAAGTTATGAGCACAACTATTTTTATATATAGAAGTTTTAAAAGGTAAATAAATAAACCAGGTCAGGTTTGTCTATGTAAAATTGTTGACATCAATGATGTCTTTCCATATTCTTTATCTGGGCTAAAGAAATACGTTCTGTATTTTTCCAGATTCCTTTGTAGCCTTTGAAAGATTTTTACAGTACTTATGTCTTGATTGAACTGTCCTTTCTTAAAACTAAAGCTTGTATAATTTTCTTAACTTGTACAGTTGGTAAACTTTTATGAGAGAATTGATATCCTGAGTCTAATGTCAGCTTCCTTTTGTTTTGCTGAAGTCTTTTCTAGGAAAAAAAAAAAGACAAAAAATACCCCTAAACCAAACCAATCGACTTAAAAGATGCTTTTTAGCCACCATCATGTTATTTTCTTCTCAGAGAACAGTCAACACTTGACATCAAGAATGGTTACATGTCATTTGATTTTGAAAACTATGATTTTTCTTACTTTTTATGGCAAATAGCAATGCTAAGGATGTGTTAAGCATGATGCTTGCGTTGCACAAAGTCCCTCGCTTCCCTTAGCCATCATCTCGTCTCTTTTTGAACTCAGCTAAATGCTTCACCAAGATCAGGTGTTAGCTCATCCTCTGCTTTATTTGCAGGCTGTCATCTTCCACATTTCACCAAGCACAGGAAGGGTAGGGAAGTGGAAAGGGATTCTGGCTGTACAGCTTGAAAATGGACATGCAGCCAGGAACCTGGGCTGGAATGTCTGACAACCAGTGGGCCTTGTCTGGATGGGTGTTTCAGTGGGAGCAGGAACATCATATACACATATTTGGCACAGAAGATACACTCATTGTATAGAGCTTCACATGTAACAAGTGAGAGTAGGTATGGATTTTAAGCTTAAGGTGGGAGAAAGGGGGATTCTTTGTAGTGTATGTGGAGGGCGTGATGCTCACCATCCCACTAGCAGAATGTGAGAATATTTCAGGTAGGGTTCACATCCATGAAATAGGAAAAGTTTTTTAATAGCAGTGTTTTGGTTTATTGTTATTTATAAAGCCACATCTACTATATTTAAAAAAATAGGAAAATTGTTCATTTGTATAACTTATCATCTTGTCCTCCTCCTCCTGTGGCTTACAGGCATGCTGGCCATTTTTAATGGGTTATTTTCACATTTATGAGTCTGTATAATTTCGGTTTTAAGTGTATGGTCCTATGGTTTGAAACTGATTTATCACCCTAACACCCAACTGCTAAAGGTTTTGTTTGGTTTCATTTCTTCTTCAACCACCTGAACTTGGACTCCATGGTCATTAACGAGCCAAATCCTCTGGATCCGGCCTGGTTCTGTCACCATGATGGGTTACAGGAGCTGTTAACCTGCTGTTCCCAGAAGTGCTGTGAATGATCCACTCTGACTGGTCCAGCTGACGTGTGGAAGGTGACATCTGCCTAGAATTAGCCAGCAATTCACATGGAGAGGCACAGCAGAGAGGTTTGCTAACTACAGCCTGCGTTAATCAAGTAATGAAGGGATTGCTTTAGTAAGAGGTTGCTGTTAACTTCCCAATCTGGTTCATCAAACCCAAAGCATCACAGCCTTGGATCAAAGATGGGCTTGAGACCATTTCAGACTGACGGTGGTGCACTGCCGCTTTTGCAACTAGAGTCCTATTTTCACTTTTATTCTGATACAGTTTTGTTTGCTTCCACAACCCGATAGGAACGTTTCTAAGTCAATTGGCTCAGGCTTGTGTGTGAAATACAGCACCGTGTGTATCTTCAGGACTGTTGCTTTGGTTTATCTTACCTTCCTTTTGGTGACGCATAGGAGGCACCTGACATTCCATAATCAGCAGCTCTGCAATGCTCAGCTAGACTTTAAGAAGATTTAATTCTGATTTAGGTTTTGTTTATGCTGGTGTTTTATACAAGACTTTGTTCCTGTTCCTCAGCCCGCAGCCACTATAACTTGATAAGTCATTGCACTACTAAAGCTATTTAAAAGCCTAGAACTAAAGTAACTCTGATTTCATTTGCAAAGCCTTTGGTGCAGTTTGGAGCTCAGAGCCTTGTTTCCAAACTGCGCTGAAGCCTCACATCACGAGTTGGATGTGTTCTGGAAGTGCTGTCATGATGAAGTGCTTTAAGACTGCAGCCTGCATGGAAAGCCCAGTTCAACAGAGTCAGCCTCGTTGCTGCGCTTCCTAAAGGATTAAGCGGGATATTATAAAACCAACCAACCACACACACACAACTTACGAGTTAGTTTTATACATTTTCCACACATTGTAATTTTGCACTGTTGGCAGTTCCCTCTCTGATCCCCCACCCTCTGTCTGCAATTCTGAAAAAGCTTATTAAACTATTTTTTAAACCTAACTTGTCTGCAGAAAGAATTCCTGAGTTTTTTGCTCAAAGCGTGGGATAGAGGGTTTCTGCTTGGGGAGGAGGTGAAGAACCCACCCCGGTGTAGCAGCCTGGTGAAAACCACAGAAACAAAATACCCTTTTCTGGTTCAGCTTTGCACTGTTTCTTTCTTTCAAGGTTGCTCCTGAATCCATCTTCCCCAGCACTGGCCCAGGGCAGCAGCAGCCCAGGACTGGTGGTAGATGAGCAGCTGAAGAGGCAGCCCAGAGACCTGTGGGCTTTAATGTAAAGGCAGCATCACATAAAGGAAGGCAGCGAAGAGAGGAAGGCTGGTGCTGACACCAAGGAGAGGCAGCAAGGGGTGAGCTGTGGGTTATGACTTAGTTCTTTGTGGGTTGTCACTTAGTTAATTTTAACTTCTGAGTCAAAGCTGAAAACCCAAGAGACCTCCCTCACCCCCCCTCCCTCCACCCATACACACAAGGGACAACAAACCTGCTGCGTCCCTGTTACTGTCACCATCTCCAGCCTTTTCTTGCTGCTCCAGGGAAGCACAGGCCAGGCCGTGGCAGAAGGCAGGAGGAGCAGGGTAGGAGGAAGGAAGGACACTGGTTTATTTGAAGCCAGTACAAAAATACATAGGCATATAAACTTTGCTCTCGTTACTGACATCCAAAGCCTGCCATACATTCAAGTCAAAAGGTCAGCCTTTTAATCACTAAAATGGTCATTTTGTAAATAGATTCTATGTAGAAAACAATTTTAGTTGACTAATAGCATAGAAAATAGTGTGGTAGGAACTCTGTTTGCTTTCCCAGTGTATGCAATACCGTCCAGAGCCTGGCACTGAAGGGTGCCTGGTCACAGACAAAATAAGCATTAAAAAATATCTTCCCATTTGGACCGACAAATCTAACCAGCAGATTCCAGAAACAACCCCCAACCCCATCAGAGCTTTAGCCAGAACAGACATCCTGGCTGCGACCGCCTCAGCACAGCCAGATGACAAGCAAATGTGGCAAAACCAGAAGGAACTCATTCGCAGGTGAAGTGGGATTCTGGAGCAGGCAGCAGCAGCCTCATACCAGCACGTGAGGCTTTTGCAGCACTGCTACAGAAATCCACATCACGTGTAAGGATTTCAGTGTTAAGCACCCCCATAGATGCAGCTTTGCCCAACAGCAAGTTTTTAGCAAGTGTCTTCCAGAAACAAATTCTGGTGTCTGTAGAAGCTGTTTTCCTGGTTACCAAAGCAGCATATACAAAATAATTCATAAATACTGTTTTACCAAAATTGTGGGTTTTTTTAACCAAAGTTATAAACAATCCTTTTTAAACCAAAAGACAATCCAAGAAGAGACCTAGAAAGAAGTGCTGTGTAAAACAACCTTTAAAAAATCAGCTAACACTGCCCAACATATTAAAAACCCCATTCTTCTTATGGGTCACAAACCAAAAACAACTTAGTATCAAAAACCCTGCGACCTGCAGGACGGGGCTTGGCCAAAGCAGAAGTGCTGGTGCTCAGTGCTCGAGGGACCAACTCCACACCTCAAAACCCCAGGCTGCTCCCCATCGACTTGTTAAGACAAGTCCAGAGGAGGCCATGGAGATGCTGCAAGGGCTGGAGCAGCTCTGCTCTGGAGCCAGGCTGAGAGAGCTGGGCTGGGGCAGCCTGGAGAAGAGAAGGCTCCTGAAGGGGAGACCTGAGAGCAGCTCCAGTGCCTAAAGGGGCTGCAGGAAACCTGGAGAGGGGCTTGGGACAAGGGCCTGTAGGGACAGGCCAAGGGGAATGGCTTGAACCTGCCCGAGGGGAGACTGAGCTGAGCTCTTAGGCAGAAGCTCTTCCCTGTGAGGGTGCTGAGGCGCTGGCACAGGGTGCCCAGAGAAGCTGTGGCTGCCCCATCCCTGGCAGTGCTCAAGGCCAGGTTGGACACAGGGGCTTGGAGCAAGCTGCTCCAGTGGAAGGGGTCCCTGCCTGTGGCAGGGGTTGGAGCTGGAGGAGCTTTAAGGTCCCTTCCAACACAAACCAGGCTGGGATTCTAGAATTCCAAGTCTCTGGGCCTCTTCTAGATTATTCTGGGTGGGAAGAGGATGGCAGGAGCAGTGGATTTTCTGGATCTGCTCCACACTGATCCAAAGCACCCTGTGAGGGTCCCTGCCCCAGCACAGCCAGCAGCTTTCCCAAATCCAAAGCGTTTTGATCCTGGGGTGGGTTGAGGGAGGCTGTGGCCCTGCCAAGCACACTGGTGGGAGATAAAACCTTCTTGTTGGGAATGTCCCTAAGCCTCCTAAAAGCACCATCAGCAGACCCAGCATCCACCCTGGTGGTGGCTGCACTGAGATGGGATGTGGTCAAGGATGCTGAGGTACAGCCCTCAGGGCCAACACAGTCCTCCATGATTCAAACACATGCTGCTTGTGCCAATCACTTCTGCCAAATATCAGCGTGATTAAAACCCCATTAATTCCTCATGATCAGTCTGAATCAGATGTCTTCTTCACCGTGTAGTTATCTTCCCAATGATTTGTAAAGGCAGCCATCAAGATTGTGCAAATTAAGAGCATCACTGTTACTCCGTGGCAGATGCCTGGATTCCTTCCCACATTCTGCCCGTGATCAGCCGAACAGACATAGATTGCTTCCCAAAAAAAGCCTCTGCTTGGTCACACAGAGCTTTTCCCTTTAATATCCATCTTGCTGCCAGCTTCGGACTCCTTGCTCTTTTGCTCCTCCGTGAAAGTGATGTAGGAATACACCAGGCTTCCAGCAATACTGCAAAACGAGTGGAGACATCAGGAGACAGAAACCCTGGCCAAGGATCTGCCACAAGCATCAACTGGCAAGTAAATTCTCCATTTCCCTCCTAAGACAAGGTATTTGGTCTAATTCCTGCCCAAACATTGCTACCCCGAGTTCCTAACCTGGTGCTGGACCCGCTGAAGGGATCCTGCTGAAGGACAAAGGAGAGTTTTCACAACACAGAAAGGCAACATTCCCAAAGGCTGTGGTAAAACACAGCTGAAATAAACCAAAGAGTGCTTCCTTTGCTGCCTTAATGATAGGATTCCCAACTGCAACACTGGGAACAGCTTCACTTTGCTGCTAAGAGATGTTCATGTGATCTCTAGGCTTTAAAACAACCCAAGTCCATCCAGGAGCTCTTCCAGCCTGAGCTGGGAGCAGGGACCGAGTGGTGCTAGGCTCGTCTCAGGCTCCAAGACATGGGTTGACACCATGCTGGCTCCTCTGCTGCAGCACAGATAGGTGACAATTCCACAGGGATTTCCTTGAAAGAAGCCTGGAGCCTGTCAAACCATTCCAGTTTGACAGCAGTTTTCACTTAAAATCATAACTAAAAACTATGAACAAAGTTGTTCTTACCTGATATTTAGACCAATGAAGTTCATCCATGTAAAAATATAGTCTCCTCCAAAAAACATCCCAATATAGGTTACTAAAATATTCTGCAAAGGAACAAGATTTGAGGAGCAAGAACACAAGTTTCTGTACAGCCCCAGACAAGCCTGTGCTCAATGCATTAACCACTATGGAAACAGGAAACCTCCGGTGCAGGAAGCATGGAACAGGCAAGTGCAGGCAAGGCTGGATTCATAGAACCACGGCATGGTTTGGGTTGAAGGGAGCTTAAAGCTCATCCAGGGCAGGGAGGGACACATTCACAGTATCACAGTAGGTTAGAGATTGGAAGGGACCTCAAAAGCTCATCCAGTCCAATCCCCCTGCCGGAGCAGGAACACCTAGATAAGGTTACACAGGAACGTGTCCAGGCGGGTTTTGAATGTCTCCAAAGAAGGAGACTCCACAACCTCCCTGGGCAGCCTGTTCCAGTGTTCCGTCACCCTCACTGAGAAGAAGTTTCTTCTCAGGTTTAAGTGGAACCTCTTGTGCTCCAATTTGTACCCATTGCCCCTTGTCCTTTCATTGTTTGCCACTGAGAAGAGCCTGGCTCCATCCTCGTGACACTCCCCCTTTATATATTTATATACACTAATAAGGTCACCCCTCAATCTCCTCTTCTCCAAACTATAGAGACCCAGCTCCCTCAGTCTTTCCTCATAAGGGAGATGCTCCACTCCCTTAATCATCTTAGTTGCCCTGTGCTGGACTCTCTCCAGCAGGTCCCTGTCCTTCTTAAACTGAGGGGCCCAGAACTGGACACAATATTCCAGATGAGGTCTCACCAGGGCAGAGTAGAGGGGAAGGAGGACCTCTCTCGACCTACTAACCACCCCCTTTCTAATACACCCCAGGATGCCATTGGCCTTCTTGGCCACAAGGGCACAGTGTCGGCTCATGGTCACCCTGTCGTCCACCAGGACCCCCAGGTCCCTCTCCCCTACACTGCTCTCTAACAGGTCGTTCCCCAGCCTATACTGGAACCTGGGGTTGTTCCTGCCCAGATGCAGGACTCTACACTTTCCCTTGTTATATTTCATCAAGTTATTCCCCGCCCAGCTCTCCAGCCTGTCCAGGTCCCTCTGGATGGCAGCACAGCCTTCTGGCGTGTCGGCCACCCCTCCCAGCTTAGTGTCATCAGCAAACTTGCTGATAGTACACTCAATTCCCTCATCTAAATCGTTGATGAATATATTAAATAATACTGGTCCCAGTACCGACCCTTGAGGCACTCCACTAGATACAGGCCTCCAACTAGACTCTGCCCCATAGACTCCAACTCTCTGGCTTCTCTCCTTCAGCCAGTTCACAGTCCACCTCACTACCCGATCATCCAGACCACACTTCCTCAATTTAGCCGCAAGGATGCTGTGGGAGGCTGTGTCAAACGCTTTGCTGAAGTCAAGGTAGACCACATCCACCGCTCTGCCATCATCCATCCACTGTGTTATTTCCTCATAAAAGGCTACGAGATTGGTCAAGCACGACTTCCCCTTGGTGAAGCCATGTTGACTGCCCCTCATAACCCTCTTATCCTTGATATGCCTTAAGATGGCACCAAGGATAAGGTGTTCCATCACTTTCCCAGGAACGGAGGTGAGGCTAACCGGTCTATAGTTACCCGGGTCCTCCTTCTTGCCCTTTCTGAAGACAGGAGTGACATTTGCTTTCCTCCAGTGCTCAGGCACCTCTCCCGTTTCCCAAGACTTGGTAAAGATGATGGAGAGCGGTCTAGCAATGACCTCAGCCAGTTCCCTCAGCACCCGCGGGTGCATCCCATCTGGACCCATGGATTTATGGATATCCAGATTGCTCAACTGGTCTTTAACCCATTCCTCATCGACTAAGGCAGACCGCTCCGTTGACCTATCTTCATCCGGGGTCTCAGCGGTACAGGGCTCTTCAGGACTGCCTCCGGCAGAGTAGACAGAGACAAAGAAGTCATTCAGTAACTTTGCCATCTCTGTATCTTCTGTCACCAGGGCACCCGTCCCGTTCATCAGCGGGCCTACATTGCCTCTGGTGTTAGTTTTACCTGCCATGTATTTGAAAAAGCTCTTTCTGCTGTCCTTGACCCCTCTCGCCAGCTTTAATTCCAAGGAGGCCTTAGTCATCCTAGCAGCTTTCCTACATCCTCTAGCAGCAGCCTTATATTCTTCCCAAGTGGCCAGCCCTTCTTTCCATGACCTGTAAACTCTCCTCTTCCACTTGAGCATACCGAGCAATTCCCTATTTAACCACGCAGGTCTCCTGACCCTCTTCCTCGACTTCCTACGTGTCGGGATGCTCCGATCTTGAGCTCGGAAAAAGCAGTCCTTGAACGTCAACCAACTATCTTGGGCCCCTTTCCCTTCAAGCAGCCTAGCCCACTGGATTTCCCCTAGCAATCGCTTGAAGAGGCCAAAGTTTGCCCTGCTAAAGTCCAGGGTTGCGATTCTACTTGCTATTCTACTGACCCTACCACACAAGATCCTGAATTCTACCATCTCGTGGTCGCTGCAACCAAGGCAGCCCTCAACCTTCACTGCTTCGACCAGACCCTCCTTGTTAGTGAGGATGAGATCCAGCAGCGCACCTCTCCTGGTTGGCTCGTCCACCATTTGCATGAGGAAGTTATCATCCACACACTGGAGGAACCTCCTGGACTGCGGCTGGGTTGCCGAGTAGTCCTTCCAGCAAACATCAGGGAAGTTAAAATCCCCCACGACGACCACGGCCTGTGACTGTGAGGCCGCTGTCAGCTGCCTGTAGAAGGCCTCGTCAACTTCCTCACCCTGATCCGGTGGCCTGTAACAGACCCCCACAACAGCATCGCCCCTGCCAGCCTGCCCCTTAATTCTCACCCACAGACTCTCGACTCGCTCATCATCTGTCCCCAGACAGAACTCAACGCATTGTAGCTGCTCTCGCACATAAAGAGCAACCCCACCACCCCGCCTGGCTGGCCTGTCTTTCCTGAAAAGAACATAGCCCTCCATGACTATATTCCAGTCATGTGAGCTGTCCCACCACGTCTCTGTAATTGCCACCAGATCATAATCTCCCGACTTAACACAGGTTTCTAGCTCCTCCTGCTTATTTCCCATGCTGCGCGCATTCTGCTAGAGCAGGGTGCTCCAAGCCCCTGTGTCCAACCTGGCCTTGAGCACTGCCAGGGATGGGCAGGTTTAGAGCTGCTGAACAGAGGCTCCACTCCAGAGCAGCCTCACACACACTGCTGGGCACTGAAACCCAGAGTAACACCCAGGAGCACCCATCTATTGGTGCAATGGGCTTGTTGGGCCACAGTGACCCAGCAGATCACAGGGACTGTGGCTGTTTCTGGCTGGTTTCCACATCATTAGCCCTGGGGAAGCTGAGTGCACCAACCACATTCAGCGCCACACACAGCCTCTTGCCACGCAACCATGCACAGAGTATTCCTGTACTCCAGACAGCAGCAAAGAAATGAATGCATTAAAAACTGAATCCCATTGGAGCTGTCCTGCCCCCTGCGCAGCACCTGAGGAAAGCCCCAGAGCCCCTGTGCTTGTGTAGGCAGAGCCAGGGGATGCACAGTGTGGATGCATCATGGGGATGCTTAGTGGAAGCGGTTGCAGGGATGCTGTGGATGCCCCAAGGCTGTTCAGGGCTCTTGCTGGATGGACAAGGAGCAGGGAAAGCCACTTACCTTAATGCAGCCAACTATTGTAGTTGTAAGAGCAGAATTATACTGAGTGCAAAGAACCGTGGAGTACATCAAAATAAACCTGCAGGAGGAAGAGCCAACGTCAGCTTTCAGGACACGCTTTGTGCATCACCACCCATCTCACCCCCTCTTTTCTACAGTGGTATTTATACCACTGCTTTTCTGGGCTAAACCTGCACTGAAGCAGGGTAGGAAATGATTTCCATCTGCCACAGCTCTCAGCAACATTGTCCCCATCAGGACTAAGGATTTCTTATTTCTTTAACCCCGAATGGCTCAGACCACCAAATGGCAGCACCCACCACCACAGCAGGGGGTGACCTTACCCCATCACACACGACAGCATAAACTGCACAATGAAGAACGTGTCTGCCCAGCCCTGGTACTCCATTGCCTGCAAGAAACACACCCCAAGCCTTAGAGGAGGAAAAGGAAATGCAGTCATTCACAGCAAGACAAGAAACAAGTCCCTGATGTTGGTTTTGACGTCACAGCAGGAAAAAACAAACCCTAACATGGCTCAGGGTGATGTCCTCGGGCTGTCCACGTCAGCATCACCTCCAAATCAAGGAGCTCTTTTGCACCTCCCCATGAAGGAGGATTTCACACATACATTATAAACCACAGTACCATTGAATCACACACTGGTTTGGGTTGGAAGGGACCATAAAGCTCATCAAGATGGGGCCCTTCAGCCTGGAGCAGAGCAGACTCAGAGGACGGAACCCCTAGGAGTTATCTTTTATACACAGGCCTTTGCTTGCCACCCTCAGCACCCCCATTTCTGCCTCTCCCATAACAATCGTTGTCTCTGATGCTTGTTAATGAACTACAAGAGTTAACACGTGGATGGGGGCAGTTTCCCCAGTGTGGCCCCCCACGATGCAGCCCCCAGCCCGGCTCTGCCCCGGGACATGTCCGGCTGCACGCCCTGCACAAGGGGGGTTTTCATGAGGCTGCAAACGTGGTTTCCTGGCAGCAGCCCCAACAAGCGCATCTTTGTCTGCCTCCGGCTGCCAGGAGCTCGGCCAGGGAGAGAGGAGTTTGTTCAGGGGAGGAAAAAACCCTAAAAATAAAGGAGATTTCTCCACGGGCTGAACAGAGGCTGCACAGTGCAGCCCAGAGCAACGGCCTGCTCCCTGCCCGCCAGCTCTGCCTATAAATGAGCACTTTATCATAGAATCACAGCCTGCTTTGGGTGGGGAGGACCCTAAGCACATCCAGCTCCAACCCCTGCCACTGGAGCAGCTTGCTCCAAGCCCCTGTGTCCAACCGGGCCTTGAGCACTGCCAGGGATGGGGCAGCCACAGCTTCTCTGGGCACCCTGTGCCAGCGCCTCAGCACCCTCACAGGGAAGAGCTTCTGCCTAAGAGCTCAGCTCAGTCTCCCCTCGGGCAAAGTCAGCGTTATCTAGGGCAGGGTCTGAGCTCCCTTCATCCTCTGCAATCACCTCTCCCCACTAATCACAGCTCCTTATCTCAGTGGCTGCTTACTGAGGGCCATCATTAGAGCTTTAAGCTCCTAGTGAGAGAAAAGCCCTCTGGGTACAGCCTGGGGGGACAGACAGGGGTGTCTACGGGGCACCAGCAACACCTCCAGCCTTCAAAACTTGCCATGGAGGGGGATGCTCACCCATGCAGAGTGAAAAAGGAGTGCTCTTATTCAGGAGAGGCAACCGAGCAGGACTGCACATAAGCTAAGGCAATAATTATTCATAATAATTATGAATAATTATTACTATTAATAATTAATGTGAAATCATTCATATTATCCTACAATATAAATGTCACATATATGTAACCAGATGTAAATCAGATCATGCCCTGATGAGGCAGCACCAGCAAACTGACTCCTAGAGCACCTCAACTGTCTCAGCAAGAGGGAAGGGCACAGGGGAGTTTGAAGAAGCTCATTTATCCTGAAAACACCCAACTTCTGTGTTCTGAATAACACTGTTTCACCTATTGCTCTCCCACTTCCCCATTCAAACGTGCCCAAAATGCTGGAATGGAGCAACTCTGTGGAATTAAGTAAGTCCAGTGTAAGGCTGAGTTCCTTTCTGCTTATGTGGTTTTGGGGTCGTTACTCTCCCATCCTTTGCCCTGACTTCCTCCCTCAGGCACTAAGTGGTTCCTATGAGCAAACTGGGGCTAATAACTTTACAGTTTCTCATTTTGAGTATTTCCCATTTTTTTCTAAGAAGGCTACGTTACAGCAAAGCACATTATAAGGAACAGTAAAACATTCTCCTCAGCAACCCATTTTGCCCCTAAATTCTTGTGCCAATAAAGATGATAGTCTTTTGGGGCAGGAATCCTACCTTCTGCGCATCTCCAGTGAAGTAGGCAATGATCAAGGTGGGCAGGATCATAAACAGTGCATTGTAATAGAGCAGACCGTATTTCCCCAGCTCCTAGAAACAAGAAACATCTGTGTGTTTAAGCTGGTTCCAACCAGAAACATAAAACCTGATTCACAGTGCTGCTGAAGACTGGGTTTGTGAGCTGAATCCATGGGGGATTCTCAGAGACAGGAGAGTTGGAGGGTGCTTTTATATGGATCTGTCTAAATATACAGCTATATAACTATATATAGCTACATAGCTATGTAGATATCTATCTGTATAGATAAATATCTATATATAGATATGTTTTTTTGACTATATAGATACACATATAGATAATGTTTATATACACACATATAGAGATTTCTATAGATTATATATATACACATATACATATACATACTCAAGGCAGGGAGGTTGGAACTACATGAGCTTTAAAGTGCCTTCCAACCCCGACCATTCTGATTCATTCCATAATTCTCTACATAAATGCAGATATTTATAATGTTACATATTTTAATAGATACATATTAATATAGCTCTGTGTGTGTATACACACAACACACATATATATATAAATAACAGACTTAGGTAACAAGTTTGCAACAGCCTTTATGGTCTGCATCCATCAAAATGCCATTTCTTTGCTGTCACAAGAGGCTGTGGTCATAACCAGTACAGGGACGTGGCTCTGCCTGGTGCTGTTTGGCAGCACTGGCACTGGGAGGTATTGCCAAACCTTCTGGACAGGAGATTTTGGGAGAGGGACGGGGTAACTAATGCTCTCCGAACCAAGCAGCGACGCTGCAGTGCCCAGCGCCAAAGGTCAGCCTACCTTTGAATCCAACTTCTGTTTCACATAGGCCCCGTTTGCAGCTGTTAAGGCATCATTAATCAGGATAAAAATATATCCTTCCAGATCAAATGCCAAGTCAGCACTGGGAAAGGAGAGGGAAAAAACCCAAAGTTAAAGCTGGAAGCTGCACTTACAAGATTCCTTCCACCTCCTGTTTAGCCAGCAAGCTGTCAGAAGGAGTTAATCATGGGAGGAAGGGCTGGGGTTTGGGTTGGTGAAACATTCTTTCCTACTAGAGAGCATGTCTAGGGGGGAGAGAAGGAGTCAGCAATCCCTCTGTCTATTCCTGGAGCACACCGTGGTGCCGGATTCCCTTTGCTGCTGCTTTCTGGCACCCTTCAGAGCCCCAAGAGAGAGGACAGCACACGGGGAGCTCACCTGGCAGCTACGAAGGCGCCGATGATCATGGCGAATACTGTCATCTGAATACCCCAGGAGAACTTCTTCCTAAAGCAGAGCAGCACAAACCTGCACTGAATTCTTGGGAGAACAGAGGGAGTTTTTCCTCCCGGCATGTACAGAGGGGGGAGCACCCCAAGCAAAGCGTTGCAGCAAGTAAAAACAAGACGGTTTTAGACAATTATCTCTGATTTAAAAACAAACACAACTTGGCATCGGTGAGGTGCAAGTTTATGCAGTCAGCTCGGCTGGGAAGGAACAGTAAGATCAGGTCCAACCATTCCCAGCACTGCCAAGGCCACCCCTAACCCATGGCACTGAGGCCTCGTCTCCACGGGGTGTGAACCCTTGCAGGGCCGGTGCCTGCAGCCCTGCCCTGGGCAGCCTGTTCCAATGCCTGAGCACCCTCTGGGGCAGGAATTGTTCCTCAGCTCCATCTAACCCTGCCCTGGTGCAGCTTGAGGCCGGTTCCTCTTGTCCCATCCCTTGTTCCTTGGGAGCAGAGCCCAGCCCCTCCTGGCTCCATCCTCCTGTCAGGCAGTTGGAGGCAGCCATCAGGTCCCCCCTGAGCCTTCTCTTCTCCACACTGAACCCCCCAGGTCCCTCAGCCCTTCCCCATCACACTTGTGCTCCAGGCCCTGCTCCAGCTCCGCTGCCCTTCTCTGGCCACACTCCACCAGCTGAGCACTTACATGCCCAGTAAAGCAGCACTCACAGAGCACCAGGACTGCCTGCTGCAGAGAGGGGCTCAACTGGGCACAGGGCAGGGGCGAGCCATGAGATGGGGTGGATTGACACAGCACCCTCTGCTTCCGCACCCAGAGTGCATCCATCCCTCCCCTCACCCCGCTCCCTCCAGGCACACCAGAGAAGGGCTGAGCAGATCAAGGCAAGTAACACACCACATAACACACTGCAGCTCCCAGCATCCGCTTCCTCCTCCCGCCGTCATTCCCAAACCCCGGCTCAGCGCCAAACCCCTTGACCACATGGATATCCCAACACACAAGAGCTCATTCACAGGCCGCACATCACCCCAGCACCTTCAGGCTTTGGGAGCTCTACCCCTATCCTCTGACTCTACCCGGCACCAAGGAGTGGGGCTGGGAACACTCACTTGAGTAAGAACCCTTCGGCAAACATCGTGAAGAGGATGGAGAAGCGTCGCAGGACGGTGAACATGGGCAGGCTGCAGGAGGAACGAGGGTCAGCAAAATGCAGCTCAGGAGCACGGAGGCACTGGAAACCCTGCAGCTTCCCTATGGAAACGGTGTTACCCCCACTCCCCAAAAGATATCCCCTATATCAGTGTGGGGGACCCCAGGGACAGCCGCAAGCCCTCACCCAGGGGTGACCCAGTGCCTCTGGTTGGGGTAAAGCACATGGAAATGCACCCATGGCTCCTTTTAATGTGGATAGAGAAGGAGCCACATCGCCCTGAGTGGCTCCTGCTCGGGTGACCCTCACCCCTGCAAAGCCTCAGGGCTGGCAGCAGCTCCCCACAAACACCAGGCCCCCCCCAAACACCCCAGTTTATACACACTCCCCCCACATAGAGAAAAGCCATTCATACTTGAGCTTCTTTGTGCTGAACAGTCCTGTGATCTGGTTCCCAAAATACAGGAGAGGTAGAGGAAACGTCTAGAACATTGTAAGAGGGATAACACACGGGTGAGCAACGGAAAGAAGCCAGCAGCACCCCTATCTTACCAACATGTATTATCCCCCCCAGCTCCACTGCCACAGGCTCCCAGGACAAGGAGACCGAGCATCCCACTGCCAATCACCCCGGTGGAGCCCAGGGCAGGCCAAGGGGCTGAGGCCATCACCGTGGCCTCGGGGCACGGCCGGGCCTTACCCGCCGGGGGATGTGCCTGTCCAGGTCTGGGAACTTGACCACCCGCAGCGCCTTGCCCGCCCAGAGCACCGCCACCGTGGCCAGCATCTGCAACAGAGCAGGGGGGGTCAGCCCCATGGCAACCCCGGCATGGGGGGGATCGGGGTACGGGGGACGCAGGGGGACCCCACTCACCTGGCCCAGCCCCACGCACAGAGAGGAGGGGAACCTGCAGGCAGAAAGCAAACGTCAGGGGGGCACCCACACTGGGGGGGAAAGGGGCACCTATATAAGGGGGGGGGGAAAGGAAGAAGGACACCTACATTAGGAGGGGCAGAAAGGGGGAACTCACATCGGGGGGGGGAACCCCACATCGGGGGGGGGCAGACACCCGTATGAGGGTGGGGAAGGGGGCACCTACATTTGGGTGTGTAAGTAACAGGGGCACCTACATTGGGGGGAAGAAAGAGGGGGCCTTACACGGGGGGGGAAGGAAGAAAGAGGGGCCCCTGCATTGGGGTGAAAGGGAAGAAGGGGGCACCGACATCACGGGGGATAAAAGGAAGGGAGAACCAGCGATGGGGGGGAGGAACTGGGACACCGGCACTGAGCAGGGAAGGAAGGAAGGAAGGGGGGCACCTACACACGGGGGAAGGGAAGGGAAGGAAGGGGTCACCCGTACTGGGATGGGGGAGGAAGGGGAGCACCTCCATGGGGGGAACGCGCTCCGAGGGGGTCCCATCAGCCCCGCACCCCCCCGTGCACACAGGGTAAGGGGGGGGGGAGCAGCACCCCCAGACCCGCGGGGCGGAGCTCGCAGCGGTACCCGGGGAGCGGAAGGGAGGGGAGCGGGGCCGCGGGGGGCGCAGGCCGGGCCCGGGCGGGCGGGCGGAGGCCGCTTGGCGCCGTTACCGGTAGGTGCTGAGCACGCTCTTGTTGAGCACCACGATGAGGCAGGAGCTGAGCCCGTAGAAGGCCGCGGACAGCGGCCGCGCGCACCGCGCCATGCGCCGCTCCGCATCGCCGCGCGCGGGGGCTCCCGCGGGGGCGCCCCCCTCGGCACCGGACACCGGGCGTCTGCGCGGCGGCATGGCTGCGGGGGCGGGGCTTGGGGCGGGGCCGGGGGCGGGGCTTGGGGCGTCGGACGGGGCGGGGCTTGGGCTGTGCTGGGAGAGGGGGCGGGGCGGGGGGAGCGCAGCAGAGCATGGGGAGCAGCGCGCGGGGGGGGGGCATCGAGCAGGGAGCCGGTGCCCGGGGGCATTGCACGGGGAGCTGGGGCTGGGGTCAGGGTTACTGCATGGAGCGGGAGCGAGGCATTGCATGGGGTCGGGGGGCATCGCACGTATAGCATGGGGGGGGCACGGCACGGGGGGAGCGTTCCGTGGGGATCTTCGGTGGTGGGAGTAAGGAATAGCGGAGGGAATCGCGCTCCCTCTGGAGTGCGGCACCGGGGTCTGCTGGGGGGTATTGCACTGGGAGTCACTGGGCAGGGGTCTGGTGTGGGGGGCATGGGGGGTGTCACACGGGGGATCACACAGGGGATATTGCACGGGGGTCTGGCTTGGGGGGCATGGCATTGCATGGGGGCATGGTAATGCATGGGAGGCATGGCATGGGGGTCATTACATGAGGGGCATTGCATGGGGGCATGGCATTGCATGGGGGCATTGCATGGGGGCATTGCATGGGAGGCATGGCATGGGGGGCATAGAATGGGGGCATGGCATTGCATGGGGGCATTGCTTGGGGGGCATGGTATTGCATGGGGGCATTGAATTGGGGCATTACATGGGGGCTTGGCATGGGGGGCATGGCATTGCATGGGGGCATTGCATTAAGCCTTTCCATGGGGGACATCACACAGCGATCGGGGTGGGGGGGAAAGCGTTGCACAGGGGCCTCTGGGGGGGGGGGGCACAACACCGGGGGGCCCTGCTCGGTGGGGTCCCTGCAGGAACAAGGTGACAGACACAAGGGGCCACCCCCCGGCTGCCCTGAGTCACCAGCACCGAGCCGGGGCTGTCCCCGGGTGACCCCGAGCCGCTGGGGCTGCCCCCGGGGCTGCGCGGGGGGGGGGGAATTCCCGAACCGGGGCAGCGCGGAGGGGAAGCAGCAGCGCCCTGCGGGGGGCACGGGGAGAGCGGCGGGGGGGGCTCTGCTGGAGGGAACGGCTTGGACCTGCAGAGGGGAGACTGAGCTGAGCTCTTAGGCAGAAGCTCTTCCCTGTGAGGGTGCTGAGGCGCTGGCACAGGGTGCCCAGAGAAGCTGTGGCTGCCCCATCCCTGGCAGTGCTCAAGGCCAGGTTGGACACAGGGGCTTGGAGCAAGCTGCTCCAGTGGAAGGGGTTGGGGTTGAAGCTGGGTGAGCTTTAAGGTCCCTTCCAACCCAAACCGTTCCATGATTCTATGAACTAAAGTCGGATGGGCCCAGCCCAGCGGCCGCAGCGCTTTGGAGGTAAAGTGGCTGCAGGTATTTGTTGCCCTTGGCCATGGCGCTGTTGGCAGAGAAAACATCCCCTTTTGGAAAGCTTTCTATTCCCAGTTATCTCCCTGCTCATCCAGACCTGCCCGGGCACAACCAGCCCTCCAGCATCAAATGGAGCATCATCACCCCATGGCACGAGCTGCTGCTCGCCCCGGCACGCTCCCCTCCCTGCCACTGTGGGCTGAAAGCAAAACCTCTGCCCAAGCTTCCCTTTCCTTTTCCTGGCAAACTGCTTTCTTATCCCATATCCTGCTGCCACCGTGCTCCCAGCAAAGGGGAGCAGGAGGAGCATGGCTCACACTGAGCTGCAGCAAGAACAAGGGTGACTTTAACCCCCAGGAGCACCTTTCCCATGCCGAGGATGCCCTTTGAGCCCAGCCAAGAACCACACTCAAAGCCTCTCTCCTTGGCACCACCTTCCTCATTCCTGCACTAGGCCCTGTCCATCCTTATCAAGCTGCAGTGCGGGCTTGGACCTGGACATATTTACCCCTCCAGCAGCACAGAGGAACCTAATCCTGCCCGGGCCCCAGTGCCAAAGGGATTGACGCAAGCAGCCCCCATTCCCAAGCCTGCCCTCTCGCCAGCACGTCCATCCCCACTGGCAGCACTGGTGACCCCACAGTGACTGACATAGCTGCTGGCACATGGGGAACCCCATCAGGGTGCGGGGAGCCCCCCATGGGAGCAGCACCCTCATCCTCCAGCAGCATCCACAGCACAAGCATCACGATGGTGGGTCTAGGGTCAAACATCTGGACCCTTTGGGTTCGGTTGGTAGCAGAAGATGCAGCTGCAGCTGCAGACATGGTGAGAAGGAGACATGCCCAGTGCTTGTGATGGCCATACCCATGTCACCTCATCCCCTGTGCCAAGCACAACTCTGGGTATGACACAAGTGTTCACTTTGGCAGCAAATCCTGCCCTGGCCCGACCTTTCCTTCCTGCTAAACCAAGCCTGTGACTCAGTGCAGTGATTCCAGTGTTCCCATCCAGCGGCAAGCCCACCACGGATCACAAACGTTCCATTAATCCCATTTAATCTTAATCCCATTTGGCCACCGGCGCAGGCAGAGGGCTCCCCCGGTGCCAAACTGGCTGTGACCCCGGGGTGCTGTGCACATCCCAGGGTGAGGAGGGATAAAAGGGGTTCCACAGGGCGGGGTGAGGCAGAGGGTTTGGATCCGGTGCTGGTGCGGGGCCAGGAGCAGGCAGGTCTGTGCCGGCAGTGAGGAAGTGTCTGAGATGCAATCGGCTGCAGAGGCGCTGTGCAGCCGCTCCATTCCCCTGCCCGTGTTCTCTGCTGCTTGGGTGCACCCCAGCACATGGAAAGCTGGAAACAGGCTGGGAACATCCTGGATCCCGATGGAAACAGGCATTGAGCAGTGAAGGCACCCTCCCGGGGGTGCTGGGAGAAGCCTGCCCTGCTGTGCTGTGCCGTGTTGAGCCGTGCCAGCCTCCAGAGGGACACTCCATGGCAGTGAAATGCTGATGAAGCATTCCCATCTTTGGATGCAGAGCCATGAATCCCTGTGCCAGCGCCTCAGCACCCTCACAGGGAAGAGCTTCTGCCTAAGAGCTCAGCTCAGTCTCCCCTCGGGCAGGTTCAAGCCATTCCCCTTGGCCTGGCCCTACAGGCCCTTGTCCCAAGCCCCTCTCCAGCTTTCCTGCAGCCCCTTTAGGCACTGGAGCTGCTCTCAGGTCTCCCCTTCAGGAGCCTTCTCTTCTCCAGGCTGCCCCAGCCCAGCTCTCTCAGCCTGGCTCCAGGCTATGAAGAGGATCTGAGCAGAGCATCACCGAGTGCCCCAAGGGGAGCCAGGTGCACGATGGGGTTTGGAAAGCCAGAATTTCTGAGGATGGGAAAGAGAAAGCCATGGGAAAGGGCCCCGCAGGAGCATTCCTGCTGCTCCCCTCCTGCCCAAGGCCTGGCTGCATCGGGGCTCGGAGCCGCAGCTCCCTGTGGCCGCTCAGGAAGCGATGAGGAGACATGAGTTTAACCAGCACCAGATAGAGCGGTGATGGGCTGGGACACAGAACCAGCAGCATGGGGGGTTGTGACACCCTGCTGGGGAAGGGCTGAGGCTGGATGGGTTATGGGGAGCAGCTGCAATGCTCCATGGCTGGAGGCACGCAGCAGCACACCCAGATGTGCTGTGCCAGCACTACATGGGTCTTGCCAGCTCCAGATGTGCCGCCCTGGCTCCAGATGCCTGCACCCAGATCCCCCTGGCTCCAAGCGTGCTGTCTGAGGCAGATGTGCTCACCCTTGGCACCGCCCCAGCTCCAGATGTGCATCCCCGCAGTGCCGCCCCGGATCCCGATGATGTGCATGGCTTGCACGTGCTGTTCCAGGCCCAGATGTGCTGCCCTGGCTCCAGATGTGTGCCCCAAAGGGTTTCCTCCCCAGCCCCAGCAGCCCTGAAGAGGGGCTGGGATTCCCCTGGGGCTCTCCTTGGCTCAGTCCCCTCCATGCCAACACCCCCGAGCCACAGCAAAGCCCAACCCCTCTGCCTCCCGAACTGGTTTTGAGAGGTCCATACAAATCCTTTCCTTGCAACAGGCATCAAACACACCCAGAACACAAAGAATTCCCACCCACCCCCCCCATCCCCATCTTGCTTGGGGTGTGTACAACTCCATGCACAGCAGGGTTATGTGTGTTCCTATAACTCCACATTATGGTTCCAGGGTACGGTGAGGCTCCAATGCCATGCTGGCAGCAGATGGATGCTCTTGCTTTCACCCACCCTTTGCTTCCACAGCATGAGACCCCCATGGATCATTCCAGACCCAGAGCAGCTCCGGTCTGTGGCAGAGGGGGGGGTTCTGCCTTGCTGGGAGAGGGGGGAATGAAGCTCCCCAGTGTTTCCTCCTCTGAGGGCAGAGGCGGGTGAGCAGTGTGGTATTTCCTGTGGTTGCAGCACTCTAATGAGGTTAACACTGTTACTGAGGTTAACTCTTCAACCGACACGAAAGAGGAAGCCACAGGCTCTGCAGTGGGGCTGGTTTGGGAGCAGGGGCTCTGTGGTCCATCAGCATCCCCTGAGGACCAGCACAAGCAGAGGGGGTGACAACAACCTCCCCCCTTAAGGAGGTTTTCACTGTGTGCTCCTGGGATTAGCAGAAACACGTTCCTTTACCTGTGGGGCTCCCCAGAACCCCTTCACTGAGCTCCTGCCACCTTGTGCTCCTTGGCTCCATCCTAAACCCACTTGGGATGGGCTTCACTTTGCCGGGCTGGCTCCAGATCCTCTGCACACCGAAGGAGCAAAGGAAGCCCTTCCCCCTGGGGCTCCTCTCTAGGGGATGCTGGGTTTCCCCATGGACTGACTCACACTGGAAACTCTCAGCTTCTCTATCTAGGTCAGGCTCGCACTCGCTGATGCTCCTCGCAGCGCTCGGCAGCCCCAGCCCCAGGCAGAGGGGCCCGGCAGCGCATCCTGAGCGCCAGCAAGGTAAGAACCCCCCCTCCCTCCCTGCTCTTCCCAGCTTCCAGCCTGCTCCCACCTGGATTCAGAGCCCCGAAGCCCCACTCCGTGTGTGTCTGCTGCTGTTTCTGTGTGCTGCTGCCAAGCGGGGGCTGCACATGGGTTGGGATGCACCAGGGACAGCTCTTTCCTTGTGCAGCTTGCGTTCCTTCAGCACCGGTGTACAAGGAGCCTTTCCCAGAGACGAGACCAGCCTGTCACTGCTCCAACAAGGGGAATGGTCTCATTCCACCTGGCTCCGGAGCTTGCACGTGCCCATCAACTGGAACACAGCCCCACGTGTGAGCCATCCCGGGGGGCAGAGCTGCAATCCCATCCCAGGGCTGGCACTGGGGCAGGTTTGATGGATTTCCAGCTCTTTTCATACAGCACAAGGTTGGGGTTGATGCTTTCCCCCCCCCGTTTGTTCTAACTTGCACGTTTGCAGGCAACTGGGAGGCCCTTCAAGCTCTTTTAGTGGGTCAGGTAATAGGAAAGCGCTTGAAATTTGACTCATTCATGAACACTTCAACAGCCCTTGAACCAAATGGGGTCAGCTCAGAGAGCAGAGAAACACAGCAGCCCTCGCTGGCCTTAGGAGCCTGGTGTGGGTTGACCAAGAGCATCTGGAAGCCGTTGCCGCTGGTGTGACCATGGCTCAGTGCATTCCTCAAGGGGAAACTCGCTGTTTGCAACCCCAGATGGGGCAGGGGGCTGTTGCTGGTGTGTGTCTCCAGTGCTGGGCTATAGCTCTAGTCATTTCTAGTCTCCATCTCTAGTGTGAGGCATCCCTGCCATCCAACCCAGAGGGCTGGAGCTGGATGAGCTTCGGGTCCTTTCCGACCCAAACCAATCTGCTTCTATGGTTTTAGTTATTGCTGGCTTAAAAAGAGAACTATGGAAGCACTACAAAAGGCTTGGCTCTGGTTTCAGCCCCAGGAGCTGTGTCCTTGCACCCCACTGGGCTGTGCCATGGCTGCTCCAAAGCCATTGAGCCCCATAACCTGTACCCTGAGCCCCATGGGGCTGGGCTTCCCCTTTGAGGGGGTTTCACCTTGTTGGGTGAACCCAAAGAGGCTGGGGAGGGAGGTGAAGGGAGCAGAGAAAACCTCAGGTGGGATGTGGGATGGGAGTGTGGCTCCTTGGGAAAGAGCGGAATTCCTTGCATGGGGCTCTGGAAACAGGCACGGCTCGGCTGGGGCAGGAGCTGCCATAGCAAAGGGGTGGGAAGGATGCTGTGGGAATGGGGAAAGCTGCTGCTCCACAACACCATGTCTGCTGAGGCCTGAGCATCTCCAGGGGTGCAGACTGCAGGGAAAGCCCTCAGGGCAGCCGGCCCCTTGGGTGGTTACCCTTAAAGTGCCTTTCCTTGTGTTTAACTGGGGAAATGGGGAAATCCACATCTTCAGTGTGAGCCCTTTGCCTCCTGTCCTGTCCCTGGGCTCCACTGACAGGAGCCTGGCTCCCACCATCAGACACCTGTGTAAGTGTGATGGGGAAGGGCTGAGGGACCAGGGGGGTTCAGATGGAGAAGAAAAGGCTCAGGGGGGACCTGATGGCTGCCTCCAACTGCCTGACAGGAGGATGGAGCCAGGAGGGGCTGGGCTCTGCTCCAAGGAACAAGGGATGGGACCAGAGGAACCGGCCTCAAGCTGCACCAGGGCAGGTTTAGATGGAGCTGAGGAACAATTCCTGCCCCAGAGGGTGCTCAGGCATTGGAACAGGCTGCCCAGGGCAGGGCTGCAGGCACCGGCCCTGCAAGGGTTCACACCCCGTGGAGACGAGGCCTCAGTGCCATGGGTTAGTGGTGGCCTTGGCAGGGCTGGGAATGGTTGGACTGGGTGAGCTTGAAGGGCTTTTCCAAGCTGGTTGATTCTAGGATGCTTCCCTGCATCTTTCTCCCTGCCCAGGATTACCGGAGGCTGCAGGAATGTGCTCCTGTGTGATCAGAAGTGAAGGACCGGGGGAATTCCACAGGCAGGAGAACTAAGAGGAATAGCGCTGGGGATGGGGAGCGTGGCCTCGGGGCTGCTCCCCGGGCACACCCTGGGTTACTCAATTCCTCATTCCCCCTCACTCCCACTGAGAGCACAGCCTTGCCTGACCCCGGAGCCCCAGGGAAACCCTCGCCACTCATCCCCATTCCCACCTCCGGGATGGTCCCTGCGCATCCCAGTGTGAGGGCAGGAGCGGCTGCACGGGGCTGCGGTGTTCCTGGTGTGACAGCTCCCACCTTTCCTCCCTCCAGACTATGCCACGTGTGGGCAGTGACCACAGCCCAGGCCATGGCGGGGTCCAGCAAGGCTTTGGCACTGCACATCCTGCTCTGCTGCCTGTGTGCAGGTAAGGGGCATCACCCCCAGCGACCACTGATCAAACACCATGCACCTACAGGGAATGGGAGTGGGAGAAGGAAAAGGATGGGGCTACAGCTATGGGTTTGGGGGAATGCTTTGTTAGCATTGCAGGGAGCTCCCATTGCACCCTTTTCTTCCCACTCACATCCTTGGAGTGGGGTCACATCAGCTGCAACCTGGTCCTGCCTTTGCAGAGATAGAGCCAGAGCACCCTGGTTCCAGGAAGGCAAAAGGAGCCGGATACGGTGCAGAGCTCTCATCTGATAGCGAGGAGCAGCGCAGGGGCTGCTGCCCTAATCTCAGGGGATCAGAGATCTCGAGACAACAGGTTATTTCCCTGCAGTCACTTGAACGTTAGAGCAGAACCAGCGCTGGTGAAAGGAGGGGTTGGTGAGCAGAGGGGAGGAGTCAGGAGGTGCTGGGTTGTGCTGAAGGCAAAGGGGTTTATCCCCATCCCGGGGGGAGCAAAGGGACAGACCCCACTGCGGGTCCTGCCCGGCTGCTGCCTGCATCCCAGCAGAGCAGCCCAGGAGCATCCCCTGCTCCCAGCCGGAGCTGCCCTGACTCAGCGGATGCTGGTGCAGGGGTTGCCAACATCAGGTGCTCGGGACACGTGTGGATCGAGCCCGCGCCGGTGGTGCGGATGGGCACCAACATCTCCATCAACTGCATCTCCACCCTCGGCTGCCCCTGGGCCAAGTTCCGCATCTTCTTCAACTACAGCCACGCTGAGGGGACCCTGGCCCCCCTCAACAGCAGCAGCGTCCGGCTCCGGCTGCAGGAGTTCCGGATGCACTTTGGGAGCGTGACCTGCTTCGCCCGCTGCCCCAACACCAACATGTACCAGCTCGTGTGCGGCACCACCGTCCTGGCCGGCTGTGAGTACCCCCTGGCCACAGGGGTCCATGGTTTGGGTTGGAAGGGACCCTAAAGCTCCTCCAGTTCCAACCCCTGCCAGGGGCAGGGACCCCTTCCACTGGAGCAGCTTGCTCCAAGCCCCTGTGTCCAACCTGGCCTTGAGCACTGCCAGGGATGGGGCAGCCACAGCTTCTCTGGGCACCCTGTGCCAGCGCCTCAGCACCCTCACAGGGAAGAGCTTCTGCCTAAGAGCTCAGCTCAGTCTCCCCTCGGGCAGGTTCAAGCCATTCCCCTTGGCCTGTCCCTACAGGCCCTTGTCCCAAGCCCCTCTCCAGCTTTCCTGCAGCCCCTTTAGGCACTGGAGCTGCTCTCAGGTCTCCCCTTCAGGAGCCTTCTCTTCTCCAGGCTGCCCCAGCCCAGCTCTCTCAGCCTGGCTCCAGAGCAGAGCTGCTCCAGCCCTCGCAGCATCTCCATGGCCTCCTCTGCACTCGCTCCAACAGCTCCACGTCCCTCCTGTGCTGCTGCCCCAGAGCTGGTCACAGCTCTGCAGGCCCTTGTGAAGGTGCCAGCGCCGAGGAATCTGCAGCACCAGTCAGGGCTTTCCACACTCTTTGCCTGACTTTGCCTCCCCAGACCCTCCGGACCCCCCCAGCAACCTGACCTGCGCCATCCAGGAGTGCTCGGAGCACATGGCATGCACATGGGATACAGGGCAGACAACCCACCTGCCCACCCAGTACACCCTGCACCTGCGCAGGTAACTCCCTTGGGATGGAAGCACCGGGATGGAGCCGGGAGGGAGCCCATGGGGTGCAGACAGGACCAGGAGGGAGTGCGGTAACCGGCAGAGCCGGCACATGGCGCTGCGATCACCCACAGACATGGGTGACACCAGGGCTGCTCTGCTGCTGGCACCCGTGCCCCACTTACACTTCCTAAAGCTCCTGGTCCCCTGCTTGCAAACCACATGTTAACCCGGGGGTTTCATTCTGCAGGGTGAGCTCTGTGCTCAGTGCTGTGAGCGCTGCATCGTCAGAGCACACCACAGCAATGCACCTGAGCTGCAGGGAGTGCAGAGGGTGCAGCCGTGCATGCACCTTGCACCTCCCAAACCCCCAGACTGAAACTGCAGCCGGGTGCAAGGATTGAACCCGAAGCAGCCGCGCTCTGTGCCGCAGCCCTTCCTACCCAGCCGGGGATGCTCTCTGCCACCGAAGCCCCGGTGACACAAGACTGGCAGGCTTTCAAAGCCAGCCTGACTCAGTCGTTGAAGCGAATGCACTAAATCCCATCACACAGAGGCTTTGTGAAGGGAAGTGATTAACCACCTGCCTCAGTCTGCTGGGGCTCAGACTGAACTGTGCAGAGAGGGCTGAGAATGTGCTCTTCCAACAGTGATGCTTCCAACACAGATGCTCCACAGACACGTCAAGAACTGAGGGCGTCACTTTCTAGTTCACTTTAAGAATGACAAACACTGGCTTTGGAGATGACTGTGCCCCTATCACAAGCTACAACCTATAGAGAGCTGTAGCTGCTTTTCCAATGGGTGCATGATGCTGAATGGGTTCTGACTATGCTGTCTTCTTCCCAGAGTGGGGACAGCAGTGACAGAGGATGCTAAGGAGGAGGAGGATGATGAAGAGGAGGAGAAGGTCTTCCCTGCGGGCTCACTGGTACCACTGAGCACACTGCATGGTGGGAACCACTACTCAGCATGGGTGCAGGCCAGCAACGTGCTGGGTGCTGCCCGCTCAGCCCCTCAGCCCCTCAACCTGCAGGAGCTCGGTATGTCCATCCCATCCCTCTGTCCCTCCATCCTGAGCTGCTCTGTGTGCTGGGGCTCTGCATGGCCACAGACACTGCCCCTGGATGTCACTTTAGGGGCACCAAGGGAAGGTTGGAAGTGTACGAGCTTTAAGCTCCCTTCCAACACCAACCATTCCATGGGTCCCTGAGCATGAGCACTGCAGCTCGCATGAGGGATGCCAGCCCCCCAGCCCGTGCTTTCTCTTCTTTCCTCGCAGTGATCCCCACTCTGCCCCTGGTCACCGGTGCGGAGACAACAGAGAGCCCAGCTCCCATCACCACCATCCACTGGAAGAGGCGGACGCTGCTGGAGGGCGTGCGCTGTGAGGAGCGGCACAAAGCCGCGGGCAGCGCTGCGTGGCATGTGAGAGCCTGCGACCCCAACCCGCCATGGGCACAGCCGCCCGCTAGGGCTCGCACCGGTGCTGGGCCTGCTGGGGCACCCATGGGAGCAGCTGGGCTCATTGGAAACGCACCCGCTCGCTGCGGCACCGGCAGCCATGGGCCCCCCGCTTCCCTTGCAGGTGGAGGTGTGGGACAGCCCGGCCCCGCCCGGGGCCCGCTCACAGCACAGCCTGCGCAGTGACACCCAGTACGTGTTCCAGGTCCGGTGCCGGCTCAGCGCTGCCGACAGCCCCTGGAGCGCCTGGAGCTCCCCCTTCCCCTACACCACCCCCGAGGCAGGTAAGCTCAGCCTCAGCTCTGCGTTATCCAAGCAGCCGGCAGCGCCTTGGGATGCTCTGTGGGAGCCTGGCCATGGGATGGGAGCCGGCGCATCCCTGGAGACACTGCTGGTTTAGATTGGATAGAAGGAAGAAATTCTTTCCTGTAAGGGTGGTGAGGCACTGGAATGGGTTGCGCAGGGAGGTTGTGAATGCTCCATCCCTGGCAGTGTTCAAGGCCAGGCTGGATGGACCCCTGGGTGATATGGTTTAGAGCGAGGTGTCCCTGCCCATGGCAGGGGGTTGGAACTGGATGATCTTAAAGTTCTCTCCAACCCTAACTATTCTGTTATTCTATGATGCTGTGGTCCAGGACTGCCACCACATCACCATCCCCACACTGCAGCTGAGGGATGAGCACTGTCACAAGCTGGCAGCTCATCTCATGCCCTGCAAGCACTCCCGGCCCTGTGGCATGCTGCAGGTCGTGGTGATTGAGGCAGATTCCTGAGGCTGCTGCAGTACGGTAGGAGCAGAAGAGAAACCAGACTGGCTTTGCAAGCACAGGGTTTTCCATACAGAAAGAGGGATGGGATCTGCTTATCCATCTTTGGCAGCTTTCTTGCTCCCCAGCAGCAGGGAACACCTCTTGCCCTAGATGGAAAATCCACATCATCCAAGGTGTCCCACCAGCCACAGACACCCGTTGTCTTGGGTCAACCTCCACCATTGCATCCTCGGTACTAACACCAGGATGAGCTTAGACACCCAGATACCTCAGCCTGCAGCAACAGAGACACCCAGTGAGCGATGCCCCCACATCCTGGTTACAGTGAGGAAGCTGGAGACAAGCATCACTCACTGCTCTTTGTAGTCTGGGTCACTTCCTCCCCACAGTGGCAGAGCTGTGCAGGAATGGGACTGCTGCTGGGCTCCCAACCCACATCCCTGCTGCTGCTGGGCTCCCAACCCGCATCCCTGCTGCTGCTGGGCTCCCAACCCGCATCCCTGCTGCTGCTGGGCTCCCAACCTGCATCCCTGCTGCTGCTGGGCTCCCAACCCGCATCCCTGCTGCTGCTGCTGGGCTCCCAACCTGCATCCCTGCTGCTGCTGGGCTCCCAACCCGCATCCCTGCTGCTGCTGCTGGGCTCCCAACCTGCATCCCTGCTGCTGCTGGGCTCCCAACCTGCATCCCTGCTGCTGCTGGGCTCCCAACCTGCATCCCTGCTGCTGCTGGGCTCCCAACCCACATCCCTGCTGCTGCTGCTGGGCTCCCAACCCGCATCCCTGCTGCTGGGCTCCCAACCCGCATCCCTGCTGCTGGGCTCCCTCACCATCACCATCCACATGGGATCCAGCCCTGCGTGGAGGCACCAGCCAAGTGGGGCTTTCTGCAGGGGCTGTGCGTGGATGGGAGCCCCACGGCACGGATGGGTGGGAGCCCCGGCTGACTCCACTCGGGGCTGCTCATCCCACCCTTCCTCCTGCAGCCCCCGCTGCAGCTCCCGAGGTCTGGCGGCGCCTGGGCCGGGCGTTCCCGAACGGCAGCCACGAGGTGACGGTCTTGGTCAAGGTAAGCTCTGGGTTTGGCAGCTACAGCGCGGTTTTCGAGTGCTTTGCTCCTCCCCTTAGGAGAGCACCCGCCAAGAGGCAGCAGAAGGCAATGCCCTTCCTAAAGAGCCCTGGGACCAAAGAGATGAGGAGAACAGGGGACCCCAACATGTCCTTTGGGGCAAAATCTCTCCATCCTTGCATAACCCATCCATGTTGCCCAGCCAAGGGGGTGTCTCAGTGCTGGACCCCGCACCCATCCCCATGGATGCTCTGTCTCACCTTTCACAGCCCCTTGCACCCCAGGATGCCCGCGGGAGGATCCTGGGCTACTCCGTGACCGCTGAGACCCCCGTGGGAACGGTGCTGCTCTGCAACACCTCCAGCATGGGCTGCAGCGTCCTGGTGCCCCCGGGAGCCCGCACCCTCCGGGTCACCGCGCACAACTCCAAGGGGGCTTCCAGCCCCGCCAGCATCACCCTCACCCAGGGCAGCAACAGCCAGGAAGGTAGGAACCAACTCACACCGACTGCAGCCTTCATGAGATGGCTTTAGTCTGCATGGGAGGGCAGCTTCTGCGTGCATGGCTTGGGAGCTGCCCTCTTCAGCAGGGGCTGTAGGGACAGGCCAAGGGGAATGGCTTGAACCTGCCCGAGGGGAGACTGAGCTGAGCTCTTAGGCAGAAGCTCTTCCCTGTGAGGGTGCTGAGGCGCTGGCACAGGGTGCCCAGAGAAGCTGTGGCTGCCCCATCCCTGGCAGTGCTCAAGGCCAGGTTGGACACAGGGGCTTGGAGCAAGCTGCTCCAGTGGAAGGGGTCCCTGCCCGTGGCAGGGGTTGGAGCTGGAGGAGCTTTAAGGTCCCTTCAACACAAACCAGGCTGGGGTTCTATGAAAGCAAAAGGAAAAGGCCCAGCAGAGCTCTGCCTGCTCTGCTGAGGGAACACAGCATCCTGCAGGCAAGGCCAGCATTCCCCGCAGATGGAGATGCTCCATGGTCGCGTACCTCAGCCCTTGGCCTTTGCAGCAAGAAGCTTAAGCATGAGTTAATCCTGCCTGTGTTGCCTGGCAGGGATGTGCTGTGCCATGGTGCAAAACAGCTCCTCTGCCAGGGACGCAGCCCCTGCTGTGAGCTGGGTCCTTGCAAGCACAAAGGCAGGGGACAAAACCAACCCTCCCAGGCCACTTCCCTGCACCACAGGCTGTGGTTTTTCCCACAGCCATCACTTGCTTATTTGTGAAAACTGACTCTTAATGAGCAACGGGGGGGAAAGCCCCATTCAAACTGAGGACAAATCCGTTACTAAAAAGAGACCAGAGAGAAAGAAGGTGGAAAATCCACTCAAATCTCTCGTACTTATCAGAATCATAGACCCTTCCTGTAAGAAATGACAAGTAAAGCATTTCAGAAGAGGCACGACAAAGCTGAAGGTGTGTTTTTGTGCTACCTATATGTGAGCACACATTTACATACTAAACAAGAGCTAACAGGGCTTATTTAAAGAGCTTTAAGCTAGATTTGAAGGGGGAAAGGGATAAAACCAGTCTCACTAGAGGTAAGCCAGGGGCAGCACACTGATGTTGGGGGGACAGTGGCCAGCAGGTCCTTCAGTCTGCCATCTCAGTGGAGGCAGAGGATGGAGATGCATACGCCAGCAAAGATGCAAGGGCTCCTGATGTGTTGGAAAACATGAAAGGGTCTAAGAACAGTCATGTAGGAAGTAGGGCTTCTCACTCCAAAAGCATGGTGGGACCAACAGCCCCACTGAAGGCTAGGTTGGATGGGTCTTGAGCAAGCTGCTCTAGTGGAAGGGGTCCCTGCCCATGGCAGGGGTTGGAACTAGGTGAGCTTTAAGGTCCCTTTAACCCAAACCGTTCCATGATCTACCCTGATGGACACAGCCTGGGTAACAAACAAGAAAAGGGGGAGCTGGAAGCCAACAATGACATAGTTTTCATCATGGAAACATGGTGGGATGGCCGGCACAACTGGAGTGCTGCAGTGGATGGCTGTGAACTCTTCAGAAGGGACAGGCAAAAGAAGAGGCAGTGGGGTAAAGGAATGTTTTGATTGTCTAGAGCTTAATGCTGGTGTCAACAGGATTGGGTGTTTATGGGTACAAATCAAGGGGGAAGGACAGCAGAGTAGATATCATGGTGGGAGTCTGTTCTAGACCACCCAATTTGGGTGAAGAGGCAGATGAAACAGTCTATAAGCACAATCACTACTTCTTATTCTCATGGGGGACTTCAACTTAGATTGGATCTAAGGAGGAAATTCTTTCCTGTGAGGGTGGTGAGGCACTGGAATGGGTTGCCCAGGGAGGTTGTGAATGCTCCATCCCTGGCAGTGTTCAAGGCCAGGTGGGATGAGGCCTTGGATAATATGGTTTGGAGCGAGGTGTCCCTGCCCATGGCAGGGGGTTGGAACTGGATGATCTTAAGGTCTTTTCCAACCCTAACTATTCTATGATTCTATGATTCTATGATTCTAACTTACCAGACGTCTGTTGGAAATGCAATACAGCAGAGAGGAAACAGGTTGGGAGGTTCATGGAGCGTGTGGAAGAGAACTTCCCAACACAAACGGTGAGGGAACCAGCTTGGGAAGGCACCCACTGGACCTGTTTGTGAACAGAGAAGGACTTGTGAGCCGTGTGATGGCTGGAAGCTGTCTTGGGCAGAACAATCACAAAGTGTTAGAGGCTCCCTCTTCAGCCTTTAAACACCACCCTGAAAGACTCATTTTGCCTGTGCTTAGCTGACCCTTCTGTTCTCCTGCTCTTCCAAGATGAGGTTGGGATGCAGACCCTTTTCCGTCTCTCTCCACAGAGTTCCCAGCACCAGTGGCTGTGGAGGTCAAGCCTGAGAACCAGAGCAAGGTCTCGGTGGCCTGGCAGCCCCCCAGCCACAGCAGGAGGTCCCCTCTGTGGTTCATTGTGGAATGGGTTTCCAGCACCCCATACAGCCTGAAGGAGCAGTACTTTTGGAAGAAAGTCCCATACCAGGCAACACACACACACATCCAAGGTAAGGCATCCCAAGAGTCTTGGTGCTGTTTGGTGCAGTTCATCAGGGTGTTATAAAGCCAAACTACGTTAAAGGCAGAGCTTCATTTGCAGTTGAGCCCCTGCCCACTGGTTTTGGAGAGTGGGACCATGAAGAGCCCTTAGGGATCAAGGGGGAATGAAGCAATAGGAGACATGAGGACAGTCAGGAGGATTTGGACCTCCAGATGAAGGTTACAGGGACAGAGAATGAAGTGACAAATGAGCTGGCAGGCAGGGATGGCACACCAGACCTGAGGAGGCCTCTCCAAGCACAGGAGATGCACCTAGTTAAAGGATGCAGAGATGCACTAAGACTTGCTTTAGCACCTCTCCTCCCCACCATGCCCAGAGGGACAAGCATGCAGGTCCTTACCAACACAGCCTGAGCCCAACAGCACAAGCATCTCAGGACCCATCCCACTTCATTCCTGCATCCCACATTAATCCTGATGTTGATTGGGTTTTGGGGTCCTTCCTAGCCAGTTACATGATGAAGCTTTTGCTCTTCCACGTGTGTTCTGGGCGACAACTCGCGCAATGGCTATTCCCAGGAGAGGGAAGACTCAGAGATGCGCATCCTCCCACACCTCCATCTGCTTTCACCATGCAATAACAAGCCCTTGGGCAAGCCTAGAGCTTCCACAGCAGCTCACAACCACATTCTAAAGGTAAATCTTGCTTCTTTGCAGCAGAGGCAGGAGGTCACATCAATGTGTCAGTATACGCAGTCTACCCTGATGGAGCCAGCAAACCCAGCTCCAGCCAAGGTAAGCCTGGCTGGGTGGAGAAGCTGCTGCTTGCTGCAATGGGGCTGCAGAGCTCAGCCTGCTGCTTCATTCCTGATGCTGCCACAGTCTGCCAGCTTTGTGGGATTACTTAGGTTTTAGAAGCAACATGTAAATCCCTCCCATTGACCAGAGGAAAGGACTCTGGGTGGGAGCCTCTTGGCTGCAGGACACAGAAACAGGCTTTTTTATCAATGCATTTGCATGAAAGCCTTCTCCAGCTGATCTTTGCTCCTGTGCACAGACCTAACACAGGAGAACCACGCTCATTTCACAAGGTACACCATTCTCCCTTTCTGTGATAGGGAAGATGAGGTTGCTGCTTTACACAATGACAATGAAGCATTACAGATTAATCAAAATACACAAAACAACTTTTATAGAGACCAAATGGCCAAGCTGCAGGTTACTATTCCTTACCTGGAGTGGGAAGAAGGTGGCCTTCCATTCTGGAAACTCCTTTAGAGAAGAGCATGGACCAGTTCACAAAGGAAAGAGAGGACTGCCATCACCTCCAGCACTGCATGGGTTGGCTTTGGGTATCCTTAAGAGCTGGGCACACCAGGTCCCTGAGCTGTTCCATCCTGCTGCTGGTCCTCACCCAGGATAACCCATGCACAGCTCAACATCTGAGCACTGAGGACACCTCCCAGCACCACTGTACCTGCTCCATGGATGCCACAGCACAGGCGAAACCTTTATGGGTGCTGCAGTGCTCAGTGGTGGTGGGGCAGGTCCCTAGAGATAAGGAAGCCATGAAGTCAGACCCAGGTTTAGCTCTCCAGAGCTCTTCCAGCACAGCCTCGGAAGGGAGTGGGGACCCAGGGATGAGCTTAAATAGAGCCCCGGGCAGGGGCGTGGGTAGAGGTCCCAGGTGAGGCAGGTCAGGACCATTCAGCCCTGTTAGCATCCTGCATCCCCTGACAGAGCCGGCAATAGCTGCAGGAACCGGTAGCACCTGAGGAGGTCATCCGTTCCCCATCCCTGCTGCGGTGCTGTTTTAGATGGGCTCTTTGAAGCTGCTCAGGTGCTTTCCCTGTGCCAAACCAGCTCCGTGTTTGTGGTGAGCACCCCTCGTGGCTTTGAGAAGGGCACGTGTTCCATTTTTCACCCAAAATAGGAGCAAATATTCCTGACCAGTTCATCCCAGGCTGCTCATGGCTGTTAGCCCTGGCTATTAGGTGTTGCCTATTAGGTCTCTGCCCAGAGAATGGGGAAGAGCAGGGTGTCAGGAGCAGGATGCTCTAGCCTTAGCACTAGCAATGGCTTAGGTATGTGTTAAATGCTTAATAAAATAGAGACTTCATCCTTAGCGCAGACTCCTTTAACAAAGCTTGGGGGTTCAGGTGGGGAAGTACCAATAAGCAGCATCAGGGAAGCTCGTGTCTGTGGCCAGGTTTGCCTTCAAAGCACGCACAGTGAAGTCCTCCAGCTTGACCCCACAGGCTGAAACTCGTTCTTCATCCTATTCAGATGAGCCTGTCAATCACCAGGAAGGCATTCCTGTAATCTTATTGTTGCTCATTTATACACGTTCAATGTGCCGGTGACACAGAACTGCAGAATTCCCAGGCTGCAGAACACATATTCCTTCACTTTCCTTCCACAATCCCATACATCTGAGAGATGTTTTGAAGCATCTGCAGCAACTGCAGCTGAGTGGGCTTGAAATGGAGACACTGCTTAGGGGAGTGAAATACTGAACTCCGGAGCTCCGCTAGGAGATGCATGCGCTTCAGATGCACAGAATCAGAGGCAACACCTTTCCTGGGATTTTTCTTTCCCTTAGAGAGGAAAAAATTGCATTTGGCCTTGGGTCTGTGTTGGTGTTTGCTAAGGAGAAGAGATCATGGAATCCCAGCATGGTTTGGGTTGAAGGGACCTTAAAGCTCCTCCAGCTCCAACCCCTGCCACAAGCAGGGACCCCTTCCACTGGAGCAGCTTGCTCCAAGCCCCTGTGTCCAACCTGGCCTTGAGCACTGCCAGGGATGGGGCAGCCACAGCTCCTCTGGGCACCCTGTGCCAGCGCCTCAGATCCCAAGGGAATTGCTGAATTTAGCCATGAAGAAAGCTTGTTTTAGCAAAAAGACACTTCTTGCTCTTTAGCTGCAGATCCTCCCTCACTGCACAGCCCATCACACAACCAGATACTGTCAGCAGATTCAATCCCATGGTATTCAGGCACTTTGGGAAAGCATCTGTAGGTGCTCGTGAACAATGATGTACAGTTCCTCAGGAAGATGGGATTCTTGTTTCAGGTCCTGAGGGGAGCGATGTGCATGGAAGATGTTTTATAGTTGGTGTTATGTATTCATCAGCATCTTGTTTAACTGGATCCATGAGAAATAGGAGATTCCACAGCCAGAGCTGGAGTTATTAATGACTTCAGGGGTCTTTATTTTTCTCATTATTAATTTTTCTAAATAAGATTTAACAAAACCAAAGCAATCCACAGCTTCTCTGTCATCCCATAGATGAAGTTATGGGCATTTTCTTTCTCTCCCTAAGCCCCTCCAGAAGACCAGCTCCTGGAGAGCACCTACAGCAGCACCTACAGCGAGCTCTCCCATGGTAAGAGCACAGTAGCTCAGGCTGGGTAAGCCGGACCTTTCTCCTTGACCAGAAGTGGAAATTGCAGCCTGAGCTTCACCTGCAGCACCTGGTGATGGGGAAGCAAAAGCTCCCTTGTGCTTTGGAGAGCTCAGGGCCACCAAAGCAGCTTTTTACTTGCTGGGGACATGAGACACATGCAGTGCTCTCAGGGATGGATTGCACCCACATAGTGCGTGCCTTCAGTTTCGCTTCCTAATGAGACTTACACTACATTGTAAGGTACAAGTAGGAGATAAGAGAACAAGGAAATACAAGATAATGTTACGTAGCACAACAGCAACAGGCTGTTTCAATCTTGCACTTTGAACCAGAGACTCATTTAAGCATTTCCCATCCACTTCTCCAACTTTGGTTATGCTCTGGTGTGCACTTCTCCTGCTGAAGGTTCCGTTATGATCTGCTGCATTACTTAAACCAAAAGCAAAAGCAATGAAAGCCGAAGAATTCACTTCCATGTTTCTGGAAGGTCAGGCTGGGTAGGAAATGGTTAAACACAGTGACCACACTTAGCATCAGTTGAGTGACCTCCTGCCCTGGGCACAGGGATGCTCTAGTCACAGTTCTGCCTTTGCTTCCTTAACAGAGGAGCGAAGGGGCAAGTGAAATGCTGGAGGCTGTCTTAGCAAAGATCTGCCCTTTACATCACCAGACATCATGGCAATGGGGCAATGGGGTGACCTGTTTCCTCTTTATCCTGTTTCAGATGATGACATTGGACTTTTCCTGGGCCTGGGCATCAGCGTGCTCCTATTATCGGTTGTTTTCTTAATTCTGGTATTTAAAAAATCAGCCAGAAAAAGGTATGACTTTCACCTCCGGTTTCTGTTCCTTATCTCCAACTCATGCTTTTGTTACAGAGTGTTTGAAAGCTGCCTACAGAAACCAGTCCTTTTCACTGCAGCCTGCTCTTTCTGAGGGCAAGTCCACCCATTGGCCAGATTGCTGTATGAAGACATCTATGTGCTCTGTAGTGAGGCAGGGACCAACACAGAGTAAAAGTCATTCCTCTGTAAAGGCCGGCCTGAGGGATGTGTGATATTATTATAGAGACATGAGGGCAGGGCTAGGAAAAGAGGAAAACCATAATCTCCATTGGTAAGTTTTATCCTGGCATAAAAGTATATCCCAGTCTTGGTATGCTGAAGGCAGAGATTGAAGACTGGAGCACCTGGAAAACTCAACTGAGAGGATCTTAACACTGTTTTGTAACTGCTGCTCCCTAGGCACCCTCACAAACCAGTGCTCATCTATCCCGGTTTGCCCTTTAACTGGAATGGGGATGTCCAGGAGTCCGGGCGCTGCTGTCCCTGACACAGACCCATGGGAATGGGAGACCTCAATGGCACATGGTGCTGGTCAGACCTTCCCAACCAAACATGAAAGAGGGGAGAGGAGAGCTGGGGGTGGAGGGTGTTGAAGAGCTGCCTCTTTCGGTTCCTGAACCCAGCCTCATTCTTCTGCTCTCGCTGTCATTGTGAAACACGGGCATTCCAGCAGCAACAGGGGCTGTTTCCCAGCAGCAAGACATGCAAACAGCAGCAAAATTCAAGTCTCTTGCCAATGGTTTTCATTTCTGGTGCAGCTTTGGCTGCAGGAAAATCAGCTTTCACCAGTGCTGTGTGTTTGCTCTCATCAGCCCCAGGCATGCGTCTCCTCTGGTTCAATGCTCCGTCCTCCTCCCATCACCCCTCAGAATAACATTTCCACATGCAGAGAGTTTTACATCAAGCATTTACCTGCAGTCATTTAGCTTCCAGGCTTGCACCACCACGAGTCAAATCTAGGGGGGTAAAAGGTTGAAAGATGAAGAGCTAGAGTCCAATGGAGCTTCCAGGCCATCCTTAAAGGATGGATGCCCTTTGTGTGCCCCTCCTGCTGAGGGACATTTCATCCTGCATGAAGAATAAGTGACTAATAGCACGGACTAACACCTTGGGGTTTATCTGTTCCTTTTGGTACAGAATTCATGCCCTGGCTGTGTCAATCCTGCCAAAATGGCTGTTGGAAGACATCCCCCACATGGAAAACAGCAACATGGTGAAGTTGCTCCAGGTAACTGCACCGTGAGCCCCCAGCTTTGCTTCGCTTGTCTCCCCTTAGGTTAAAGCTTGCTCTAGAGCTGTGAGAAACAAGGGTAGGAAAAGAACTGAGCTCTAAGGGACCAGAAACTGATGAGGAATCTCTTACTCAGGCATCTGCAAAGTGCATGGGAGCCCAGCTTAGCTGAGGCCTTTAAACCTTGCCTCAATGTACTCTTTATTGCATATAGTATATTGACCACAGTGGATGCAAGCTGCCTTGAAGGGCATGCAGAAGCATAGAGACAGGCACAGCTGCTCCCTGTCTTCTCTCATCCACCTCACTGCCGTCTCATTCACAGGGGGGATTGGATGACAGAGGTTGGAAGGAAGATGGGATGCAGACACCAAGTCATTGCCCCATTTCTTCCTCGGGATGCTCAAATGATAGCTGTCCCATTGGTAATATCTGCCAGTTTGTTACTACCCCAATCCTTTTCCTTGCAGGAAAACAGTGCTTTCCTGAGTAACAGCCTCCATGAGCCGTTTGTGGACACCAGTGACCCCGCAGTTATGGAAGTAGAGGAGGTGCCAGCACACGAGGTGTACAAGAACATAGTCACCAGAAGGAATCCCAGCAGAGAGATCCCCAAGGACGGGGAGCTCAAGGAGAGCACGGTGCCAGCTACCACCATGCCCTTTGAGCACATCAGTGACTACAAACCTCAGGTGTCCGATGGGAACGCGCTGGGATACGTAGCAGCCAATATTTACCAAACAGAGCCCCCAGCATCCCTCCCAGAACCGGAGACAAACCTCTTCTTCAGAGACTACACGAGCTCCTTTCCCCACATGTGGGATATGGAGGAAGGGGGACACCACGTCTGCCTGCTGGAGAAGATCAACCTCGTCTTGAACAACAGCCAGAGTGGGCAAAGCCACACGTTCAGCTCAACCCAGGCGGGATGTGGCTCCCTCCTGGACAACCAGTGGGGACACACTGCAGCCAGTGAGGTTCAAGAGCAAATGCTGGTCCCCGATGAGCTGCTCTCCTGCCTGCGAGCCATGAACGGGCAGCCGGTGGATATAAAGACCTGCTTTCCACAGAACATCGGAAGATTACTTTGAGAGGTGGTGCAGCTCTGTTTAAAACCCCCCAAAGCGATGACCATGGCACAAGTCAGCCTCGGAGACTGCAAACAGCAGTCATAGAATGGTTTGGGTTGGAAGGGACCTTAAAGCTCCTCCGGCTCCAACCCCTGCCACAGGCAGGGACCCCTTCCACTGGAGCAGCTTGCTCCAAGCCCCTGTGTCCAACCTGGCCTTGAACACTGCCAGGGATGGGCCAAAACCTCCAAATCTGAAATTCTTGTGGCTGCTGGAATGTTTTGGCCAGAATATCACAATCGTAAACTTACATCATTTTGTCACAAGCATAAACCCCATAAAACCTGCATTCCCATGAGAACTGAAATATGAACCAGGTGATTGCTGCAGGGTGCAAAATGCTTCCATTACTATTCAAAATCTTTCTCTTGTTAAATCACAGAATAGGTTTGGGTTGGAATATTTGGAGCATTTCATCCCTGGAGCTGATTGCAGCTAAGATGGATAAAACCATCCCTTAGACATCATGATGGAAACGTATGGAATATCTTGGGATCACTCCTAAAGAAGCGACACTACACCAAGGAGGATTTATATATCATACAGCACACACGGGTACCAAGAACATGAAATCTTTTCTTAACTCAATTTCATTTTCCCTCCCATTAAGTAATAAAGAACACATCAGGTAAGAACAAGCCTCCATCATCTGCCAGGCTGATTTAAAGTCCCTTGGAATTAGTCACTGGACAGATTCTCCACTATGGGCCAGGGATTTATCATCGCACAGCAGCTTGTCAGCACCTCAACCTTGCTGTGTAAAGCATGACGTGATGCAGTGGAATAGCATTAGGCACATGGATTTGGATCTTCTGACACCCAGAAAATGAAATACAGGGGTCTCCTTAACCGATATATCTATAACCTATCTAGAGTTGCCCACTTTATTATTATGAAATCACTTTTTTGCAGTGGAACTGCTATATCTGGATATTAGAATCTTCCCTTCAATTTTTGTTAGGCACTCTATGTGTTTCTCTAACTGCTGTGGCCCAAATGGATTTATTGTGTTGTCCACCCCTGGATACCTTCCAACCAGCATTGCTGAGCGCTGCCCTTGTTTCCTCCCAACAACCCAAGAGATCTGATGCTCACATTTACAGGGTAGTAGCTACCTGGCAAGACCTCTTTAGAAGCAGCAAACCGTTTCCAAGCCAGAGATGTGACTTTGGCATGTAACCGAGTCTAAAATTAGTGAGTGCTGCCTGTGCAGGAAGGAAACCGTACGAGAAGAGCCGCGGGCTGGCGGCAGCTCAGACGTGAGCTGGGGAAGGTGTTTTTTCTGTGTCCACATCCTGAGGCTCGCGCTGCCTCCGTCATCTCAACTACCAAACCCTGCGGGTGACAATGCTCCTCTGGGCACTGGAGCAGCTTGCTCCAAGCCCTGTGTCCAACCTGGCCTTGAGCACTGCCAGGGATGGGGCAGCCACAGCTTCTCTGGGCACCCTGTGCCAGCGCCTCAGCACCCTCACAGGGAAGAGCTTCTGCCTAAGAGCTCAGCTCAGTCTCCCCTCGGGCAGGTTCAAGCCATTCCCCTTGGCCTGTCCCTACAGGCCCTTGCACATTCTCACATACAATACATCTCCCCCTCTCCCTCCATTCTAAGCCATCTGGACAGTGCTTGTATCTGGTTGCATCTTTTGAACCATTTGGCAATGGGCTAAACGATCTGACAGGGTGGTTGGAACTTAATGGTCCTTAAGGTCCCCTCTAACCTGAACCACCCTATGATTCTATGATACCTGTGCTGCTCACCTCTGGCAATGAATACACTGGTGAGTAAATAGACAGCAGGAATTTTGGTAACAATCCAATATCCTTTCATGTCTTCACTTCCAGGTTCTTACTTGTCAGATGTATTTGCTTGCTCTGCTGTTTGTCTTCACCTTCTTTGCCCTTGGAAAGCATTTTGTATCCCTCTTGTGTCTTCTTTCCACCAAGTGCAGTATTTAGGGGGGCAAAACCAGCATCCTGAGTGACAGCGATTGAACTATTGGCAAGCAAGTCCAACACCGAGATCCTCACAGAGGGCAACCCTTGGATATAGGGATGGCCTGGTGCTTTGAGTCAAATCAAGATATTGCTCTCAGTGCATCCATTTTAACACCTCAGGGTTTACTCCCTCCCTCAGATATTACATACTTAGTCTTGATGTGGATATTCTCTGAACCTGTTCCTAGGTTTGGTTATCTTGTTGGTGGCCGTATCTTGTGCTAGGTGATTTCCACAGATTATGTATCAATTTGCAATGAATTTTGTGTGCTGTTCAGCTTCATTGCAATGTGGGGTTGTGCACGTTGGAGGCACATAAAGGAAGTATATGCTGAGTAATGTCTCTACCCACAGAGAGCACCAACAAGTGTTGATCTCTGATGCAACCCTCACTCAACCTGCACGAGATTGCAAAGTCATCTGTGTTATCTGCATGGCATTATTTTATGACAGGACATTTTCTTTCTGTGCTGAATGAGTAACACAGAGCAAGCAGCTGCTGTTGAAGCTGTAGATGGACCTTTTATATAAATGGAAGGAGAGAACAAATGAATAAGAGGTTGGGTGTAGTCCCTTCAGAGCTTCAGCAGGCTCAGAACAGCAGAGCCATCCACTGCCTGCTCTTATCTCCATCCCATCACACCAGTAAAGGGTGTATCAAGTGTGAGCTTGTGAACTTGTTGGGGCACAAGCCCTGAGCTCAGCACTAGGAGTTACCAACAGCGCTGGTGCAGATCAGCCAGAGACACTCCCTTTGGCACTTGTTCATCACCCTTCTTCAAACAGCATGCTTGAAAATCAGTTACATTAAATGCATAATAAAGAAACAACAAATAAACTTCATGCAGAGTAATTTAGGCATTAAATGCATGGAATCATGGAATCCCAGAATGGTTTGTGTTGGAAGGGACCCTGAAGCTCATCCAGCTCCAACCCCCTGCCATGGGCAGAGATACCTTCCACTAGAGCAGCTTGCTCGCAGGCCTCGATATCCATCGATAGCTACAATCACATGCAATCAATATGCAGAAGTGTGCATCAATAGCTACAATTTCAGATCACTTCTGCTGCTGCTCTGCCACCATTACCTTGCTTCCTGCAGGAGGACACAGCACTCACTCTGGTTCAGTGTGTGAAGCACAGGAGAGATGGGACACAGCACTCACTCTGGTTCAGTGTGTGAAGCACAGGAGAGATGGGACACAGCACTCACTCTGGTTCAGTGTGTGAAGCACAGGAGAGATGGAACACAGCACTCACTCTGGTTCAGTGTGTGAAGCACAGGAGAGATGGGACACAGCACTCACTCTGGTTCAGTGTGTGAAGCACAGGAGAGATGGGTTTTAGGCTCAGCTCAGTCACCAACTGGCTGCGTGACCTTCACCAAGCCATTTTGCCTCTGTTTCTCTACCACAGAGTCAGGACAGTAACAATTACTACCTGCAGCAAAGCCTCGGGATCTAAAGCACCGTGCGGCATTTGATAACAGTGCAAGAATAGGAAGAAAACAGAAGCATCTTCTGAGTCATCTTGTGCTGCTCATTTCTGTTCTGCATCATCTCCCGACTGCTCCATGCTGAAAGGTCTGCAGCGTTTGGCTGCAGTAAATGGGGGACAGGATTTACTGGCAGATAAATACACTGCAGAGCCTAAACCGGGAGTAAAAGCTTCAACATCTCACACAGCTGAAGTAACAGCAGCAGAACCCAGGGGGGTTCTGAAGGCATCGACACAAGATCAAAGCCCAGGTTGTGCCCAACACTTATAGGCAAAGCTGCAGATAAATGCTTGGATCAGCAAGAGCCGCTTGAAAATGCAGCGATGGAAAAGCGACAGCAGAAGAAATGGCCACGGAACAGAAGCAGGAATATTCAATATAAATGATGCTATTTGGTGCAGCCTCTCACATCCCTTCGCCTTCAGGAGGATTAATTCTTTAGGAGGGATTACTCATGGGGTACAGGAGCTGAGCACAACGGTGGGGACTGAAACCAAACTCACATCTCATAGAAGAGGATGTGAGAAGTGAGGCTGTGGTTTGTGTCTCGGCTGGCTTCACTGAATGTCAGCTGCACAGAGCCACAGCGATGGAAATACCACTTGTAAAGCACTGGGAGCAGGATTCAGATGGACAATCAAAGCATTGAACACAATGAACAGAAGACAAACTGTGGAAGTGATCTATTAAAGGAGATTTCAGGACTGCTGCTTACCAAACCAGCCAAGACTTTCCTTAACAAAAAGGAATGATTCTTGCCACAAGAATATTAGGAAGAACCACAGTTCTTAACCTCTTAATGGATGCAGGGTGGTGCTGTGTCTCACACATCACCTGTGTGATGCACAACCACAATGTGCACAGCAGATGCAAACACTAATGGAGCCAGTGCACAGACTGTCTGAATACTGAAGATGTACAAACACGCAGTAAATTACTGCAGCGAGTTACTACCTATTCTATTGCTTTAGCAGTACCTTCAATACCACTGCAGACCTATGGACCAAAACTCCACTCCATGCTGCAAGGAACACAGCATCTGAGCAGCTAAAATCCACTAAAGCAGCTGAAGTGACTGCATGGCTGCAAGAATGGCAGCAGGAATGACCAGGCCAGGCTGTTCCTGGCACAACTGTGTGAGCCTGGGCTGTGGTTTGACATTCAGCAAACTGAGAATTCCTGTCCCATCAACCACATGTGCAGTGGTTCCACCTCTTCCACGGTGCTGATGTGAGTCATTGTTCTGTGCAGCAAATTGCATCGAACAATGAAGATGCTGCGAGGGCTGGAGCAGCTCTGCTCTGGAGAAGAGAAGGCTCCTGAAGGGGAGACCTGAGAGCAGCTCCAGTGCATAAAGGGGCTGCAGGAAAGCTGGAGAGGGGCTTGGGACAAGGGCCTGTAGGGACAGGCCAAGGGGAATGGCTTGAACCTGCCCGAGGGGAGACTGAGCTGAGCTCTTAGGCAGAAGCTCTTCCCTGTGAGGGTGCTGAGGCGCTGGCACAGGGTGCCCAGAGAAGCTGTGGCTGCCCCATCCCTGACAGTGCTCAAGGCCAGGTTGGACACAGGGGCTTGGAGCAAGCTGCTCCAGTGGAAGGGGTCCCTGCCCGTGGCAGGGGTTGGAGCTGGAGGAGCTTTAAGGTCCCTTCCAACCCAAACTAGGCTGGGATTGCACGATTCTATTGCAAGTCCAAGTTATACCCAGCTGATCACAATTCCAAGTAACATCTGTGATTTGGTTTTGTTTATTCCATATTCAACACTGAATTAATGGTACCTTCTTTCAGCTTCTCAAGTGTTACAAAGGCCTTGGTGTTGGTGCTGTATGCCGGGTTGGTGACCGCAGAGGGCTGACGTGCCAAGTGTTGGTGTTGCTGGCTCCATCTGCTCCAGAAGTCCCTGTCCTCAGCTGCCCGTGGTGGTCCTGCTATTCAGAAGGCTCTTCCTGAGTACCCTGGTTATCAGCTGTTGAAAGCTCAGCACCGAAGAGCCAGAGAGCATCTTGTCCATAGGGATAGTGGCTGATGATAGAGGGTTGGCAGCATCGCGATTAAACCACAGACTATGACATTGCAACAGCATGCAACCACAGTAAGATCAATGCAGTGCTCATGGTGTGTCCAGAGACCTCTCATTCAATGCTGCACAGATTTGCCTGTGTGGGCCCTGGTACAATCAGATCTAGAAACTGTTCTCCTTTCTGGAACCTCATCACCAAAACCAGAATGAGAAACCAACAGATGCTCGTAGGGATCACACAGAAAGAGCAGGCTGGAAGGAGTCACCCTTGAACAGGGTGTGAGATACCAGTCTGAGAGCAGCCTGTGAACCTCTGAGGTCTTCAAGCTTGCAGAGTAAACAGCTTCGGGGTTTTTAATGGTTGTCTTGCTGACAAAAGGCAATGGAATTATGTTGAAGACCAACTGAAGGCAAAAGATTGTGGCTTACCCTGGAAAGAGCAGGATGCAAACCCCATTGCAGCTCTGCCTCAGCTGGACTGGACAAGGTGGCAAAATCCCAGCCTGGTTTGTGTTGGAAGGGGCCTTAAAGCTCGCCCAGTTCCAACCCCTGCCACGGGCAGGGACCCCTTCCACTGGAGCAGCTTGCTCCAAGCCCCTGTGTCCAACCTGGCCTTGAGCACTGCCAGGGATGGGGCAGCCACAGCTTCTCTGGGCACCCTGTGCCAGCGCCTCAGCACCCTCACAGGGAAGAGCTTCTGCCTAAGAGCTAAGCAAAGAACTCCAGAGAATCTTACGGAGGAAATGCATTGGAGAAACAACCCTGCTCCTGACTGACCACAGCGGCATTTCAGATATACTCATGTCCTCTTTAAGCACTCAATGATTAGCCCTGTCCCTCTCACCATCACTGCACTGGTGACTCACCGCCATTCCCCCACGATTCTTCTTCCTCAAGGTTATTTCCAGACCTACAACCTGACACAACCAGAGAGTGCAAAGGCTGCACCTGCAGATTTCGCTTCTGACTCTGAATTCTCCTTCCTTCAGTCGCTATTTCAACCCAAGCACTCGCCTGCTTCCTGACCGCCCTCCAGCCTCCTTCAGTCTTCAGCTTTACCTTTCTCTGAGTTGCATCACAGCAGTCGGACAGGAGGCAGCTTTGCACCTGCGGTTTTAGACAGCAGGTTTTTAACTCACAAAGCCAATGAGCACCGTGTCTGAACGAGCCATTCCTGCTCTTTGTGATCGGTTTGGTTGGCTTTTAGGCGCACTTTTGATCCCAGATAAATTACTTTGTCATTCACTTCCAGAAAGTGGGCATGAACTGCTGCAATAATACACATTCAAATGGTATTGCATCATTTACAGCCACTTTGTTTTCACCATCTATAGGGAAAGTCTATATTCTTTACACACCCTTTTTCTATGTTCCAGCATTCATCGTGCTATGAGGATAAGCTGAAGCAGAGAGCATCTTAACACTGAAGGAGCTACCAATGAAAAGTCCTTCCAGATTCATATCACAGCAAGCTCTGCAGAAGTAAGGAGGTGAAATAAGTGCAGGCACCCCTACACCTTGTCCCATGGGCTTGCCATAACCACCATCACACACTGTTGGCAGCAAAGCTCTGCAAGGACACAGTTTGTCACCCTCCTGCAAGCAGTCTCCACCCAAGGTCCCAGGTATTCCCTGAAGAGCTCACTGAACAAGCGTCCTTCGGTCTTGCGTTTCCAGCTACACACGGGCATGGCTCAGTCGCTGGCATGGGTTTCACCCTGTGAGAGCCAGGCTGCCGGTGGATCTCAGACAGCACCAGTGCTCAGCAGGATCTGGCCACTGCCACCACACACATGGCAGCTTCTCACATCAGCTGCTGCTGGTGCTTTCCCAAGCCCTGTTTCTGGGTCAGACCCCCCTCCCCACAGAGCTGATGACTCCATTCTTGCCTTGACATCACCCCTGCCCATAGAGCGGGATGCTGGCACAGCAGCCTTAGCACCGGCACCCTGTGCTTCGGCTCTTGTGCTGCAGCCAAACCCAGGGCAGCAGGGCTGCACTGAGCACTCTTTGCTATAGGACTCACAAGCACCACGTGTGTGCTCCTGGAGCTTTGTGCTCCATGCAAGACAATGAAGAAAGAGTTGGCTGAAAAAGCAGGCTTTGGTGCTGAGAATTGAGCAAAAAAGAAAAGAGAAAATGAAAAGGGAAAGGGAAAAAGAAAGAAAAAAGAAAAAAAAAAGAAGAAGAAAAGTAGAAGAGAAAATAAAGAAAAAGAAAAAAGAAAGAAGGAAAAATTAAACGGGAAAAAAAAAAGAAAAAGGGGAAAAGGACAAAAGACAAAAGAAACAAAAGAATCAAAAGCAAGCCACTGCAGCTGATGTGTTGGTGGTTGCCAGCTTAGCTTCCTGTCCCCATGACACAAAACTTGTGTCACTTGGGCCACCCCATTGGCATCTTCCCTGCATCAATGAACAAAGCACCCTCAGCTTTGCTCCTGCCAGCCGAGCCCAACATGTCACAGCTGCTTCCCAGGGTTTCCCAAAGAGGAGAAGTGAACACACGCAGCGAGGGGTAGCACTGAACCAGGTAAGAACATGAGAACGTGAGCCTTGTGAGCACAAGGTGAGATCCCATCCAAGCTCCTAATGGCATCCTGCAGGAATCCCGCTTTTGGCTCAGGGCTGGGAAGTGCTCTATGGAAAGTGAAAATGGAGATTGAAGTAAAGGCAGCCCGAGGGGGAGCAAGATACAGAGTGAAGAGAAGCTGGTGGGGTCTGGGGTTCTGCAGGGCACAGCCTTGTTCCATTCGTGCGTGGTGTTTGAATGGGGATCTCTAGGGAGAAGCCCAGGTGTGGGACGGGGCTGGGAGGAGAGGGGAGCTGGGCTGCAGGTTCCAGTGCAGAACTCCAGGCTCCTGCAGACTGCACACTTCGTGCTTCCTCCACCTCTTCCTTCGAATGCCAGCCCCCAGCGTAGCTGTGCGACGCTTGTCAAGGTAGAAAAGGAGTCACATCAGGGAGATGCTGCCAGGAAAAACGCTGCTGATGTCCAGAAAGGACAAGGAATGACGGCAACGCGATGCTTTTTCGTTAGAAGCGCTTCTAAATGTGGTGATAGCTCGTGGGGACGCTGAGAAAACCCACGAGGGAAAGCAAGGGCTGTGTCAAAGAGAAGGTAAAATCCGCAGAGGCACATCCCAGGGCAAGCCCCTCATCCCTCCGCGGGAACCTGCTGCTGTTTCCCAGTCCCAGAGGCGCCGTCAGTGGCTGGTTTGTCCCTGGAGCTTCCAGGACCTTTTCCAGGTAATCCCCCCCCTCCTTTCCCTCATCCCCGCGCACGGTGCCGCTGCCGCCGGCTCCCGCATCCCCCCTTTCTCCGCCGCACCCGCTGCGGGGCTCAGGAAGGTGAGCGGGGACGGACGCTCCCCCCCGCTCCTCCAAGCGCTGCTTTTCGGTCCTCAGCGGCGGTTCCCGGGGCTCAGGGAAACGCGGCATCTACCCGGTGGGATCTCCGGGATGCTCCTTGTCCCGGCTTGCTGCCTGCGTCGGGGTGCAGCTTGTTCCGACATGCTCCTTGCTCCGGGATGCTGCCGCTATAGGGATGCTCCTTGTCCCGGCTTGCTGCCTGCGTCGGGATGCAGCTTGTTCCGACATGCTCCTTGCTCCGGGATGTTGCCGCTATAGGGATGCTCCTTGTCCCGGCTTGCTGCCTGCATCGGGATGCGGCTTGTTCCGACATGCTCCTTGTCCCTGGATGCTGCCGCTATAGGGATACTCCTTTTCCCGGCTTGCTGCCTGCATCGGGATGCAGCTTGTTCCGACATGCTCCTTGTCCCTGGATGCTGCCTACTCCGGGATGCTCCTTACTCTGGGATACTGGCTGCCTCAGAATGCTTTACTCCTTGGGATGCTGCCTGCTTTGAGATGCTCTCTGCTTAGGAATACTCCCTGCCCTGGGGTGACAGCTACCTCGGGATGCTGCCTGCCTAGGGTTGCTCCTTGTCCTGGGATACTGCCAGCACTGGGATGCTCCCTGCACCCTGGAACAGCACCTAAGGGAGCACATCCTTTAGAAACGACACTGTCCCTTTCCTTCCTGCAGTGAGCTCTTACCAAATACCCCTCACTCAGTAGCTCTGGTGAAGAGTCACTGACCCTGACCTTGGGCAGATGGCCCCAAGGCTGCCGTTCCCCACCCTGGGCTGGGTGCTGCTGTCCTCACTGGGTCTGTGGCAGCCGGATTGCTCCCCATGTGATGCCAGCGGTGGGATGTGTCCCTAAAAATGCAGCAAGCGTTGTCAGTGATACACGAGAAGCAGCAAAGTTTGGGCACTAACAGTGGTTTTATTCTGGGTGAACGTAACAGTGAGAAATGCTCCTCTTTCTGCTGACAGTTGGTCAGTTGTCCTGCAGGCTCCTGAGAGACCCTTAGAATGGACACTTGTTCTGTGGGGAGCAAAGGGGAAAGTAGGGGCAAGGGAATAAAAGGTCAGTTAAAAGCAGACTACAAGGGCCTGTAGGGACAGGCCAAGGGGAATGGCTTGAACCTGCCCGAGGGGAGACTGAGCTGAGCTCTTAGGCAGAAGCTCTTCCCTGTGAGGGTGCTGAGGCGCTGGCACAGGGTGCCCAGAGAAGCTGTGGCTGCCCCATCCCTGGCAGTGTTCAAGGCCAGGTTGGACACAGGGGCTTGGAGCAAGCTGCTCCAGTGGAAGGGGTCCCTGCCTGTGGCAGGGGTTGGAGCTGGAGGAGCTTTAAGGCCCCTTCAACCCAAACCAGGCTGGGATTCCATGCTGAAATTGCAGAGCTTCTGTGCTTTACAAGGGATTTCAGTGCAGAACCCGACTGCGGCAAAGCGCCGACACAGCGATGGGCAACCCCTCAGTACACAACACACACACTGTGTAGCCTTCATGCTTTCAAGTGAGATTTCATAGAGATAAGTCTGCTTAAACAGGCACAAACTCATACTCTGAACACCTTGTGTACTTCCTTTACCTTGCACTTACCAGGACATCGTCATTTATACTTTCTTTAACTGAAGCACATCAATGCTATTTTCCTCATTGATGTGCAATATGGAGACTTTTTCCTTCTTAAAGCTTCCCCCCCCCCCCCTTCTATCTTTGCTCTTTGAGGGTAATTTCTCATTCTTCTTTCATACGTCACCCTGATCACAGTTTAAATGCTCTGCTGCACTCACACGATGCTTCATAAACTGTCTAGTATTTCCCTAAGGCAACCACCGACGAACATCATTTGAAGTGAGACTATTTCTGTCAGTTGACTCAAGCATTGTGGGCACATTTTGCTATCTGAAGGATGTTTACACAGTACCAGGCAATTTCAGCTTAGTGGAAGGCAGGGCATTTACTTGAAGAAGCTTGGGGTGGTGATTGCTCATCCTTGCAGTTACTAATCACCTACGGAAGGCACCACAAAGCGTCTGTGTAAAGCTGAGGCACTGCGGCCAGGCTCAATGTTTCAGTCTAAAGAACATCTGGATTTAGATAAAACACAGTGTTAATGTGCATTTTGGCAAATCTTCACTATTTCACATTCATCTCAGATATCAGCTTAAAAGACATGGAGTGCCTCCAGTCTGGGAGCCTTTGGGCATCCTAAACCAACCTGCAATACCTTTGTTGTTCTTATATCACTATACACATGGCAAAGACTATACTGTTCAATGCATCCCCATGGAAGTGCCTCTCCACCCAAGATGGCATGTAAAACAGCCAGGATTTAAAGTTTCCCTTTATATTAGTTTGTTTCCAATGTGGCATCAAGTTATTAAAGTAGCTGCATCCCTGTCATAGGTCAAGAGTTACAGAAAGTGTTTGTTGGTGTCTTTACTTCTGGAGCATCTGGTGCATTCGCACTGCTCCCATAGGCCTGCAGGGTCAACAAGGAAACAGTTAAAGCTGGTTGCAAAACGCAGGGGAAAATCCTGAGCTTAGTTCATGCTGACCCTGAGTAATTTGTGCAGAACATTTGTGTTCATGCCTTCCACCACCATGGAGCGTGGGCTTGATGTGGGTCTGATCTAGGAAGGGTGGACACAGCACAGGTTTGCATTTGAACCGAGTTATTGAGCAAGCCTGTGGAGTTCAGAGCGTTTCAAGAGCTGTTTTGTTGGGCTGTGTTGCTGGCAGCGTGCTGAGTGCATGTCCTCAGCTTCATCCATCAGGGTTAAACAGTCAGCAATGGCACAGGGTGCCCAGAGAAGCTGTGGCTGCCCCATCCTTGGCAGTGCTCAAGGCCAGGTTGGACACAGGGGCTTGGAGCAAGCTGCTCCAGTGGAAGGGGTCCCTGCTCATGGCAGGGGTTGGAACTGGATCAGCTTTAAGTTCCCTTCCAACACAAACCATTCTGTGGCTCTATAATTCTATGAAATAAGCTGCATGTGAGGGCTTTCATTTTGGGAAGAAGCCTAAAGAAATTGTAAGATTGGTCGTTCCCAAGGGATTATCCAAAATTTCATGTGTACTGCTAAGGCCTGGGAATCTCCAGACTGCATTAGTCATCTGGGATGAGATCAGTCCTTCAGGATTTGGGGTCATCAGTACAGAGTCTGAGCACAGACCAGCTGAAGAGCTCATGAGGTCCCCTGTGGGGTGCATAAACACGGCTGCTCCTCTAAAAGAGGATGCAGGAACGTGGGAGAGAGGGAACTGTGAAGGAGCAGGGCCTGCAAACCATGTTTTGGGGAGCAATAGCACAATGGGTACTGATGGTTTGTCCTTCACAGAAAGACTTTTGGTTCTGGGCTTGCAGGGGGGCTTTGGAAGGGAAGGGAGGGAGGATTCAGTTCTTTAACGCATAGAGATGTGTGGGTTTTAAGTACAGCGTTTTGAAGTACCCATAACTCTGCCATTCCCCTCGGTCTTGTGCCTGCCTCTAGGGAAAACCATCTAAAAACTGGCTGCTCCCTGGGATGGGGTCTTGGGAGTCACAACTCAGCAATGTTAGCAGAGAATGCTCCATCTTGTGAAGTAGGAGCTTTGAATCTTCTGAAGCTGTCAAACAGTAACATACAAACACCTGTACATTATTTTCCCACCTTTTGGGAGCTGGTAAAACTCATTCATTTCTCTCCAGGGAGCAAAATGCTGTTTGCTGCTGTGCCCGCTGCAGTTTGGTTATTGGTGCGCCTCGCAGCAGGTAAGATGTGTGTTCCTATTCCTATGTAGCAATTATCACTTAAAAGCAGCACTCAGGTTAATTGGGGGGTTTCAGCCTCTGTGCTGTGTGCTGGTAAACATCTTCCTATTGAAAAGAGCAAAATATGATGCTTGAGTAGGGTACACTGTAATTTCTGTGAGAACTCCCTGATCCATTGCTACCACTGAGCATCCCTCGTTCTCCATGGCAATGCCACTTATCCTGACCATCCAGACAGGCTGTGGGCAGCAGTGCCTGGTCTGGCAGCACCCCACACACTGTGAGTAACCTGGGCAGGGGTACAGCCTCACAGCAGCAGCAGCAGCAAATAGCATAGCAAATACTTGCAGTAGAGCCAATAGTTACAGGGAGCTCTGCAGGGAGGTTATTTGGTTTAGTTCAAGGTAGAGCTGTTGGTTAGGTGAGGAACATCTCCATACTTAGCTACCAAAGAGGCTTCAGAACTCACAGGTGAGGAGAACTGGGGCTCCCAAAGTGTTTTCCCATATCTTCTGCTGCTTCTAACGTGGTTTGAGCAAAGCACGTGTGTCCTGGGGCCTGCCAGCAAGTGCCTGCTCCCATAGCTGAGCACAGCATCACTTGTCCCCATCCGCATCCTGTGTTACCTGGAAAACACAACAACATGCAAGGGGAAGTCTCACCATGTCAGTGAAAACCTTACTTGTCTCTTCAATAACAATACACCACTGCTTTGCTGAAACACAGGTAGTGCCTTAAACTGCAATGAAACAGAGAGTTCTGATAGATTTTGCCTGGGGTTGTGCTAGTTGTACAGTGACTGGTAGCGAGCCCGTGGTTTCTGACCCAGTTAATAGACTGGTGAAGACTGGGCACAGCAGTATCCCAGAAGTTACCACGCACAGGCAGGAGTTCCTGCATTATTATCAGAGATACCTTGTTCCTCAAGCACAGCACCTTGTACAAGTGCTGTAACCACATTGAACCTTTGTTTTCCCATTCTGTTGCAGAAGCGAGCAGTAAAGGGGATGTGACTGCTGGCGCTGCAGAACTGTGTGACAAAGGGAACATGACTGCTAACACCTCTTCCCATGTCCAGCCTGGGAGCAGCATCACCCTCTCCTGCCAGCTGAAACCCCAGCAGTACAGCAAGCAGTGCAGGATAGCTATTTTCTTTAACAGCTCTGAACGCAATAGCAGTTACAGCAGTTCAGTAAGCACCAGGTTTCTAGTCCATACCTATGGCAAACACATGTTTACATGCAAAATACTTTGTGAATATGGGAAAAAACTCATTTGTGGAATCGATATTGAGTCTGGAAGTAAGGAGGTTTTCATTATTCCTTGTTCTTACCCCCCCAACCCCCATGATTCCTGTGGTACCTCTGAGACATGCACTGGAAACCAGCAGCAGGTGGCTTTTCCCAGAAAAGATGCTGGGTTTTGGTGGCTTTTTGTATTGGAAAGATTCCTGGCTGGAACTGTGCAACTCCTTTATTCATGAACAGAGAGCTGCTACAGAAAACTGCCTGCTCAGAGCAAAGAGCATCCTTTCTGCTCTGGCCCTGGCACCCCCCAGGACACAGGGGACTTAGCTGGAAGAAGAACTCTAAGGGAGATCTTTGATTTTCTTCTACCTGATGAGCTGCTGCTGCTGCAGCTCTGCCAGTGCTGCTTTTGTCTTTCAAATAAGAATAACCGGTTGCTTCAAGCAAAGCTCATGGTGCCTGGTCCAGAGAGCTGGTAAAGCCTTGGATTCATCTGGCACCCTTGTAAAGTCACTTGGGTTTCACTCAAGTGTTTCAATAAGCTGCAGAGATCAGTCAGCTCTTGTCACTTACAGAAATTATCAGCCTGAGCATTTTACACTGATTTGTCCATAAACACTTTAGAAAAGAATCAGCACAAACCCAGCATTTCTTAAAATGTCTCCCATCAACATCTTTAAGGAAGGGTCTGACAACAATATCTGTTTAAGATCCTCCAGATGAGCCAAGAAACGTGTCGTGCATCCAGCATGGAACTGATGGTCATCCCATCTGCACCTGGGATAAAGGCAGGCTCACGTACATCAACACTACATATGTAGTACAGTAAGTAACAGGGGGTTCTTTAACACCTGTGGCTTGAACCTGCCCGAGGGGAGACTGAGCTGAGCTCTTAGGCAGAAGCTCTTCCCTGTGAGGGTGCTGAGGCGCTGGCACAGGGTGCCCAGAGAAGCTGTGGCTGCCCCATCCCTGGCAGTGCTCAAGGCCAGGTTGGACACAGGGGCTTGGAGCAAGCTGCTCCAGTGGAAGGGGTCCCTGCCTGTGGCAGGGGTTGGAGCTGGAGGAGCTTTAAGGCCCCTTCCAACCCAAACCACACTGATTCTATGAAGATTTACCCTTATCAAAGCACATGGAAGTGGACATGGTTTATGAATAAGTCAGTCCAAAGCTGCCATGATCATAGGAGCCAACTGGAGCAGAGGGTTTGAAAGCCCCTTTTCTGCTCACATCTGTGTGCATGCAGTGCAGTATGTTGGCTCTTTCTGGGCTCAGCAGGCAAAGAGGGTATGCCAAGACAGCTCCCTTTTGGAAAGGGAAGGTCAGCAAAGGAAGTGGTCTTAAACCACCTGCTCAAACCTGCTGTTTTCCCAAGGTGGATCTCCCATATTTAGTAATCCTGTGGTCAGAGCAGTGCCTGCACCAGAAAACCTGCAATCAGAGCTGCTCACGGTCTCAGAGGTTGCCTAAGGAGACAGAGAGGGACTTTGCTTGGAAATGTGTTATTTTTGCTTCCCAATTTAGACCCAACCTGTATTTTTGCTCTCTCTGCTTTTGCTGAGCCTTTGCTGAAAAAGAGGCAAATTCTACAGCAAACTGTGGGGAAGGAGCGACCCAGAGCCTGCCAGGGCACGTTAGGAGAGGTTTGGATTTCAGGAATCCATTCTGCCTAGGAGGAACCTTATTAAAAACCTTGATTCAAGCAAATATCTGAATAGAATGAATTGATTTTGCCCTTTAAAATGGCTGTGTAAGATGAAATAGTCCACATTCATTTCTGGTGCTGCCTGTTGACCTTGATGTGTGAGGGTCACTCTTCACCACCTTCTGTTGGCCAAAGTAGCAGCAACTTTCTTAGTAGTGTGCAGAAACCCGGTGCTGCTCTTTAAGCAGAAGAAGAATTAGGTAGCATGGAAGACAGTAAGGAAGTGTAGGTAATGAGACCTGTAATGGTTGTAATATAGAGATATAGCAGTGCCTGCTAGTAAGTTATTAAATACATCACAAAATACAAAAGGTCCACCTGAAGCAACGTGGTAGAAACATCTCTGATTCAGGTGGAAGATAATACACAGAGAAGCTAAACGAGCTCACCAAGGCAATGGGTTCAATGGCAGGTTGAGAATGAGAGGTTGTGTTTGAAGTCGTGAGGTCTGACCGGTACACTACAGATAAGTTATGCTTTTAACCACTGACTTGTGTAAAAGCAGCAACAACAGAAACCTTCCAAATCAATCGTCACCCCAAACTCTGTGTACCAAAACCTATCTGCGCTCATCATATTAAGAGAAATATTAAGCAACCAATATTAGGTAATCATCATAAGAAACCTACTCACATACTTGTGCAGCTTCGTGGGAAACCAGCAGTATTTCCTCTGTCTGCAACCAAACCCAAAGAGCACTTTAACACCTTTACTGCTGAGTTAGCTAGAGGAGTATTTACTGTAACCCTGCATTTAGATGGGTGTCCCATGGTGCAGGTGACCTACCTGGACTTCAGTGCAGTGGTCCTCCTTGGAAAGCCAGTGTGCAGGGGAGATGCTGAATGAGCCCTAGGGGACCTGGGGACATAGAGTCAAGGCCAGGCCCCAACACACTCATGGTTCAGCTTTCTTGGTGTACAGGACAGCATTAACCAAGCTTTTTCCCTCTCTTCCAGGCTATCAAACAGGACAGATGTCTTATACATCTCAGAAGAAAGCCTGGATACGAGGTTTGGCTCGCTGGCTCTGAGCAAGCTGAACTTTGACTCTACTTACACCATTGTGGTTGCTGCCTCCAACGAGCTAGGAAGTGCCTTTTCACAGCCTCTCGTGTTCATGTTAATAGACATAGGTAAAAGCCTTAGTTAGCACTTCTCAGTTAGATACAGCCCTTTGGAAAGAACCATTTCAAGCACCTTGTTTATACCTCTCAGTGAAAGCCTCCATCTCTAAACCAGCAATTCTATTTCCACGTACCCACTGTTCCGAGCGGTGCCGCGTACCTGACCGCTGTTTGCTTCTCTCTCTTGTTGCTGCTAGTGAAACCACATCCTCCCAAGTTTTCAGTGGGATTTGAGCGTTCTTCTGCCACCAACTGCACCCTTTCTTGGCACAACGAAGCACAAGAGCAGCACTGCAGGCTGAGATACCGTCCACTTACCAGGCACGACTGGAGCATGGTAATCCTCTCCTGAAACAGGAGGTTATGGCCCTTGAGGATGCTTTAAGATTGTTATTTCTTACTGAATCTTTTTGTCCGAATTTTCCTTTCTTTGCTCTTTTGTACCATATTTAAGAAAAGCTTTTTTCCTGACAGTCAAAAACATTCATTGGTTTGAAGGTAAATCACTGATCCTCTAAACAACCACATGCATAAGTATTTCCCTTTATGTCAAACATCTGTGTGATGCACTGAAGAATCAGAGGTTATGTTTGACCCACCACTTTGGTGCAATATGGCCATATTGGGGGTTGGAGCTAGATGATCTTAAGGTCCTTTCCAATACTTATTATTCTATGATTCTATGCCCTTTGAATTTCCCTTCCAACCCAAACCCTATAGATACTATAAAACTGTTCTATGATTTCTGCTCATTGTAGCTCATAGCTACAGATGTGCAAGCATTTCCAAGTGTTTGGCCTTCCCTAGCATCAATTGGAAGTCTTGGCTTTTAAGTGGTAAAAGCTGTATTGCTTGAAGCAGAGTAACAGGATGTTTGTTATCTCCACATCATTAGCTGAGGGATTAGCTGAAGACCTGGAAGCCTGATGATTCACTGCATCCTTCTTCAAGTTGTTAAATTCACCCCAGAATCAGGTTTTCCCCACTGCTTTTTGAAGATGTGTTTTGGTTGCTGGGCCTCCTTTGGACATCAGTAATTCAGCCCGTCACTGCCTTCAACCTTTATTTCCCTAGGAGTTCGAAGTTAAACATTCTTTATCTTCATTAAAGGTTGAAAACTTGAACGGTGAAAAATGCAGTCTTTATGGTCTGGAGCCTTACACAACCTATGAGCTCCAGCTCAGCTGTAAAATCCACCCCAAGCGAGGACTGTGGAGCAACTGGAGCACGTACCAGAACCGGACTCCAGAGGCAGGTAACACAAGTCAGCATCTCCTGCACTAACCCAGTGTCTAACGTTCACATACAAGAGGAACCTTCAGCCAATGAAGTCAAAATGCAGCTGGGTTTTTGCAGGTTGCTTCGCAGAGTCTCTGTAGATGCAGACCTGGAGCTAACAGGGAAGTAAGTTCTGTGAGAGGATTGCTTTTTTAGTGAACAAAAAGTGAAGCTGTTCCAGTTTCTCACAAAACAGGAATTGAAGAGTTCATCAAGAAGGTCTGGGGGTACATTTATGTGATGCTGGTGAAGGGTGGAGGAATCTTCCTGGAGCTGTAGTGGCCTCCTGCATCATAGAACCCTAGAATGGTTTGGGTTGGAAGGGACCTTAAAGCTCACCCAGTCCCAACCCCTTGCCACGGGCAGGGACCCCTTCCACTGGAGCAGCTTGCTCCAAGCCCCTGTGTCCAACCTGGCCTTGAGCAAGGCATCACAACACATCAGGAAAAGGCAGAGTTAGGTGAGGAAAGAAATCTATTTCATATTGGTTCATATCTAATGGCTTTAATGAATCCCTGCAGCAGGTCCCTAACTCAAGTCAGGACAGCTGTGGTATCACCCCAATGACACACAGCTTGGGAAGCACATCCTGGGATCTTGAGTTTCCTCAGCCCTTTGGGAAGAGGTTGCCCAGAGAAGCTGTGGCTGCCCCATCCCTGGCAGTGCTCAAGGCCAGGTTGGACACAGGGGCTTGGAGCAAGCTGCTCCAGTGGAAGGGGTCCCTGCGCACGGCAGGGGTTGGAGCTGGAGAAGCTTTAAGGTCCCTTCCAGTACAAACCAGTCTGGGGTTCTGTGATTTGCAGAGGAGCCAACTGGATTGGCTGGAAACCGTGCTCTCCCAGTCCTGCTGGTGCTGGCAGGTTTGAACAGAACAGCTCAGTTGTGCCAAGTCATCTCTTCCCAAGTAGTTAATTCACTTGGAGCCTCCCCACATGACCCCTCCATAGCGTGGTGGTGTCACTGGGCACCTCTACAGCTTTGGCAGAGCAGAACCTGGCCAGGTGTTTGGGTAGATCCTACCAGGAATTAGATGAGAAAAGAGCATTTCTACCCCAAAGGATGACAGAGCAGCCTCCAGGCTCACAGTGCACCAAACTAAGGGTGATTCTACTGGTTTCTGCCAACTCTAACCCTTGAGCTGGCCAGGGCCTGCCTTCACCCTGAGCTGCACAGACTCACATGCTGCAATACTTTCAGTTCTTAGGAGAGAAGAAAGCTTCTCAGAAGCCTGTGCCTCAGCAAAGATGTGTCAGCTCTTGGGCAGCCCTTCCCTTCATCTCTGCTTTGCTTTCGTTGCTCTTTCTTTTGTAACTTACTATAAGCTCTTGAGGCTGGTGCCGTTATTACTCATCCTATTTGCCACTACTGACGGCATCAGTTTCTGTAAGCAGCATTGATTGATGTAAAAGGTGTAAACTTTTCCTTCTCTCCCCCACCTTCCTCTCAACAGTCCTCTCCACCTCCTCGATGTACCCTGGCTTGCTGCAGCATTTGTGGTCATCACTCCTCTACCAATGGGTGCTGTGAAAGAGAACCTTTATAGCTAACCGAGGAGCGTTTTCTGCTCCACGTGACAGAAGGGGAGGTTGCAGAGGAGAAGCTCTGGGTCCATCTTGGTTGCCCTTCTCTGAAGCTTTGCACATGAGCTTGGCCTTTTGCAAACTCAGGAGTGCACCACTCCAATGAGAGCTTTGCTCCTCTTTTTCCAAGCATCCCCTGCACAAAACCTGCTTTACGCAGTCACCGTTCATAAGAGAGAATGTTTGTTCCCTGCAAGCTCTTCATGGTGCTCCACAGTGAAATGAAGTTTCAATCCAGGCTGGAGCCCAGCAGATGCCATCCCACGTTTCACTTTTTCCTGCTCTGGGCTTGCCCCTTCCTCCCTTGCTCACAGTGAGCGTGCTCTGGTTTGATTCCTTCTGTCAGCCCTGCTTCTTGTTTCTATTCCAGTCACCGTGTGCAGTTAATACAGAGCAAATAGCTCATAACATTGCTGGCACCAAGCCCTTTTTCCACCTTTGAGTGCAGCGAAGAGCAGAGGCAGCCCCGTTCGAGCTGGGGTTGTGCAACAGCGTTTGCTCAGGTTATTAGCAACAATTATTATCTGAATGTGATGAGTTTCTGCTGCTCAGCATCCTTGAGGAACCAAGCTTTGCTGCCTTCTTTATGCGTGCGCCTGGTTCGGAGCGGTTGGAGCACAGTCACCAGTTTCTGCAGCCAGAACCTTGCTGCAGTGCTTCTTTCAGAAGGTTTCTGCAAACCACCAAGAGTTTCCAGTCACACTGTGGCTATAAGGAGTGTCATGGAAAGAACAAGGGGTTTAAGCTGCCTCCGATGAGGTCCTCCCAGCTACCTGTTAAAGACATTTACTGCCTAGAACCAGACAGCAGAGTCCTACAGACCTTACAAACCCTATCATTGGCTTAGGGTTGATGTAACCAAACCCAAGGACCTCAGCTTTGATGTGTAGGCTTCCTTGGGAGCCATTCTGATTCCCAAGTGCAGGGTAAAGTCACTGGCAGATCAAAACCTTCTCTTGGGCTTATGGCTTGCTCTCTCCATGACTGCCACCCTCAACGCAGCTGAACCCCAGCTACAACAGCCAATATGGGTTATTGCGTATTGCATCATTTCGGGGACATTTTAAACCTTAAATTTCAATTGTCTCAGCATTTTTACCTCTTCACCTGCTCAATGTCTTCTTTGTCTGCTTCAAAACACAGCTACTAATGCTGCGCACCTTTTCCTTCCATACCAGTGCCAACAGGGGTCCTGGACGTCTGGTACCGACAGCAGGACGCGGGCTCCCAGCAGCAGAAGATCTCTCTGTTTTGGAAGGTAAGTTCAGTGAAACCTAAGCAGAGGCAGCAATAACCAGCAAGGTCAGAGGAGGAACTCTGGTTTATGTGTGCACAAGAAAGGACTGAACCCAAGGAGAACACAGGGATATAGAATCCCAGAATCCCAGACTGGCTGTGGTTGGAAGGGGCACTAAGGCTCACAAAGGATTCAGATTCAAGCCTAATTCCACATCACTGTACATCATCACCATCCAGCTAAGGAGGAAAGGGTTAGTCCAGGTCTGCTGTACCAGCACTCCCACTAAACCCAAGCCTTGCTATGGGCGTGATTTCTCCATCATCACCAGCCCAATCCTAAAGCCAGGTCCAAGGGGAATTTCTGGACTGTGGGGCACTTTCTTTCAAAATGAGCCAGATTATTCTTATTTTTAAAGCCTAGATTATCTTCAGCTTCCCGTCTGCAGTCTCCAGACCCCCTTCCCATTCCCAACACCTCTCCTCCCAAAGCAACAAGCACCACGCTGTGAGTGAAAGCAGAAATCCTCACAGGATTACATGACCCAACCACTGCGGCTTGGAGATACTGAACTTAAAGACCTCTATCTTGTGATAAGGAGCTGGCGACACTTTCTGTATCACAGCAGACTTCCTGCTGCATCGCTCATAGAAGGGCTGCGATACACTGCGCTTAGAGCTTTCATTTCAGCCTACAAAGAAAAAGACTCAGGACAAGGCAGTACCAATACATGTCCTCCTTGTAGCACACCAATACCAAAGGAAGGATTGCCAACCTAGAATCATGGAATCAACCAGGCTGGAAATGAGCTTTAATCTCAACCAGTCCAACCGTACCCAGCACTGCCAAGGCCACCCCTGACCCATGGCACCAAAGGCCTCCCCAGACACACTTTCCTATTTTTAAAGTGGGTTTCCCCCCCTCCTCTTCCTTTCCTTGTTTTGTTCTGGCAAAACCCATCCAAAACAAAATGAAGTCACTGAAGGAAATGGATAGTGCAACTGCAGACAGTGGGGTGGAGAGACCAGCAAGTGTTCCATGGGACAGCATGGGCTGATCTGCAGAGATGGGTATTGCATGTGGCTGAATTTACATGATCCTTTATCATGGATAATTCCTTGTCATGGAATAATAATAGTTATTAATCTAGAATAACTGATTAGATCTTAGGCAGAAGCTCTTCCCTGTGAGGGTGCTGAGGCGCTGGCACAGGGTGCCCAGAGAAGCTGTGGCTGCCCCATCCCTGGCAGTGCTCAAGGCCAGGTTGGACACAGGGGCTTGGAGCAAGCTGCTCCAGTGGAAGGGGTCCCTGCCTGTGGCAGGGGTTGGAGCTGGAGGAGTTTGAGGTCCCTTCCAACCCAAACAATTCCATGGTTCCATGATATCTCCATGATTCCATGCACTTTCCTCACAGGCTTTGAGCAAATCGGAGGCAAGAGGAAGAATCCTGCAGTACACGGTGACCTTCAAAGCCCTGGACCAGCAGAGCCCTGGGGCAGAAGCACATCTTACCACCCAAACCAGCTATGCCAAGGTCATGCCAAGGGTAAACTACAAGATAACAGTCACTGCCGAGAACTCAAGGGGCAGATCCCCCCCTGCATCCATTGCAACAGACCTGGGCATCCAGGGTAAGGGCTTCTGCTGGGTCTGGATAGTGGGAATCTCATCAGCACTCTGCTTTGTGCTACATGCTCAGGTCCCAGCGCCTCGTGCTCATCAGGGTCCATCTCAGTGACTCTTCAGGGATCTGTAGATCTAGTTTTCAGTGTGCTCAAAACCCAAGTGCAGCAAAATGAATGAGTGCTCCCTGAACTCCCCCAGCCCCGAATTCCCTGTACCGGACACAACGGAGCCTCATCGTGTTGGGTGAATTGCTCCAAAGAAGCAGATCTTTATTTGACCTTGTCCCTGTGCAACATCAGTAAAACAGTGACCGAGCCATTACTGAGTATTTCACCTTTCCCCAGTGCTGCATGGGATGCTTTCCTTTGGGAGCGGGATGCACGGCTCCTCAGCTCACAGGCTGCATTGACTGCATGAGCCCTTCATTGAGTGGAGACAGGACTGGGGCAGAAACAACACTGGTATCTGATCACGCGGGGGCAGTAGGAAAAGAACTGCTTTGTGGGCTCAGATCAGTTGTGTTTGTTAGGAAAAAAGTTAGAGAAGATGCTTGGAAGGGGCTTGGAGCAAGCTGCTCTAGTGGAAGGGGTCCCTGCCTGTGGCAGGGGGTTGGGATTGACTGAGCCTTAAGCTCCCTTCCAACCCAACCCAGGTTAGGATACTATGATCCTATGAAAGCAAGACCTAGACTAGATATCCCAGCACCCTGTCCAGCATCTTTAAAGCAGCTTTTGTCTTGTGGAGATGGTGTGTGCTCGTGGCTCTGCACAGAACAGGGTGTCAGTACATGCTGTGACAGCATCTCCTCAGGGTTTGGGGATGGTGGAACAAGCAGTGCTAAGTTCAAACTGCTGCATTATGAGAGAAGACAAGAGCATGGCTCTACTCCTATCAGCATAGAGACCACCCTTGTATAAAGACCTTTCCTATCAATTGCAGCTCATTTTTATACTTCACATGATGCCAAACTGGATGAGGCACAGTAAAACACGGATGAAACTCACCGAGTCCCCTTGAGGTCAAGCCTGTGCTGATGGTGTCTTCTTTGTCTGGTTGCTCTTTCTCCCTGTAAGATCTACCTCCTCCTCAGGAAGTCTCTGCCATAGCCATGGGAAACAGCAGCATCCTCATCAGCTGGAAACCACCCATCAGCTCCACCGCATCCATCAGTGGATATGTAGTGGAGTGGGCAGACACACAGGGGAGCCTGGAGCCCCATCCAGCCTGGGTAAAGCTGCCAGCATCCAACCTGTCCACAGTGATAGCAGGTAACTGCCACCCGAGGTGAGATATGACTGAGGCACTGGGTTATTTAGATAGATTGTTAAGAAACGAGTCAGATTCTAATGGTTACTAATTCAGCATAAGAACTGATGACACAAAGCTTTCAGTATAGGAGAAAAAGGGAATCCTGGCTGCTCTGGACGCAGCTCTGCAATCACCCTCAGCTGAGGTGTATAGCTCATAAGTAAAATGTCTCTGAAAAACCCCCATCCTTCCCAATGAAACAAGCCAGCCAAAGGTACTAGAGATCAAAGCTGAAGACTATTTCCTTTCTGACTGCTGGTAACTAATCCCAACCAGTACTACATGTCAGATAGCTGTGAGGTTACTATGGAGGTGACAAGTGTTACCCTAATTAGTGATTCCTGTCATTTTATCCCAGCCTGGTTTGGTTCGGAATGGACCTTAAAGCTCCTCCAGCTCCAACCCCTGCCACGGGCAGGGACCCCTTCCACTGGAGCAGCTTGCTCCAAGCCCCTGTGTCCAACCTGGCCTTGAGCACTGCCAGGGATGGGGCAGCCACAGCTTCTCTGGGCACCCTGTGCCAGTGTCACCCCTCACCCTTTCTTTATGAAAGAAACATTAATAATTTAATCACCTAATGTAGATGCTTCAGTCATGACTGTAAATACCTTAACCAGTAACCATCCACTTCTCATTTCCTCATTTAGAGCACGTAAAAGATGAGGTGTGCTATCAGATCAGTGTATTTGCACTCTATCAGGACAGAGCTGGACGGGCAGCATCAGTTAAGGGATACTCAAGTGCAAAAGGTAAATCACTGCACTGCCCTTCCAGATATTTTTAAGCTAGCTTAAGCTCTGCTTTAAAGTCAGTCTTATGTTCTGCAGCTCCATCAGCTGGGCCCCAGATGTACACAGCACCGCATGCAAATGGCATCTTGGTTTCATGGGAAGCAATCCCGGCCCAGCAGCAAAGGGGCTGCATCACAGGGTACCACATATACCTGCAGAAAAGGGACAGCCCGGCTGAGCCACGTGTCTATGGTAGGTACCTGGTGAAGGCCAAGGTGATGTGCACTCACTGCGGGTGGGGACACAGGGGGGGAGATACCGTCAGAAAGGGTCTGTATAGACAAGGAGTCGTAGGCAGCTTGTCTGCCATGGGGATCAGAGCAGCAAGGTTCAGTTGTCTTCCTCTGATACAGCTGCCCATCAACAGAGCTGCATACCCAGGGCTTTCAGCTTTTAGCTGCATCATCCTAAGCTGTTCTGAGAGTAGAACTAGCAGACTTCTCTCTGCTGTTATTAACATCATCACCATCATCATCATCACTGCAGAATAGCCACTAGCTCCAACCCCTGCCACAGGCAGGGACCCCTTCCACTGGAGCAGCTTGCTCCAAGCCCCTGTGTCCAACCTGGCCTTGAGCACTGCCAGGGATGGGGCAGCCACAGCTTCTCTGGGCACCCTGTGCCAGCGCCTCAGCACCCTCACAGGGAAGAGCTTCTGCCTAAGAGCTCAGCTCAGTCTCCCCTCGGGCAGGTTCAAGCCATTCCCCTTGGCCTGTCCCTACAGGCCCTTGTCCCAAGCCTTTTTCCAGGTGTCTTTTTGCCCTCTTAGGTACTGGATGTTGTTAATGGATGTTTCATAGCTCCATCATAGAAGCCTCATTTTAGACTGAAATATTAGCTTATCAAACAACAGTATTTAGGGTCAGGATACACAATCCTAGGTGGCCAGTCTATACAATGGCACAGGTCACTCCTACAGTCCAAGACCCTTTACACACCTTCCAGTGATTCAGTAATGTAGAAAAGGGAATTAAAGCAGCAGATAACCCTCCATGCTCTGGCCGCCCAGTTCGTTGGAGTTAACCGCAGTAAAGGCGTGTGTGAGGGGCTTCATGTGCTTCTCCTCCTCTTCCTCGCAGCCATTTCCAGTGCGACAGCCCACGGCTCACTGTACATCGCTGACCTGCAGCCCGGGGAGCACTATGTCCTGGGGATGACAGCATCGACGGCTGCAGGAGAGGGGCCCTGGGGCAACAGCGAGCTCATCTGCTTGGAAAGTAATGAGCCTCTGCAGGGAGTTGGGGCCAGGAGGCATCCCAGCCCTGGGCTCCGGGTTTTCCACACTCTGGAGAGGCTTTTCCTGCTCCTCTTTAGTTACTGAAGATCTCTTGTTGTCCTTCCATTGCTCAGGAGCTCGATTTTCAGCTGGTTTCAAGAGGCAGCATCTCTGTCTTCAAGCTCCCAGTTGTGTGCCAAGATGTTGGCTGTATGGCTTAATAGTACTTGATGACCAGCAGGATGGTTTATTGTGGACAGGGAAGGGTGGGTTTGGTCCTTTGCATTGCTGGCCCTGTGTGCTTCCATCTCCGGCCCAGGTACCCATGCAGGGAGTCCTGCTGACCTCCATGTGTTAGTGGCATTCCATGGGCATTACAGGAGCTGCCATCTCAAAGCCTTCCTGAGGAGCACAGCACCCCATGCTCCTGCAGCACAAACTATGTCTCAAGTGGTCCCTATGCCTGAGCCCCCCAAGGGATGCAGACACAAGATGTCCTCCCAAAGCCGCCTGGCCACAGCTAGTGTCAATAAGCAGGGTTTCCATCCTGCAAACCACATTGTTTGCATTCAATTACTTTGGGCCAGCTCAAGACAAAGTGATCACCGCACTGGGAGAAGGGAGCTGGTACAATGTGTGTTGAGGCACTGTCAGGAAGGTGTTTTGCTGCATTTCCTCCCCAGCAATGTGCCAACACAACAGTTTTAATGCCCTGAGTCACGGACATCAGGGGTTTCATCTCCACAGCATGGGAGCAGGGCTCCTCTGGAGGCAGGAAGAATCCAAGGAGGCAAAAGGGAGAGGACATTAAAGCAATTCAGCCTGGATTGTGTTGAAGGGAACTTAAAGCTCCTCCAGCTCCAACCATGGTCAGGGACCCCTTCCACTGGAGCAGCTTGCTCCAAGCCCCTGTGTCCAACCTGGCCTTGAGCACTGCCAGGGATGGGGCAGCCACAGCTTCTGTGGGCTGTGATTCTGTGCCTCTATGAACTGCAAGTTCTGGGTTGTGGACCATAGATCTCCATGGACATTGGTAGACATGGTTGTGTCAAAGCGCTGCCGTCCCCAGCAGTCGATGCAGATTCCTGGATTTCAAACCCCCAAAACACGGGTGTGTTTCATGAGCTCAAACACAAACCAGGCCTCAGTTGTCCTCCCACTTGAAGCAGCATATTTAGATCTTTATGTTTCTAATAGAGACGTTCTGTATTCCAGATGCTGGGGAATGGATGGCTGTTGTGCTTACCTGCAGCATCTTCATCTTCTCAGCCTGCATCTGTTCCATGTCTCCAGCAAGAAAAGCGTGAGTGGATCCATCATTTCCAGTAAAACATGGAATTGTTATAAGCAGGGATGGTCGTGTCCTTTCAGGACATGTTGGGAAACAGTAAGGGTTGCTCTGAGTAAGGGCTTCATATATGATAACAACACCCACTGAGGTTAAAGTACGGCCTCATTTCATGTAGGTAGTGTATTTTAACCTAGAGCCTGTCTGCCTCCACAGAAACAACACTGGAGAGGGAAATCCTTGGCAATCAACATGGGGGCAAAGTTAAACATCAAGAACTGGTTTCCTTTAGAGGAACACACAGATGCTCCCAGCCACTCTCCAGGAGCAGAGCTCATGGCTGTATCCAGCAAGCTCTGCCCATGGGGATGCTGTTGGTTATCACAGGCAAACCTCAGCAGGAGGATGAAGCTGGCAGCATCTGCTCAAGAGCTGGCAGGTCCCTACCAAGGCAGGAGCAGTTACACTGAGCTCTGTGGTTGGCACACGCACAAAGTGAACATCCCAGCTCAGTGCTGTGAGTAGCAGCACTCCTGGTTCTAATCACACTTAATTCCACCTGCAGATTACACTCACTCCTCACCATACTGGTACCGCAGTGGCAGAGCAGAGCCATTCCAGACCCAGCCAACGCTACGTGGGCCAAGAACTACACATCTGTGAAGGTGAGTTGTACTTGCTTTTCCTTCTAATCCCAGCCCCTTCAGAAGGAAAAGGGATTGGAGCCCTGCAAGTCTGTCATCTCCTCGTGCAGCACATCCAGCAGTTCCTGACAGTGGATAAGCTCTGCCTTCGTATTAGGTTAGACTGGAGGACGCATCGCAGAATCCCAGACTGGTTTGTGTTGGAAGGACCTTAAATACAGCTCCAACCCCTGCCTTCCACTGGAGCAGCTTGCTCCAAACCCGTGTTCAACCTGGCCTTGAGCACTGCCAGGGATGGGGCAGCCACAGCTTCTCTGGGCACCCTGTGCCAGCGCCTCAGCACCCTCACAGGGAAGAGCTTCTGCCTAAGAGCTCAGCTCAGTCTCCCCTCGGGCAGGTTCAAGCCGTTCCCCCTTCTTAGGCAAATAAAATGCAAGAACACTGCAGAAACCTTTCTGCCACTGGAATGATCTCCCCAGGGAAGTGGACGCTATCTCCCCCAGTACTGGACACTATCAAGGACTGGCTGGGCAGGGTGCTGGGACATCCAGTGTAGGTCATGCTTTAGAGAGGTTGGACCCGATGATCCTCGAGATTCCTTCCAACCTGGTTCTCCATGACTTTAAGCAGTATTAGGTGCTGTGCAGGAGGATGTTTGCAGTGGGAGGGTGGGAGGCAGCAGCGGGTCAATCCCATGGTGATCCATCACTGCCGTGTGTTCCCTCTGCAGGCAGAGCTGTGCTGGCCCTCCAGCCTGTTCCTGCCCAGCGCCAGCACCTTCGAAGAGCCCGAACCAACACAAGTGGAAGAAGCCTTTGTGAAGCCCAAGGCCCTCCTCGGCAGCAGCGGCAGGCAGGGCCATGGGCACTGGGCACTGGAGCGCAGCCGGGGGCAGGAGGAGCCCCGGTACGAGCCTGTCCCCAGCACCGCAGAAGGGGAGGTCTGTGAGCAGCGGCTGCCCGGCCCCTACAGGAGGATGGCGGTGGTGGAGGAGGCCACGGAGCACACAGAGAACGTCCCCGAGTACATCGCCAACCCCAGCACCAGCACAGCCCCCCCGTACCTGCCCCTGGGGGCGGGCACTGCTGAAGATCTCCCTGAGCTCGAGTGCCAGCCGCTCTCCGTGTTCCCCACAGCCTGCCTGCTGCCCGCGTTTCCCTATGGAGGGAATCTCACCTTGGATGCGGTGAAGATAAACTGCAGCTCGGAGCTCAGGGTGACGTGACCCGGCTGAACAGCTCCTGCTCTTCACTGAGGGTACAGACAGCCCAGGACCTCGCACGGGGCACCTGTAAGGGATGAAAGCCCAGCTCACCCCCCCAGCACTGCAGGTCACCCCTCGCCGTGCAAGGGAGCAGCTCTCACCCACACAGCACGTTCAGGCAGATTGAAGACTGGGAACTCCATGGGGAATGCCAGGGCTGCGGGAGCGGGCTTCAGGAGAGGTTCTTTGGTTGCTCAGGTTGACTTCATGCAGCCTGGGCTGCCTCAGGCACCACTGACCTTGAGCACTGCCAGGGATGGGGCAGCCACAGCTTCTCTGGGCACCCTGTGCCAGCGCCTCAGCACCTCACAGGGAAGAGCTTCTGCCTAAGAGCTCAGCTCAGTCTCCCCTCGGGCAGGTTCAAGCCATTCCCCTTGGCCTGTCCCTACAGGCCCTTGTCCCAAGCCCCTCTCCAGCTTTCCTGCAGCCCCTTTAGGCACTGGAGCTGCTCTCAGGTCTCCCCTTCAGGAGCCTTCTCTTCTCCAGGCTGCCCCAGCCCAGCTCTCTCAGCCTGGCTCCAGAGCAGAGCTGCTCCAGCCCTCGCAGCATCTCCATGGCCTCCTCTGGCCTCGCTCCAACAGCTCCACGTCCCTCTTGTGCTGCTGCCCCAGAGCTGGATCAGGGCTGCAGGGGGGGTCTCCCCAGAGCACAGCAGAGGGGCAGGATCCCCTCCCTGAGCTGCTGCTCACGCTCTGGGGGTGCAGCCCAGCACACGGGGAGGGGAGCTCTGGGATCCAACCCCCAAGTCCTTCTCCTCAGGGATGCTCCATCCAGCCTCTCCCCGCCTCCATTTGTGCTGGGGATTGCCCTGACCCATGCGCAGGACTTAGCCCTGGTTGAACTTCACTCATTATCCCCCACCCCATCCCCTCATCCCCAGTGACACTGGTGCTGCAGCCCCTGTGGCTACCAGGAGACGTGGCCACAGCTCTGCCCAGGCCAGCCTGGCCTCGGGGCTCAGCTCGGGGATGAGAAATCCTCACCAGAAAGAGCAACCCAAGGGACTGTTCAGGAGAATTCAAACCCCATTTCCTGAGGTATTCTGATCACAGGCATGAACTGTGTGGTACCCATTTAATGGCTTTGTTTACTAGAGATGTATATATGTACATAAAATATTGAACTCCTGAAACTGGTTTCCTGTTGGTTTCCCTGGTCGAGGCCAAGTGCTAAGCTACAGATACAGAATAAGGTGGCTCAAGATAAAGCTGAAGCGTTGCTGCTAGATGAGACAGTCCGGATCTGCACTTACCTGGAGCATCCTCCTCCTGCTGGGGATCAGCAGCTGTTCTCCATCCACAGCTGGCTCCACAGCTGCTGAGCAATGCCAGGAAACCCTCCTGTGACACCACTGCCTGGGAGCACATCACTGTCAGCACTGCTCACCTGGCTTGGTGGAGGAAGAGGCATCAGGAGCCCTGCAAAAGGCTCCTCACAGAGCAGGGACAGATTCACCTGCATCACGAGGCTGGGACCTTGAGGCCGTGGCTTCCTCCACTTCAATCACAGAATCCCAGCCTGGTTTGGGTTGAAGGGACCATAAAGCCTCTCCAGCCCCAACCCCTGCCATGGACAGGGACCCCTTCCACTGGAGCAGCTTGCTCCAAGCCCCTGTGTCCAACCTGGCCTTGAACACTGCCAGGGATGGGGCAGCCACAGCTTGAAAAGCAAAACCATAAAGGGAGCTCTCTTGTTCCCCATTTTCCTCCCAGCTGTGGCTGTGTCACCTTCTCCAGGAGGCTCCAGCACTGCCAGGCTCAAAGGCACTGCAGGACAAGGCTGTGACGATCCATATGCAGGCACACGCTGCCTCCCGAGGCAGGGCTAGGCAGGCTGCTGGTACCCCAGGATGTGGCTTGCCAAGCTCTGCACCTCCATTCAATTCAGCTTTCAACACCTCTGCCCTGGGTGGGAGTGTGAATGTTTCATAGGAAGGTGAAACTCACCCTCTGGGGCAGGAATTGTTCCTCAGCTCCATCTGAACCTGCCCTGGTGCAGCTTGAGGCCGGTTCCTCTTGTCCCATCCCTTGTTCCTTGGGAGCAGAGCCCAGCCCCTCCTGGCTCCATCCTCCTCTCAGGCAGTTGGAGGCAGCCATCAGGTCCCCCCTGAGCCTTCTCTTCTCCACACTGAACCCCCCAGGTCCCTCAGCCCTTCCCCATCACACTTGTGCTCCAGGCCCTGCTCCAGCTCCGCTGCCCTGTAAGGATTTAGGAACTGAGGAACAGAGACTGAAGCCAGAGCAAAGGTACCATGGGGAGTGCGAGGAGCAGGAGCAGCAGCATTCCAGGTACCAGCCCTGGCCATCGTGCTGTGCACCTGGGGGCTCCTCTGCAGCAGAGACCACCCCAGATGCATGTTCTTGCATGTCCCACCTGCCCGGGGCAACACGACAGCCATTCCCCATCAATCCAGCGTGGTCCCTGCACCCACCTTCAGCTGCCTGTCACTCTCCCACATGCACCAAAGGATCCTGCTCACACCATGGATGCTGCAAAGCACCTTCATGGCAATGAAGGTACTGCAGCAGTCACTGCAGAACACTTACCCTGCTGCAGGAGCACTTGACATGAGCTCACCTCAGCAAGAATCATGCACTGAAGGAAACCAACCCCCAGATGTGCCAGTAAACGCACGTGACAGCATCTTGAGAGGGGCAGATATTCATAACACAGCACCCCCAGTACCACTGCCAGCAACATACCCTCCTCCCTCCCACCCCATCCCTAACACAGATGTAAAAGCCGTGATCTCCAGGCTCCCAATGAAACCATTTGTAAGGAGGCTTTGCAGCAGCCCTGCCACACAGCCCTACTCACCGGTGGCTGCATCCTCACTGCCACTGCCAAACTGGACCATGCTCAAGGCCACAGCTCAGACAGGATGCAGGAACATGCACCTCCACATGGAAACAGCTTCCAGCAGCAGCCCACAAGTGATCTGCAGAGCAGCCTTTGACAAAAGGATGTAGGGACAGGACAAGGGGAATGGCTTGAACCTGCCCGAGGGGAGACTGAGCTGAGCTCTTAGGCAGAAGCTCTTCCCTGTGAGGGTGCTGAGGCGCTGGCACAGGGTGCCCAGAGAAGCTGTGGCTGCCCCATCCCTGGCAGTGCTCAAGGCCAGGTTGGACACAGGGGCTTGGAGCAAGCTGCTCCAGTGGAAGGGGTCCCTGCCCGTGGCCGGGGTTGGAGCTGGAGGAGCTTTAAGGTCCCTTCCAACACAAACCCATCCATATCCCATGATCTTCACCCTGGTGTGACATGGTTGAGCAGGACTGCCCATGAAAAGGCACATTAAGCAGCAATGGCCATGTTGTCCCCACATGCTTCCCTCCCGGTCCACATCGTGGTCCTGCAGGTGCTGCACAACCTTCAGGCACTTCCTTAGCAGAATGGCCAGAAGGGAATCTTCCTTGTCCTCCATACACGGTAACAGGAACCCTGCAGTTTGTCAAGTACAAATCCTAAACACAACCAGACATGTGCTATCTCCAACTGCTGAACTGAAAGCAGTAGAACTGATCCCATATCCTATTTACCTTCACCCAGTAAGGGATGTGCAAAGCAAGCTCCCTCACCTCTTGGTGTCACAATGACCTTTTGTATCAACAGCTGGGGTGAAGATCAAGCAGCTCAAGAGCCCTTATCAGTAACTACAGCCAAGCTACACCCTGGGGCAGTGAACTGAAACCTCAGCTCACCCTGAACCCTCTGCAGAGGGCATCAGCAACAGCCCAGCTCATCCCCTGTCCTGCAGGGCAGCCCAGCATGCAGGTTTGCTGCTCCTGGCCAAGAGGAAGACATCACCAGCCATACGACCACCAGCCACAGGTCACAGCCCCACAGCACACCAAGCTGTCATCTTCCTGAAACATGGGAAAACCCCTGAGCTCCTACCTGCCTTCTCCCAGTTCAATCCAAGGTGCGTTATCCTCTGCAGCCCTGCAAACCCCCTGAGGAGAAGCAGCAGCCACCGGGCTCCAGCCACATGGAGCCCCACAGAGCAGGGACAGCCCCTTCACTGCTAGGAACAAACCCCACACTGCTTTTAGCGCGAGCTCAGCACACAACAGCTCCATTAGTCTACATCCTCATCCTGTTCTGAACGCGAGGTATTCCACCTGTGAAAACAATGCATGGAAGGAGATGAAGTCTCTGGCAAAGCGAAGCACAGCTCCTCACAACCACCCAAGGCCACTCACACCATCCACAGGAGCTTTTGCCAGGTCCCAGCTCTGCCATTTCAGCTGGTTCCAAGGTTTGGTCTCCAGCCTGGTAACAGACATCTCCCACCTGGGAACACTGGCTCAGTGGCACTCAAATGCAAACACTTCACTTGGACTTGAGTCAGGGATCCAAGACAACAGAACTCCGTTTTTGTGCTCTCTACATCCAACCTGGCAAGAGGCTTCCAGCTGGGCAGTGTAGACAACTCAGGACCTCATGTTAAGAGACTCATTGCCTAAGAAAGGTATTAAAACACACAAAAGGCCAAAAAAGCACTACTTTTGTCATTCACCCATCTTTGCACACTGACCTCCAACACAGAGACAACAGAACACCAGAGCACGTTTTCTCCTTGCTCTTCATGTCTAGATATGATCAGATAAATCACCCCATGGGACTTCACACAAAGTCCAACTCCAAAAGCCAAGTAACACTGTTGGACAGACAATAACCAAACCTAAGTCTCCAACCAAGGACAAAGTACTGTTTTCCCCTCACTCAGGTTACACCCCCAGAATGAACACTGCGTTTAGGGTTTCAAGTGCAGGACCCAGTGCAGCAGGGACATGCACTAGGCACAGGGGACCACAGCACTGGGACACTCAGCGCTTGCTCCAACGCCAACCTAAGCCTGGCCTGGAGGCTGTTAGCTGCCCCAAGGGAATGGGGTCCTTGTGAGGACTTTAGGAAAGAAGCAGGTTAGCAAATGCTGGAAGTGTCAGCTTTAGGCATATGTC